CGTGTGTCCAGTGTGCGTGGATGCTGCATTGATGCGTTGGCGGTCGCATGAACGCCCCTTAACTCTGACACCAGAATATGGTCACACTGCTGGCCGTGTTAGGGCCAGACTATTTACCCAGTGGTCCTGGATCCCCTTAATAAAGTTACGTTTACCTCTCTGATCTTTCAGTCTCTGGTCTCTACAGTCTCCAGTCCTCTACAGACCTAGATCTAGAAGTTTTTCGGGAAAAGCAATTTGGTGACGCATTAACAGTTGGAAGCGATGCACAAATATATAGTGCTTTTTATGAAACCCAAAGGCCCTTCCTAGCATCATTCACTCACTCCACGCACTTTTGTGGTAATACGGTTGAAGCACCGGGCTCACTGCACTTGCACACATTGTAATGTTGGCCTTAAATGTGGACGTATGATAACCATGCTTTTCTCTCAAAGGGAGGCCAGCCATTACCTCCCCTCCCTCGCCTCATTGCTCTTTCCTGGACCAATCGCAGCCCTTACTTCCATCATTCACAGCCACTTTAAAAAAACGAAATGTGAAAATGGCTCATTTAAATGATTGTTTGAAGTATTATCATAATAACATGTTACACTACTACGTTACTCAAATTATAATTTGAGTTACTTAGTAACGCTGCTCCTCACCCATATCCTCCTCAGGCTCCCCTCCCCCCACCCTGACGATACATCAGGAGGAGGTGAAGAAGATGACAAAGTCTGGGATCGCGTCTTAAATTCAGACAGAAGACATGTTTTATTGTCGATGGTAGAGACAGCACGAACAAAGCACACGAGCACAGATACAATAGAATGCAAGTGTATTATACAGAGCGGAGGCATGGAGACCTCCAATCAGCAGCTGCCACAGTGCCATGTAGCTTGGCCTTCAGATAGACACAACAAGGGAAAAGTACAGGCTTCTGCACATTGATAGAATGATGAGTTTAACTTTAACAAAAGTTGCTTCAAAGTGTTATGAAATCTCACAGAGGTCATGCAACTATTCATGAGTGGATCACTGATTTCCTGACCGACGAAGGAAGAATGTCTCGGACACTCGGATTATAAACACAGGAGCTCCGCAAGGCTCTGTTCTTTCCTCCATGCTCTTCTTTCTATACGCCAACCATTGCACCACGAGCCACCACTCAAGCCACCACAGCCCTCAATGGACTCCTCTTTGACAACAATAAATCAGCTTACAGGAGGGAGGTGGACCGGCTGATGTTTTAGGGCAGCCTGGAGTTGAAAGCCCAGAAGATAATGGAGATAGTTTTGGATTTCAGGAAGTCCACAACTACAAAAAGTTGTGGACTCCAAAGATTTTACAAGTTCAAGAGTTTTGAAGTCAGTCTTGTCTTTAACAAATACCTGTTTATTGTTTAATAAATAATACATCTTGTTAGGCCGTTAATAATTCAGTGGTGGAAAGGAGGAGGACTCAAAATGCAAGATTGCAAATAATAATGATTTCATGAAGAATAATAAAATTAAAGAACCAACCGAAAATCCAAAACGAAACTCAGAAACCAGGAAGGTTTACAGAGGCCCTCATTTATGAAAATTGCGCACGGCCAAATCAGGGTGTAAAGGAGGCGTACGGAAAAAACGTACACCTTTCGACATTTATCAATCTGGAAGTGAGCGTACGGTACGCACAAAATATACGCTTAGTCTGGAGGTGGTGTAAATTTTACACCCATCACAACCTTCATCTCAACACACAAATAACACGCATTTAATTCAATTTGGACAAGAATAACATATTCCCATTCTGGCAAAATTATAGGCTCACCTCTCATTATGCAATTTTACAAAGTTATGATTGGGCTATGCCGATAGTTTGTGTTATTAAATAACGTGCAAACTCAAAAGTCTCCCACAAATGTGTGGATTGTTGTATGTGTAGCACCTACAATCAGTGTGCAACAGCAATTGGTTCATGCGGGCCCGAGCAAAGACGCCCGTCAACTGGAGCGCTGAGCGGGTCTGATCAGAGGAACATGGCTCTGGGACATGCAGGGGGAACGCTCTTGTACCTCCCGGTTCAAGTGTACCATATGATCCTGCCTCGGTTCTCCACAACACGGCACAGGACCACAGTGTGTCATTGGATGCACTGGTGGAGCAGCCCATGGATGAGAGATCATGGCCTGCCTTCGGCCTATACAGCTCAGACAGGCTCTCATTCAACCATTTTAAAATTATAATCACATAAATAATTTGAAGATAATTTTTTTTTTCTTCATATTTTCTTTTGGATGCTTTGGTCAGGAGGGAGGTGGACCGGCTGATGTCTGCTGAGCACTAGTCTGCTGAGCACTTCTTTTATGGGCTGCTAAACGTCTTTTTGTTACCATTATAAGGTCGCTCCATTTTCCCCTCCTCGTAGGCATAAATTAATCAATTCTAACTATTGGCCCAATATATCTGTCAACTGTTTGTCATAATGTAGCATATATTTCTTTTTAAACAAACATGAATAAACTTACCTCTTCAGGAGGTGTTGTTTCTGTAACATCTGTTAGATCTGTAAACGCTGTTTGCAGATGTTGTCATCTCTTTCCCTATTTTGTTTTTTGAGCCCCCTTGATGCCACTTTTGAGTCTTCCAAATAGTCATAATGGTCTCCAATCTCCTGCTCCGTGAAGTTTTTTTTCTTGGCCGTTTTCTTTCAATTGTTTGAAAAAACGGGGCGGGAAACAGGCAGTTGCTGCATATTTATAGGCGTGACTTTCATAAATACGTTTGTTTATAGCCGTCACATTCATCAACAGCCGCAGGTACTTACGCGTGGATCTGGGCAGATCTCACGCGTTTATAAATCCTGCGTTTGATCTTGCGTATTTGAAATATACACCCAAAATACACACCCTGGACCTCATTTCATACATGAGGTCCAGAGAGACACAGGGCAAACACATTAAGTCGTCGCAGACAATCATAACAGGGTAACAGGACAGAAAGTCAAACTAAAAAAAAAAACCACAGAACTGAAGTCAAAATATAACCAAGTACAAAATAATTAAAAATCCACGCCATGACACTCACAGTTTGGATTTTATTAGAATGCATGTGTTCTTTTCTTTGGCCTGAGAGCTAAGGGCGGTTATCACTGTGTGACAGAGGCACAAAAAATGCATGAGAAAACATGCATGAGTGACGTGCCAACTTTGTTAAGAGCAGGGAACTAATTAGATGGTTTTAAATATATTGTTGGAGGGTAAAGAACTTGCCTCATGTACTGACAGTGTAGAAGGATTTTACCAGACCAGGAGGGTTAAAGTATCTTTAAAGTTACTTTAAGACATTTTTAAAGACATTTTTGTCTCATTCCAAGTGATTTTGTCTTGCCTTGTGAAAGTCTCACTTGACATTATGCCTGTTGCTGTGAAGATGTTTTTTCTTTGTTTGTCTATATCATAGTACATTCCAATGTAACATGATTTAGTAACAGGCTATTTTAATGTTCAAAAACCTGAATTCTGACCCGTAGTCACTTGCGAGAACATGTAAATGTAAATGTGAACTTTTTTTATCCTCGTGGGAAACTATGTCTTCTGCATTTGACCCATCCTGCAAATGCCACTAGGGCAGGGGTGCCCACACTTTAGTAAACCAAGATCTACTTTTTCACCCACCGTGATCTACCTTGGATTTATGTGGTTGTTACGATTCAGAATATCACATTTGGTTTGATTCTTGATGTATTTGTGGTTCATGATCAACTGATGACCATGTTGTCTTTATGCAGTTTGTTGGAAGGAAAGAAAGACATGCTTAAAAGTGATTATTTCTCAGTATTATAGTTGGTACAAAGTATACATCCATCTGCTGCAAAATGTACTGTCTGTTTTTGTGCAATGTTTCTCATATTGTAAATGTCACTTATTATTGCTTAGTGCTCATATTATTTGTCAAAACCTTGTTTACTTTGACCGTACACACTCATGGGCATTTTCTTTCCTTTCTTTTGAGGATGCGCCATCAGAATAAGCAGCTTTCACATTTGCATCTGTGCGTAATTGGCGCGGAGGATGAAAACTGCTCGAGCGCACAGGCTCAATGGGGAAGGGCTCAATTGGTGCCTTATTCCCTGTGTGCGAGTGGAGTGGCGAGTGGCGCGCGGCGTGAGTGATGCTGTTTTCATATTTTACTTGTTGGCGCGTGTGAAATCACGTACATGACACGTATGAACTCTGATACGTTATGCGAGCTACCCACCCTACCTTTGCGAGCGACCGGTAGATCACGATCGATACATTGAGCACAACTGCACTAGGGCCTCTGTCAGGAGCAGTGGTCGCCATAGTAAAACACACAGGGACCCATCACCAGATTTTGGGGAGAGATGGTAGGGGAAACCGGAGCACCCGTAGGAAACTGGAGCAAACACAGGGAGAACATGCAAACTCCACTCAGAAAGGCTCTGTTCTGACTGGGATTCGAACCCAGGACCTTCTTGCTGAGAGGTGAGAGTGCTATCCACACTGGAGTATTATATTGTGGAACATTCCAGTCAAAACCAAAATGTTTACTGTCTGTTGGACAGTTTGTGTCTAACAAAAAGGACTGTGGTGATGATCCAGGACACTTTAACATTCTACTAAATGTATGGACATTTATCAACATTCATGGACATTGGTCTCTCCATATGGAACAATACATGTGTATTTTCTGTGTTTTAACTGTTGATTCACTGATCACTGTTGATTCACTTTTGTTGATTTCAATGGTTTTGTTGGTTGGTTTGTTTGGTTTTGTCATCTGAGATGACTGCTGTTGTGATTTTGGGCTATACAATAATAAATTGTATTGTATTGTATTGTAATTGTATGGACCAAAACCGGACCAACCAAACTTTGGACATTAATGCTGTTGTTTGATAGATGCACAGTTCCTGTATTATTTTACACATATCACACAATTGTGCTGCCCAGACACAATACAGTACGTATTTTCATCTTTTAACACACTTTTCTGTTATTCCTACTGCAGGCTGACAGCCCAGAGGAGCAGCCCAACGGCTCCGGTGTCTTGAGTCGTATCGGGAGTTGGATTTGGGCCCGCAGTCCCATCGGTTCTTCTGATAACCCCTCTCCAACCAGCGGCAGAGCTGGGCAGCCGGACTCATTGGCTGACGACGTCTTCTACCCCTTCCCCCAAGATTCCAAAAAGTCTAGCCAGACCACAGAGAGCAAACCCAGTGGAGAGGAGACCCCAGAGGAGGAGTGGGAAGAGGCAAGAAGCTCGTTTGACTGCTCAAACCAAGATACCAAGAATTCATTTTGTAGTACTGAAGACTCAGGCAAAAAGCTTCACGTTTACTTAGAAGAGATTTCCGAAAGTGCAGGCCATGAAATAGTCAGCACCAAATATGCCAAAAGCTTAAAAGTGCGACCCAAAGCAAAGTCGTCGGTCAGCTTGGACACTGAGAACAGGCACCGCTACTCCAGCGAACTCGTTGGTGTGAATTTAAAACCGCAAGCTTTTGAACATTTGGAAGACTTAGAGATGGGACGCAAAGGCGCAAGGAGGAGGCACAGGAAGGATTCGCAAGGAGATGACAAAAGCAACTCTACAAAGCCATGCCAAGAGCTGACTGATAAGGATGTGTCCTCCTCCCAAAGAGCCAAAAGTCCCAAGTCCAAACACGCCTCCAATACTGCCCCCTCCCCCTCACCTGAAGTCAAAAGCCGCTCTTCCGGTTGTGTAGAAAGCAGCCAGGGGTTGCAAAGCACATTGGCATGCAGTGGAGCAGCACTGAAAGAGGCAAACATGGAGGACAATGACAGACTGTACAGAGTGGAGCGCAAAACTGAGACGCCCGAATCCAAGCGGAGGAGTATGAAGGTGTCCCGCAGTGAGGTTAAGCTGTTTCCCAAGAACGTGCCACTGCCCAGTGCCAGACCGGAGAAATCAGACTTCAAGATGACCGTGGGTAGAGAGGGGATCAAGGAGGAAACCTCTGCTGATCTCAAGTAGGTGGCACTGGGGTTTGATGGAGTAGGTACAGTAGAGTGCAAAGTACATAGTAGGATGAAGGGTCTTAAAGAAATGCTTATTCTTAAGGTGTTAAAAGCATTCACTTATATAGACAATCATGTATCTAGTCACACTTGAACTGAGTTGTAATAATGTTATTATCCCAGATGTAGTATTTGTGACCGGTATACATGTATTTGCTTAAGTGAGATTGAATATTATTGTTTTATACGCATCTTACAATTCACATTCTCGCTCGGTTTTGCTTCTGACCACATTGGAAACAAGTTAATGTTTTAAATACTAAAGAATATGTCAAAATAGTTGGAAATATCTAGTTAACAACAATGGAAATGAAGAGCAATTGCTTAAACATATAAAATGCACACAATCTGGTATTTGCAAAATGACAAAAAGGACAATTAGAGGGAGTTCAAGAAAACACAAATGTTTTCCGAATATTGTGTAGTGGAGTCCTATATTGTTAGAACTGTAGTGAGCCAAAATATCTATATTGTTTTGCAAATACGAATAGTGAAAGCCAACTCCATATATGTATTTATTGTGGATATGAAAAATGTGGTGGCTCACAGCGGGATTAGACTAGCTTATTCTCCCACTCCCTTCATCGGGCAGACGGCCTCAACGATGAAGCAATATTTCAATACCCTGAAACAAAGTAAGGGATGAAAGTCTATCTTTTTTATCATCTTAATAACACCAGAAAAAAAATTATGTTCCTGAAAATGAGTTGAATTCAGAAGATTGGCAGGCCTCTGATGTGGACCAGTTGATCATGTATCTTGAGTTGTTAAGTGGAATAGTATAATGGAGGAGGGGGAAAGGAGGTAAGATGCCTCAAAAGAGGCAGATGATTGTCCCTTGACAAACCTAGCTTGATCTGGATGTATGATTGAGGGAAGTATATTCTGCTTATGTGCCATATTGGAATGCATTACAAAATACTGTTAATTGTCATCGAGAGACGACATCACAAATATTTATTTTAATATTTACTTTTTCTTAAATATGGAGGCAGTTCATCCATTGCATATTGCCTATTATGTCATTGACAATGATTTTGCAGTAGCAAGTTATATTATTATTTCATTATTGAAATATTGCTTCATCGTTGAGGCCGTCTGCCCGATGAAGGGAGTGGGAGAATAAGCTAGTCTAATCCCGCTGTGAGCCACCACATTTTTCATATCCACAATAAATACATATATGGAGTTGGCTTTCACTATTCGTATTTGCAAAACAATATAGATATTTTGGCTCAGGTTTTTACTTCATAATCATGGGCTTTAAATGTTATATATACTCGTGCATCATAAATAGGAATATATTTGGGATTGTAGAATATAATTGATACACTATGTTGTTAGTTGGTGTATCAATCGATATATAGTCATTTTTAAAGAATGACTGATGAGGATGAGAAGAGAACAGTAGCTCGGCTTAATCTAGTAGTAGTAATCTTTATTTATATACCGCCTTTCACAGACCAGAGTCACAAAGCGGTTTACAATTGTTATTTTTTGTCCTCACTCCACGCAGAGATGGGAGTGGGGTTGCCAGTACAGGAGGCGCATGCCAGACCAATTGTACATGTTTTTAGTGGTAGGGGAAACCAGAGTAGACGGAGGAAACCTACACAGACACGGGGAGAACATGCAAACTCCACTCAGAAAGGCCCTGGTCCAAACGGGATTCCAACCCAGAACCCGTGCCGCCTTAAGTGCCAACCTAACATTTATCTTCCATTGCAAGGAGGATAATTGTTTTATGCAACTGGTTTTATCAAGTACAGGATCTCTGTCTCAATTAAAGTCTCCTCCGAGTATGATGTTTTCATTACCAATGTATTTCACATATATTAGACATATATAAGACATTTTGTTACAAGACAGTAGGGGCATAAATGTTCATGATAGTTACTTTTGGCTAATTTTAGTGTGTCAATGGCAAACCGTAGTTCAATGTTGGATTAGCTACTCATTGAGTTACTTTTTGTATTATAAATACTTACTCAGCTTTGCTTCAATTTCAGGAATCTTTTATCCAAATGAGTGTCTTGTAGCAATGCTTTATCACATTAATTTTGTAAAAGACATTTGAGAAAATGTTTACCTGGATTATTCCATGACATATTCCATGACATAAACTTCAATCTCATATTTTAATGCCTTTGTTAGTAAGTTTTAGCAGTTAATATGTCATAATCATGTGTGAAAATTTTTAAAATACCAAGGAGCAGAATTAACCCCTACAAATAAGAATATGATAGAAATCAAAGTCTGGAGACAAGTTACACAAAATCACAGTTTAGCTCCCCCCCCTTACCATTTCCTGCCACCCAGGCAAGTCCCCCCCTCCTTATATTTATTCTTCCTACTTCATTTTAAACAAACTAAGTCAAGGTAAAGACTCTGCTTATTATTTGGGCTCAAAGTGAAATTTTTTATTTTTATTTTTATAGACAATATGCTCACGCTAGTCTACTTGTATGAAACGTCATACCTAGTATTGTCTCCAATGGCCAAAGGAAATGGCCAAATCGAGGCATGTACCATATTAAAAACAAGTTGAATAGGCCTGTCACCTTATCTTGTCAAGCAACCACAATTTACTAAAAATGATAACTATTAACTAATAGTGTTCTTAGATATGATCTGTGTCGGATACACCTGTTTACATGTCTGTTATGGCTCCATTTAACCGCTTTTGTTATTGGAGACATATTTGGCTGTCATTAGTCTGAGTGTGTCATTGTCAGATGGAATATAAAACATGTAGCCACTCTGCTGCACAACATCTGAGTCATATTACAAAGTACATACTTTATGAGATGCATGACACGCTAACATTTCAATTTTGCATGGTTTTAAAGGACACACACATGATATCCTTGTGTCCATGGTATCTGCCAAGGACCTTTGATAATTTAAGCAAGAAGTTGGCATTAATGATATTAATGATCATAATCAATATAGTATTTATTTCGGCTGAAAAATTAATGGAATTATATTCAAAAGATATGTTTCACACCAAGACTTGTGCTTTTGCACATGAACTTTTCACAAGCAACCTTTGAAAAAGAATGTATGTATGCTATTACATTCAACCTTGCATTTACACTCATTCATTTGCATTCTATTCTGCAGATTAAAAGAGGCCAAGAATACAGAGGAGAAGGCAAAGCCAGCTATGGGCCGAATCACAGACAGAATAAATATTTTTGAGAAGCGTAAACTGGAAACTGGGAGGCAGCTGGACGCCCCATTGAATGCCGAACAGAGGTCCAGATCGGCTGAATGTTTAGACCAAAAAAGATCCAGCTCTTCTTCTCCTCCTCGCAATAGAGTTATGACAATTCAAGAGCGCGTCAGGAACTTCAACCAGGCTTGTAACACCAGCAGCCAGACACAAAACCTCTCAAGAACCCATCGCAAAGTATCTGCATCCAAGTCTCTGGAGCTACTGGATGTGCCGGACGGACCAGACGCCAGTGAAAAGGACATGTTGAAGGCTGCCTTGCAATTTAATGGAGGAAATGCCAAGACAAGTGTTGGAAAGTTGAAAGTAGAAGCTCACAAAGTGGTGGAGAAAAACGAGACCAAAGTTTGCGAAAATACGGATGCAATTGATTCGTGCACAATGCCCTCCAAAAGTGGGTCAAAAACTAAGCGGCGGAAAAGTAAAGAGTTAACGAGTCAAAAAAATGAAACTAATACAATTGAACCTTTGAAACAAGAAATGGCCAGAGATGAAATAATTCAAAGACAAATTGACCAAGTTGAGAATGTTGTTATGCAGGTGTCAGAAAGCACTTCACAAAAATCTCTACATAAAAATGTACAGGATACTACTTCAACCAAAAAGCAGAATGCTGACAAGAATATGCCTAATGTGGAGGACATTTTTTCAAAAACAGGCATAAAAATATCAGAAAACGCTTTGGTAGAAAATTCCATAGTGGATACATCTACTTCAAAGAAAGGAGAAAAGGATGTTCAGAAAAGCCCAGCAATATTCAGTGAAACTGATACGGATACTTATGAAAAGCAACTTAGAAATGAGAGAGAAGTTGAAATAGATTCTGCAAAAAGTAAAGACAAGGTGGCAAGTGTTGGCGGTAAAGAGGTCTACAAATTGCCCACCCCAGAGTTGAAAACTACTCATAATTCATCAACTGAGAAAAGCCAACCATATGAAAAAGTAGCCTTGAGTAAAGAGAAGAAACTGGTAGAAACTCCAACTGAGCATGGTCTTTTAGATGAAAATAAGAGCAAATTAAACACAAGCAGACAACTGAAAGAAAAGTCCAAAGCAGACAGTACTACTAAAGGAAATAATTCAACAGACCTGCTGAATGCTTTTGATAAAGTGAACAATACGTCTGCAGTTACGCAGCAAGCAGACACAATAGCACAATTGGACTCTGTCAATAAAAAGTCCAATGTTAAACGAGCCGCTTCACATGTTATTGACAAAAAGCAAACGAAAACAGCCAATGAAGTCAAAGGCAATACATTACAGAAGCTGACTAAAGCAAGTGAACACAATTTATCTACTGATAAAGCCGGAAATGTTGCTTTAAGTGGAGAGCTAAAGGACGCGTCTATTTTTAATAAAGTAGACTTGACTAAAGTAATACTAAAGACTGCTCCTACAAGTGGAGAGGAAGATATCCGTGTCAAAAATGATGGCAGTACAAAGATTACAGAGATTGAGCATGCAAATGAAGTGCAGCATAGTTTGAATAATATTGAATATAATGTGGACTTACCTAAAAATAGACCAAATAATAACGATACAAAGGAACAGGAAAAGCCTGGTCATAAACACGAGGACGCTACAAAGGGGAAAGATACCATCATCAGTGAACCATCAAACAAAAAGAAAAATAGCATCACCAAAATTGAAAATGAAGTCAAAATTGAAAGTGTTAAACAACAAATTGACGCCACAGTTAAGCAAGAACAAACGTGTTCTCAAGGACAGTCGGAGAAATCAATCTGTTCTGAAATCAATAATGGTGATACACTACAATTGCTTGTAGCTTCAGCAACTAAATTGCAACAGGTCATTGCCAAAACGGACATTGTAAAAACAGGAGAACAAACTAAAAAAGACTCTCTGCTTACAGTTTCAGACTCTAATTTACCATTTCAAAAGGATCCGGCCCAACAGGATGGGGGAGAGGGTAAAATTGTTCAATTGTCAGTCTGCATCGAAACTGATACTCGTGGTCACACAAAGCAGGCTATTGACCAAGATCCGGCTTTTTTACCTCAAAAAGAACTGGAAATGGCTGACCAAAACACTGCCCTATTCACCGCAGGAACAGAGGATAGTCTTACGGGGGAAAAATCCAGGTTGGCATATTTAGATGTACCTGTTCCAGAGAGGAATGATGGAGAAGAAAGCGTGGAAAATGTAGATTCAAAAAAGCAAGGAGCAGTGAGAAAGAATGGAAAATGTATTAACAAAACATCAACATTAGAATCAAGTAAGCAGGCAGAGAGGTTAGATATTGGTGTTGCGAGGAAGGAGCAAAAGAACATTCTCTCGCAAGCCCCAATGTGCAAAGACGACACAGCTAGCACTAGCAAGCCTATTCACATAGATGACAAAGTGGCTGACCAGAAAGTGGATCAACAAGAAAAAGCAACACTAATAACTAGTTTGTCAGCAGTGGAGCCGGTGGAAATAGAAAACAATGCTCTTTCTGTCAAGTTTAATGAGGGAGAAGGAGACCGCGGCAGACAAACTATTGGACTCTCTGCGCTGACAAGCTCTGTAAAAATGTGTGGAAAAGGAACGCTGCCAATACCAGCAAGCGAGACGAAACCACAGGCTAAAAGTGAAACTGTGGAAAATAAAATCCCAAATTGGCCTGATGACTCAGAGCAGAAGGGCGAGCTTATTACTGGCGAAAATGGAGGGGTGCTAAATGTGGCTGTGTTTGAGCCTATGGATATTGTAGAAAAAGCGAGGAGCGTAGGTAGTAATTTGAATGTGGGTAAGATCTTGTCCGATAGGCCAAAAGATTTGAGCGAACAAGCTTCAAAAAGTACAGGAAGCGAAACGTCAATTGGTAACACAACAATGAGTAATGAAATAGCAGCTAATAGCAAAGCAGTGTCCCAGGCCCCAGTGTGCAAAGATGACCCAGCAAGCAAGAGCAAGCCAACTCCAAAGACGACTCCGGAAGATAAACAATTCTTGAACTTATCTCTAAAAAGGCACAATTTCACAAAAGGTAGAAGCAAAGATGATTGGAGCCAAGATGTCCCGTCGAGCTACCTGGATGTGGATTTCCCCAAACAGAAGTTCAAAGTGTTAAGCGAAGGCAAGTTAACCTCGTCAGGAAGCGAGAGCAACCTACTGGACACGTCTGGCGATCTCGACGATGAAGATTTTGTGGAGAAGATCAAAAAGCTCTGTGCGCCCTTTTCCCTGCCCCCCCGAAGGCATCACCCGCTACGATCACCACAGCCGCCCTTTGCCATGCCAGCCATCAAAGAGGACAGATTTGAGAAGACGTTTGACCCAGAGATGTTCACATTTGGATTAAGGAAAAAGAGTAAGTTTAGTTTAGAGACTCCGAGTTTGTTAGCCAAGCTTCAAAATCCAGATGGAAAACCCTGCATAAAAGCAGCGAGAGCGAGTCTTGCGGAGCGGAGCATGCTGCTAAGCGGGTTGGAATCTCGTTTTCGGGACAAAGATGCTTCAAAAGACGAGCAAGAGGAGGCAAAAGACGACGCTAAGGATGAAATTAAAGTGCGTATGATATGGTGTTATGATTTTCAACTTTATTTTTTTTTTGACACATTCTCCAAGTATTGAAAGATTCACATATTTAAAGCTAGCATTTGTGAAGAAAATCTAACATTACGTTAAAATGTAGGATGTAAAGGAGTTCAGAACTAATTCTAACATAACTAATTTATACAATAGATTCATGTAATATCTAGGTTTTTCACTTCTTTTGGCTGAGGTCTTCCACAATATAGTATTTAATGTTCGCCCTGTTCCTTATATTTTAACTTAATTCCTTGGATTCATGCATGCACAATATGGAAACATATTGTTGCTTTAAAGCTGGTGTGCCTAACATTCTGAAAGTGAAATGTGAACAAATCAGACCACAACATCCTGTCTTCTTAGGCAACAAGTATGAAACATGTTTTCTCATGTGAGTTACTATTTGACACGTTAGGCTGATAGGTTGTCCTCTATTCTAAAGATGTGGCAAAAACACAGGCATGAGAAGTCTAGTGACAACCACTTTTTTTTTTAGACCCTGGAACAAGGTAAATGGATCATATTACGTAATTAACATGTGTTGTTGGAAAGTTGAGAAAAATAAAAATTTTGTTGAGGGATTAAGAAATCCCTCAACTAAATAAAAGTACATTTTAGTCTAATTCATAGATTTTGGCCCAATGTCACACATGGTTGGTTGATAATATTGCTGTTATGCTGTCTCGAGCTAAATTACTCTTCCAAAATATATGGAAATGCTATATATATTAGAAGCATTTTTGACAAATCCTAAGTTAATAGTGTTTTGGTGAAATGTGTTTTAAGGTGAAGTCGCGTTTGGAGGGGAGCTGTGTGCTAAACAGTCTGACCACATCCAGTTTTAGGAGCAAACCCGGCCAAAGCCAAGCACAGACACAAAGCACTATTTCTGAGAATGTGTCTCCGGGACCTCCCCCATGTCCCGCTCAAACAAACCCTGAAGAGAGGGACAAGAAAGAGGAAATCCAGTGCGCAGAGGAACTTGTGGCTTGTGACTCAGCCCCTCCGATTCCAACGTCTAACCAAGTAAAGCTGTCTGACTTTCTGCTGAAGCACCACCCCGAAGAAGCCGAGCTGGAACAGGAGCAGCCATCTGGAGAGCAGGAGGTGAGTGCTCGGAGCCCAGACATGTCCCATATGTCCGCACAGGTCCACACAATGCATCAAAGTAACACTGAGAAACCGGAAGAAGGTAAAACCTCAAAGTGTAGCTTTAAAGAGCAATATGCATTCTGTGTGTTAGTTCTGGCCATTACATGTGCTGAAATTCTTCACTTTGACATGTTTTAGAATCCTGAGAATATGCTTATGCATGGATTATGGAAGGCATGCACAGGGTGGTCAACACACCTCGAGGAGAAATTCCTTCTTTTATATTGCTTTTTGTCTTGTATTTTTGAAGATACAGGCTTTGTCAATGACAGTCTGCGGATTTGTCCTCATGTGACCAGTTTGAAAACAGAACAATGAGACAGAACCCATTTTACATACATTTTCATTTTGCATGCCTTATAATAATGTGATACAGTTTATTACACCAGCAATGTGGTGTTTCTGGGTGAAGTCGTGCATGTTGTGACACACAGACAAGGCTTTCACACACGTGCTTCTAGAAGTGGCACTCGCCCCGAACATGTTTAGGAATGCAAAGAATGTCACAAAACTCACACATGCGCACACACTCTTCAACGGCAGACGTTTCTGTGCTAGCTTCTCTCCAATAGGACCAATAGGAAAGCTGAAGTTCCGTCCTGCTTTGTCCTTAAAATAGACCTTCTGTCAGAGTGTAGCTCCAGGTTAGGTCAAGTTTATTCATCTCAAATACTCTCAAATGCTACTGAAAGAAGAAACAAAGAAACACTTTGCACTTTTGGTCCTTAAGATAGATAGATGGTTATTTGTCACAAAACTTTTTAACAACACGGGTCAACAAGAATAATAACAATAATACTTAACCAATACATCTGTATTTTTAGTTTGATTGAAGTAGTCAAATAATAACGGAACAGTAATAAATGGCATTATAATGACACTATTTACATGCTGGAAATACAGCTACACGTTTGTATGGAACCAGAGAAATTGCAGAAACAAATTCAGAAGCAATGCTTGTGATTTAAAAGGCCGAAATTACTTTCCTTATCTTTAACCCTGACGCCACTGTTCCATCTGCCATGACATGGAGGATCTGAAATTGTGCTATAACGTCAAGGAACTGTAAGGAACATATATTAGCCCTTTAGGATAAGAAACAAGGGACGTTCCATTATTAGCACTTTAGCATTGGAAACCTGGCTAAAAGGGCTATTAAAGGAACGTCCAAAGGTGCTAATAAAGGAAGCGTAGAGGTTCCTTTGCTTTTGTTCCTTGATGTGATTGCCTGTTCTGATTCAGATCCGACTGGATTTGGATTAACTGAATGAGAATGAATTTGTCCAATATTTGCATGCGAAAGCACTTTATGCAGTGCTTTATTTATCTGATTGGTTGAAATTTGTCAGACTGTAAACTGAGACTTGATTCTAATTTTCCTGCACCCTTCGAAACCCCGCTTTTCTCTGGGAAGGAAATTCTATTTACATTGTTCCAATGTAAGTTCCATGATCCATGAGAATTTCCATGATCCAGTCATCTTGGTTAAACATTGTGAAAGTGCAATATGCGCGCAGGCAGTAATGGTACGCGCAAACAGTTTTTAATTGTCTTGATAATGCTTAAAGAGAACATAAGAGTATATGAGATGCACACTCTGCGTTTGACACTGTTAAGGCTAATTCAAGCTCTATGGACAAGCATCAAATAAAATGCAGATAGCCTTTTATTTGATTCGTGTCCATAGAGCTTGTGGAGTCAAAGGAACTCCGCAGTAGCTACCCACGATGCAGCTCACTGTCCACATTTCCTTTCCTCATTACTTTGAAAAAGTAATTGTTTATAGTTACTAGTTACTTCTCCCAAAAAGTAACTGAGTTACTCCACTATAAAAGTAACTAGTTACCAGTAAAAGTAACTATTGCATTTCTTTTACATTTGTCGTGGTACCGAGCTTTAGCTGGTTGTAATTTAGGATAACTTGTAAGTAGATTTATTGTTGCAACAACGCCACCCTATTTTAGTATAGAGAACTGTCCTGCAAGGCACACAGGTGACAGGGCTAGGTGCCATTTAAATTACATTGCATTTATTTTTATACATTGATCAAATAAAACACATTATAAAACTTGCAATTGAAAGAGACTATTTTAAAATAATTAGTTCCCACATACACACGTATTCCGTTAAGCAGCCCTCGCGCCCGACAGACCAGAACGAGGGAAGATAGTCCTGTAACAGCGCCGGGACTGAAGAGAGGAGCAAACTCACGAGGCCCAGCAGGGCGTGTGGGCAAACAGTTAATTGTGCGACTTGAGTAACGTGCAGTAACGTGGTGTCGGCAATGATAACAGCGTTATAGTTACAGTCAAAGTAATTAGTTACTCGAGATTACTCGTTACTGAAAAAAGTTACGCCGTTTATTTCAACACCGTTTTTCCCATCACTGCCCATGGATTTGCCTTTGTACACCTATGGAGCTATTATTGTTTCGATAATATTTGTGCGTGCGTAAAAATATTTGTACATTTGTAACCAGATTTGTGTGTGCGTAAAAAGATTTGTTAGTGTGTAACCAGATTTGTGTGTGAGTATAGAAACCTGTGCATGCGAATCCAGATTTGTGTGTACATAAAAAATATGTTTGTACGTGTGTAAATAGATTTGTATGTGTGTAACAAGATTTGTGTGTGGGTAACTAGATCTGTGTAAAAAGAAAAATTGTTTTACACACAAGTCTTTTTTTTACACACAGATCTTTTGACACAGTCTTGCCTTCGCAGATTTGCAAGTGTAACTTGGACTGTGTGCGTGTGTACCCAGATTTATGTGTGTGTAATTTGACATTTGTATCTGTAACAGAACAATCTGTAAATAACCAAGTTGTAAGAAGAGAACAACAGAAAAAAGCCTAAGTGCTACGCACAGGCTCTCGTTTTACACACAACATTTTTGACACACTCCTGATGTCAGTGACTCTAGAGATTCTTAAAGAGCGACTAAACACCTGTGCCCAGCCTTACTCCACCCACATGAAGATTTGAAAATTTTCTCTAAAAAGGGCGTTGCCTGGAGGACCAAGGGACAAGAAGGGGGGCTTAGAGTTGGGCATGGTCTGGGCTGTGATTGACAGCTCACTTGTCACACAAAAAAAAAAACACAGTTGTCATTGCTGCTTAAAGCAATAGTTTACAGACCAGAAAGTCTCATTCCACCCTTGTTTACACACTAAGATAATTGTCAAGCTACACACCTGAACCTAATCACACTCAATAATCTCAGAATGACTCATGTAATTTAATTTTAATCCACTAGATGACGCCAGAATACTCCAAACTGCATCTGGGGCGTGTGTGAGAGTTGAATGGGTTCACATCATTGGCTCTGACAGACTGACGTCACACAAAACAACTGATGTCATAGAGAACTTCAGAGTCAATGGAGAGGCCAGAACCAAATTCAAATGTAGTACCACCAAAAAGGTGGAGAGGGCACCACACAGCGTTTTTTGGCTCAAAAGTTATATTCTATCTAATTTGAACTAAAATGTCAAAGAAAATGACCAGGATATGTAGACAGCACTACAATAAACATACTTATGCAGTTTATGAGTTAAAAAAAGTTGATTTGGTGTTTAGTCGCTCTTTAAGTATAATGGTGTGGCTCTAGCACTACACCAGCAGATGGTGCTGTTGTAGCTGGTTATTACACGCATGCAAACCAAACACCCCCATAGAGGTGATGGGGGAGTCCATCAGGGAGGACGGAGGTGGGGGGACTGTGCTCTTCCTGAAGTTCACAATCATCTCCACTGTCTTCTGGGCGTTCAGCTCCAGGTTGTTACCACTGCACCAGGACACCCGCTGGTCCACCTCTCTCCTGTAGGCGGACTCATTGTTGTTGGAGATGAGACCAATAAGGGTGGTGTCGTCTGCCATGGGCCAAATGAGAAATTAGGCTCTTAGCTTTAATCTGCAAAAAATGGCTTGTTTTTACCTTTTACCGTTCTTCAGCAATCTGTCATAGAATATAATATATATAGTTCAATCCAAAACAGATATATCACCCAGATATGAACCCGGGTCACAGCAGTGCCACAGCAGTGCCAGCGCCTTCAATTGTCTCAATTTTTCACAAAGGCGTCCAGATATAAATTCTCGTATTAGTTTTTGTTTTGTCTTTAATGATTTAAGAATCATAACAAGACCTTTTTTAGTTCTGCGGCCACATTTTATTTTACCACTGAGATTAGCTAGCCGCGGGATCACCCGGATCACAGACTTCCTGACTGGTGAAACGGTGGAGGGCGGGATATCGGAATAAACAATAACAAGATTTACGGGCTGTAAAACTAATTTTGAAATTTTGAAATAAAAAATCTCGGCTGAACTAATGTTATCAGTGAAAGAAGTATTCGAAAAGAGCATGGTTTATTTATGACTTTTGAAATATTAGGGCTATTTAATGATGACTTATGCAAATATTACATACTGCTACTTTAAGAGCACGCAAGATCACATACTTTCAGGACAGAAATCAAAACTAAATATAAATATGAAACAGGGTCTGATGATGAGTGACGTGCCAGCATGTATAAAAGTAACAACACGTGTGACTCTTACACGGTTAATGATGATGTTGTCCCTTAGGTGGCAGTAAAAATGCCTTCTCTGGACCAGCCCAGTGCGACCACAGCGCAGACACCTCCGAAGTCTCTGACCAATCACTTCTCTGGTATTTCTCTGAAGGATCAAGCCCCACCTCCTGCTGCCCCACCCAGGAGGAGACCTGCCAACAAAGTACGAGAAAGTCTGACCTATTAACAATTATAAATATATTCTTTGTGTGGAATCTCTCCGGTCGACAAAGTGGCTGCTGTTGATTCCTCATAGAAAAACATTTTTAAAGCTGGGGTACTTAATTTTAAAGAAAGTTTCAAATAAGGCAGCGCATCCCTATAGTCTGAAGTAGCGTGCTAGATTAAAAAAGTGCAAAACGTGAAAATAGTGAAAAATCCGCACAGCTATGTTGCTCCCAATCAGTGTCTTTTATTTACAGACCACGTAGTAACGTTGATGTCTGATGAGGCCCTTCAATGTCACTAGCTCCTGGCTCTAAAACGGCTTCTTTCACACCCATGTATATTTTGCTCTCTTTGATCTCACATCTTCATCCCTTTTTCTCATTTCTGTCGGCAAAAGCTGGTATAATCACCCTCTCACAGGAAATCAGTTTTCAGCTGAAAGAGTCTTCTTACAAGTATGCAAAAGACTTATAAAAGACATCTATAAGATGAAGACAGCATGTTGTGGTTTAACATTTTGCTTTCTGTTGAACAAATTACATCAATTATTTAAGAAAAAGGTGAGCTCCTCCTGTTTTATTGACAAAAATGTATTAACTGTAGTAACAAAATGTCTTCTCTACTCTTTTGGCAGATCCAAGCAGCAAAGGGATTTCACAAGAGGCCGGGGAAGGTAACGTAGGCACAACTTTTGCCCAATTTGAACTGCATCAAGATGGTGGAAAGAATGTCTTTGGCAGAAGTATGTTTGTATGGGACATCTGTGAGTCATCTGTGGTAGTGTGGGTAAACAGTAAAGTATTCAGCAGGCTTGACAAATGTGTCAGATGGGAGTGATTATATACAGTGCATTCTCAAAGTATTCAACCCTATTTACTTTTTATTTTTGGAAAGGTTAAGAAATAGCAAATACATAATTTTATATGTCCCCACATAATAGGTGAAATTTACAAAAAAAATAGCTCTGCACTTTTGTTTAAATGAAAGCAGATTCAAAAATACAGTGCCTTGTGAAAATATTAATACAGCTTGAACTTCTGAACATGTCTTATTTTTTATTTTGAGATTTGACTGAAAAACCACAAACACCTATGAAGTGAAAGTAAAATGATACATGTTTTTGTTAAAGGAGATATACTCGATTCTGCAAGTTTTTTCAGTTTGAATGTTTTGCACCGCCCCCCAACACGCTCACAGGCTTCTCATTTCAAGAAACCCTCCTACTTTCCTCCTACGCTCTCCTCCCACGAAGCCATCTAGTCTTTAGTCGTGATCTGATACGTATGCAAACATTAGCATTAGCACAATTTTCGTAAGCTGTACAACAATCACTGATGAAATGGTACAAAAGCAACACACTGCTAACAAAATATACAGTACAATAACTGAAAGATTACCAGTTTCGCGTCCGAGGCTCCCGCAGGTCTCTCCAGCAAGGATACAATGTAAACTCTTTCTTCTTTGATCCTTTTTTCCCTTTAGTTCCCTCTTCTCCTCCTTTTGCGTCTTTTGGGCTGTTTTGCTGTGTATGCAGTAACAGCCAGAGGAGGTATAGCCACTTTCTGCTGCCATGCTGTTCTGTTTACCTGCGCTGCAAACGCTAAAGAAGGCGGCCTGTTTGCATCAGCGCCTCCTTTTGTTGTGCAAGTGGAGGAGAACTAGTGTCACATAAAGTTTCTACTCACTTTGCATGGCCTGAATTCATGCATAAGCTGAATATTGAAGATTTCAATTCAATTATGGATTTTAATACAACTTGTATGTAGTAATACGCATTTTTATGAACTCCTTAGAAATCAGGTATAGTTCCTTTAATTAAAAAAAGTCAAATCTGAAGATAGACGTTTGCAAAAGTAATCATATAACAGGAGTTAATACTGTGGAATGCCTAGCCCCATGTCCTGCATTTTGCTCCATCCACCTTCCCATTAACTCCTCCCTGCTCCTGAAAAAGAAAAACAGGCCTAGGATGGTATACTGAAGGAGATAAGCAGTATTAGTTTTAGCCATACATACAATTTGGCATCTGTCCCCTACTTTGCCTGGTGATGCTTTATTTCAACACAGCTTTTTTTTTACCACTCATCCATATAGGCCAGATTTTTGTAGTGTATGACTATTTACCCCATGTACAGGTTCCTACAGGTGAATCTGCAACCTCTGTGTGTGTACTTGTCTCTAGATGCTGCTGTTTGAGAAGGCTCCGTTTGAGGGCCAGGTGTATGAGGTTCACAGGGATGTGGAAGATGCCACATCCATGCTGCTGTCTGCCTTGGTGTCAGTGCGGGTGGTCAGAGGCTGGTGAGTTTAGCTTCTACAAAATCTTAACCATATCTACTTTGACATTTAATGTCTCATTATAAGAAATAATTTATAAAGTAGTCTAAAGGGGAAGGGGAGGTGTTTGTGCCAGAAGTTGTTAAAAAAAACAAAAAAACTTTAACTGAAAGTAAAAGTAAGTTTTGTCTGTGCCATGTTTGTTATGAATATTCCAGGTGAATGAATACTGAGACAAGAGTGTTCTGAGCAGTCTGCATGTATACTGACAAAAGGGTGGTCTGAGCCTGCATGTATACTGAGACAAGAGAGGTCTGAGCCTGAATGTACTGAGACAAGAGAGGTCTGAGCCTGAATGTATACTGAGACAAGAGAGGTCTGAGCCTGAATGTATACTGAGACAAGAGAGGTCTGAGCCTGCAATATACTGAGACAAGAGGTCTGAGCCTGCAATATACTGAGACAAGAGAGGTCTGAGCCTTCAATATACTGAGACAAGAGAGGTCTGAGCCTTCAATATACTGAGACAAGAGAGGTCTGAGCCTGCAATATACTGAGACAAAAGAGGTCTGAGCTTGAATGTATACTGAGACAAGAGAGGACTGAGCCTGCAAGTATACAGAGACAAGAGAGGTTTGGATTTTGATTGTGTTGCATAGTCCATCATTTTAGTTCTCAATATAGGCTTTCCATTAAATCATGATTATTCTTCTTCAATATATCTATAAAACATGCAATGTTCTAATCAATGTTCTAATGTATATCAAAAGTGTCAGCACATCTCAAACTCTGGTTGTTTGGTGTCCACAGTTGGGTTCTGTACGAAAATCCTGGATTCCAAGGGCGCACAATCGCTCTGGAAGAAGGTGCCCTGGAGCTCACTAACATATGGGCCCAGCCTGCCCCAGACTTGGGCCTGGAACCTGGGTTAGAACCACTGGAACCCTGTGACACGCCATTGCAGATTGGCTCCATACGATTGGCTGTGTCTGTAAGTCAAACTCTCTATTTGCTTCTGTAACAAATGCGTTCTCTGCTTTTTAGGAAGAGCAAATCATCTGCAAATGATTTGCTAATGTTGCGCAAGCATTATTTTTTTTTTGCAAATGGAAACATTTCTGCTGATTAACAACTGACGTTTTGTAAAGGGGCATAGCGCAAAGTGATAAGGCAGGACTGAATATATAACAATGTGCCACATGGTTCATAGATGATCTTATGTATAATGCAGAGACAGAAAAGCGTTCATAAGGAAGTAAATATCTCATCATGGATTATCATGTTTTGTGTGTGAAAAACAGCATACATTTTTTAAAGCTAGAAGTTAATTTTTTTATATTAGAATGTGAGTACGTTTTGTCTGGTCTGCAGGACTACAGCATCCCCCACATAGACCTGTTCACGGAGCCAGAGGGGAGGGGCCGCGTCACGTCTTACCATGACGACGTCATGGAGACAGGTTCTTTTGGGATCCCCCTCAGCACCGCGTCTGTCCAAGTCCACTCCGGAGTGTAAGGGGCAGCTTCATTCTACGTTCACACACTGACTGCTATCTTTCCATTACCACTTATACCTCCCTCCCCCCTGCTCACTCATTTCTGTATCCTGGTTCTCTCTTCTTGCGCTTCCTATTGTCATAAGAGTCCAGGTAATTTGTGATACATAAGACCTGGTGTATCACACAGGCATCACACATGGTTCTGCTGATACAGAACCTTGCGAAAGTATTCGGCCCCTTGAACCTTTCAACATTTCGCCACATTTCAGGCTTCAAACATAAAGATATAAAATTTTAATTTTTTGTCATGAATCAACAACAAGTGGGACACAATCGTGAAGTGGAACGAAATTTATTGGATAATTTAAACTTTTTTAACAAATAAAAACTGAAAAGTGGGGTGTGCAATATTATTTGGCCCCTTTACTTTCAGTGCAGCAAACTCACTCCAGAAGTTCAGTGAGGATCCTTGAATGATCCAATGTTGTCCTAAATGACTGATGATGATAAATAGAATGCACCTGTGTGTAATCAAGTCTCCGTATAAATGCACCTGCTCTTTGATAGTCTCAGGGTTCTGTTTAAAGCGCAGAGAGAACCATGAAGACAAAAGAACACACCAGGCAGGTCCGAGATACTGTTGTGGAGAAGTTTAAAGCCGGATTTGGATACAAAAAGATTTCCCAAGCTTTAAACATCTCAAGGAGCACTGTGCAAGCAATTATATTGAAATGGAAGGAGTATCAGACCACTGCAAATCTACCAAGACCCGGCCGTCCCTCCAAACTTTCATCTCAAACAAGGAGAAGAGTGATCAGAGATGCAACCAAGAGGCCTATGATCACTCTGGATGAACTGCAGATAACGACTGCTGAGGTGGGAGAGTCTGTCCATAGGACAACAATCAGTCGTGCACTGCACAAATCTGGCCTTTATGGAAGAGTGGCAAGAAGAAAGCCATTTCTCAAAGATATCCATAAAAAGTCTTGTTTAAAGTTTGCCACAAGCCACCTGGGAGACACACCAAACATGTGGAAGAAGGTGCTCTGGTCAGATGAAACCAAAATCAAACTTTTTGGCCACAATGCAAAACAATATGTTTGGCGTAAAAGCAACACAGCTCATCACCCTGAACACACCATCCCCACTGTCAAACATGGTGGTGGCAGCATCATGGTTTGGGCCTGCTTTTCTTCAGCAGGGACAGGGAAGATGGCTAAAATTGATGGGAAGATGGATGGAGCCAAATACAGGACCATTCTGGAAGAAAACCTGTTGGTGTCTGCAAAAGACCTGAGACTGGGACGGAGATTTATCTTCCAACAGGACAATGATCCAAAACATAAAGCCAAATCTACAATGGAATGGTTCACAAATAGACGTATCCAGGTGTTAGAATGACCAAGTCAAAGTCCAGACCTGAATCCAATTGAGAATCTGTGGAAAGAGCTGAAGACTGCTGTTCACAAACGCTCTCCATCCAACCTCACTGAGCTCGAGCTGTTTTGCAAGGAAGAATGGGCAAGAATTCCAGTCTCTCGATGTGCAAAACTGATAGAGACATACCCCAAGCGACTAGCAGCTGTAATTGCAGCAAAAGGTGGCGCTACAAAGTATTAGCGCAATGGGGCCGAATAATATTGCACGCCCCACTTTTCAGTTTTTTATTTGTTAAAAAAGTTTAAATTATCCAATAAATTTCGTTCCACTTCACGATTGTGTCTCACTTGTTGTTGATTCTTGACAAAAAAATACTGGGATTTGGCTCTTATGAAGTCCAACACGAGCCGCTTTTTTTCTTAAGAAGTGGGATGATGGTTGACTCTTTAAAGCTGTTTGGCACAGTACAGTTCCTTTGCAACAGGTTGAAAATGTCTGTTAAAACTGGGGCAAGTTGCTCATCTGGCAGAGCTTGGCCAACAGATGCAATTTTACCTGCACTTGGTTTCCAGGACGTGATGGCTTTTATACCGTTCCACTTGCGCCGAGGGTCATCTTCTTCAAAATATCCCTTTTACCTGTCCCCGTAACTGCGCTTTGCAGATTTAATTGAACGTTTCAATGAGTAACAGGATAACTTATAAGCAACTGTATCATTTGATTGCTACGCCAAAGCAGGCTCATGATTTTTTGTTTCACTTCCGCGAATTCATTAACATTATTATGTTACAGGTTCAGGTATCAATGGTTTTGTTCAGTTTAGCAACATGTTTTAAACTTGCAAAATTAGTGCTCCTCCTTCACAAACCGATATGGAATGGAGGTGTTTTCAGCCTCTTACCCATTCAGACCGTCTTTCAGGCCTGGGCTGAAGAGAACCCCAAGTAGTCAGTCCCAGCTCCATATATACCAGCCGTGATACTGCTGACAGGTCACACTGGATTGGTCAAAGGTGGCCAGAATACAGAGGTGGCCTCCATGGAGGGGGGGCATTCAGGGCAGGACAGATGCAAATTAATTCTAACAGTTCTTTCTCTGGCCTTTAAGCCTTTGGGCTATCTATGTGTACTGGGTGCAGCTTTGACTGCCACTCCTCCGATCCAGGAATGGATTAAGGGGAAGAAAATGGATGGATGGAATTTTTTCTCTGGTTTGTTTGTTTGGAATGTGCTATACAAATACATGTATGTTTCCCTCTGCTGATACAGCTGGCTGGTGTTCAGTGACCCTGGCTTCCAGGGCATGTTGGCGGTGCTGGAGATGGGGGGGTACCCCTTACCCGAGGCATGGGGGTTCCCTTCACCCTTTGTGGGATCACTGCGACCACTCAAAATGGTGAATACTTATTTGTTTATTTAAATTATTGAAATATGTTGGAAAAACATAATCATTAGAGCGGTATACTGTTTAAGTAGGGATAACACGCAACATCACCAATGCAAGATCATGCAATTCCCTACAATCTTTCTAAATGCTGTTTTTAAACTTGACAAACACACTATGACAAATCCTAAAGAGACGACTACTGACTAGACAAATGTTGTCAAATGACATTCCTTATACCGGTAAATGTGTGTTTTATCTCCATTCCGTTATCTGCTGCATTATATGAATGAGTCTGTGCTCACATCTTGAATCCTTTTTCAGGGAGGGCTTAAAGTGGAGAATCCTAATGAAGTCAAGGTAAGATTTGTCTATGTTCTGCTCATGTTTTATCCACGTGCTGATAATTTCAGCAATGTCAATCCAAATGCACACCACAAAAATACAGTAATGTAATGTCTATGATCTGACCACAGAACATACACGTTTGACCTTTTACCATGGCTTAGAACAATCTATTGCCGGTCAAAACCAAAGTGTATATGCATGGCTGTGCACAGGCACTGGTGTACGAGTGCTCTGGGTTTGAGGGTCCTGCTCTGGAGACTGAGGCGGACATGTTCTGCTTTGGAGAAGAGGGCGGGGGACAAGACACCTCCCTGCAGAGCGTGGGGTCACTCAAGATACTTGGAGGATTGTGAGTATGCGAACAGCTTTATGTAACACACTTGTTACATAACACCCCTGGCTCATTATTGTATATTTAGTTAAACTGAAATCGGATCTAAAACAATGTTATAAAAGACAAGTTGCTGCAACTCTGTATTCAGTCCCCCGTAACGCTCCTGTCCCTCTACTCAATGTTATTATTAGCATGGTCACATCAAATGCTTCCGCTGATCTTTCTTATTGCAAAATTATACTGTATGAGAATGTATTTACTATATGTATTGAAAATTCTCATACAATCCACTACTTAAAGCTATATTCGTTTCTGCAAGGTTTTTTTCAGTTTTATTGTTTAGCACCTCCCCCCTACGCTCTCCTGCCTCAGAGCCATCTAGTTTTAGTAGCGATCTAATACGCATGCAAATATTAGCATTAGCACAACTTTGTGTAAGCTGTACAACAATCACTGATGAAATGGTACAAAAGCAACACACTGCTAACAAAATTTACAGTACGATAACTGAAAGATTACCAGTTTCACGTCCGAGGCGGTTTCGCTCCCGCAGGACTCTCCAGCAAGGATACAATGAAAGCTACCTATGTTCACCCGGGCTTGATTTCTTCTTTGATCATTTTTCGCTTTAGTTCCCTCCTCTCCTTCTTATTTTTGCTTCTTTTGGGCTGTTTTGCTGTGTATGCAGTTACAGCCAGAGGAGGTATAGCCACTTTCTGCCACCATGCTGTTCTGTTTACCTGCGCTGCAGACGCTAGAGGAGGCGGCCTGTTTGCAACAGCGCCCTCGTTGTGCAAGTGGAGGAGAACTAGCGTCACACAAAGTTTCTACTCAGCACTTTGCAAGGCCTGAATTCATACACAAGCTCAATCAATGAGCTCAAGTTTTCAATTCAATTACGGATTTTAATACAACTTGTATGTAGTAATATGCATTTTTATGAACTAGTTAGAAAATAAATCAGGTATAATTTCTTTAACTTGAGTTGTATTAGCATTAAGACGACTACCAATCAGACTCAATCCATAGCTAACCCATAACTGAAGCAATATTACAACTACGTAAAAAAAAGTAGAAAATTAAAGCAAATGTAGATGTTTTGGTGATAGGCTACACAACGCCTTTTTCTAAAGCCTGTTTAAGCCCTTTACAAACACCCAGAGTTTCTCTTCCCTTTCCCTGGGCGCTGGCTGTTTGTACAAAGATAGATCCAGTCTGTTACAAAATACAAACATAGTACAGTCTGCGGATCAAGAAAAAAGGTTGTACATCCAATATAACCTAGCAGCACCTGCACTCAAAAAAGTGAACAATCTAGTAAAATATGAAGTCTGCACAGCTCTTGAGCTCCTAGGTGTAGTTTATTCACACAGATGCAACTTTTTGAACTTAATCGCAATAATTTGAACGTGATTGCACTAAAACATCATGGCCTTGTGGACCAAAGCAACAGCCGTTACCACAATCAACCATCCCCCCCATGTTTTACTGACCTGTGTACACAAATTATGTTCTCCTGAACTATGTTTGCTCACAAGTGTCTTTAAGAGATTCTTCGTGTGCACAGTTTGTAACGGGCTTTAGTCAGAGCACGACTACCTTTTGTAGTTGGGGAGAAAAGCTATTTCATCAACAATACAAACTTTGTCAAGATGATATGATATGCTGAAACATTCTGCTGCGTGCTTCAGTGACGTGAACTGGTGTGTGGCGGTGGGAGCTGGGCTCAGATAGCTCACACTGGCAATAAAAGCTTTAACACAACTCTTCCAAATTCCTTGGCCTACCTCAGGTGACCACAGAGCACTAAACTGTCCAAAAATGTAAGTGCTCTGTGTTCACCTGTAACATACAATGATGACACTTTATGTACTTGAATTATAAAGTGTAATCAGTTTGATATTTTGACATTTTGTCAGTTTAGTGAAACCTTTACACTGGGCTTGACATCATCTGTCACTATCATCATTCACTCGCAAAGTGTCAAGTTGAATTTGCATTTAAGCGTGTGTGTGTGTGCGCAGATGGGTCGGCTTCAGTGAGCCTGGCTTTGAGGGGCAGCAGTACATCCTGGAGGAGGGGGAGTATGAGAGCTGTGAAGCCTGGGGCGGAGGACACATCCTGTCGCTGAGACCCATCATGGCCGTGAGTGTTCTGTCCACACCTACACTATAGAGAAGACGTTTATGCTGTCAAACCCATGGCATAAACAAGGGTGAGAACATAGACTGAGCGGTAAACCTTTCGGCACAACAGTCAAACACAGCGACCACATTACTGCCAACGCTGCACTGATCTGTCTGTAAGTCTCCTGCTCCATCCTTCTCTCACTGTGAACTAAAACTACTATGGTTTGAGACCAATAAATGGGTGATTAATTAGATCGTTTTGTTGACTGTAATACAAGGTGTATCACACTGCAGGGATCTTTTTGGACTTGTGTTAAAATGCTGTGTCATCGGGACAGTGATAAGGCTCTGCAAAATATTAGGACTCGTGTCAGGAATGTATCATTAAAAGGGTCAAAACAAACTTCTGACTTTCAAAACAAACTAAAGTCACAGGACCATAGGGAATCACTCTAGCTTCCGTCTAGTTACATTGATTGTTACGTTGCCATATGCCTCTTGTGTGACTATATATGCACACAAGACAATAAAAGCAAACTATGAAACTGTTTGCTTTTATTGCGTCTAAATTTCCACTATATTTGGTTGGCGTGTTGACACTGAACACGCCTCAGTAATAAGACTAGATCGCAAGACGGGTTGAATGCCAAGCCGTTCTCAATCACTTAAAGCTTGGATGCTTTCTGTTGGCCAATCCAAATTCATTCTTTTGGGTTGCAGGACTTCATGTCTCCTCACGTAAAGCTGTTTAGCGACAGAGATTTCGGCGCTCTGGGTGTAAACATCGACCTGACCATTCCAGTGATTAACCTGGACGACACGGGATACGGCCTCAAAACCCAGTCCATCAATGTGGTCAGCGGAGTGTGAGTCCCCCATACATATTCACTCTTGTCCACACCTGTCCACTTCTGTCCATTCCTGTCCACTCCTGTCCACTCCAGCTCTTAAAGAACACAGTATTTGAGGTAATTTAGCCCCCCCCCCCCCCTTGTACTACCCCCTCTCCCCTGTAAGAACATACTACCCAGTCTTACCCCTCTACTCTCTAAGGACATGTACTCCCCGTCTCACTCTCAAAGCTGTGGAAGAGTGTTGAGTTGTTTTATTACTTTGTTTCAGATTCATATCAAATGTTCTAAATATGAGATTTTTTTGCTGACAGAAGCTTGTTATATATTCTGGATTACAAATTCCATCAAAGTTGCCTCACGCATGTGTGTGTCAGCTGCACACAGACAGAACAGCCCTGTCAGCTTAGTGTGACAGCAGCACACACAAGAATGTGCAGGAGGGCGAAAAGGTCATTGAAATCACATCTTCAATCTTCAATGGCCAAAACTGTAGCTCAAGAACGAATGTGTGCAGTGACGGCTGGCGGCAACTTTGGGCAGGAGAGCTAATGAATAAATATATAGTACATGACACATTTTAAAATTATTGATATTGTTTGACAAATTATAAATTTGACAAATAATACATATACAGTATTTGATATACTAGCAATCAATTATCAAACCATGTTATATTGAGAGAGCTTCATAACCATACTCTGTGTGTGTGAGTGAAATCATACCTTATTTGAAAAGAAGTTCGCATCAATGTTCCTTTTGTGTAGCAAAGAGGTCAATCACCCGTTCATTGAAGTCAGGTATTTTCTGAATAAAGTCCTGTTCAATTTACTGCACAGCCAGCGTGCTTGTCCCATAGTACTCCGTAGAAAGGATGTGATCCTCTTCAGTGTATTGAAACACCTCTCTTCTTCGGCAGATGTCATTTGCACTGTAATGGCAATTTGAGTTAGTTTCAATGTTTCAGAAAACAGTTTTTGAGGTTGTTTTAAGTGAGCATCTTCAGGAGTGACATTGCTGTATTCACTCCATCAAACGTTGCGCTTCTGTAGATCACAAAAAGCTTTTTTTTCGTAGTGTTTTCTTTGGACACTTCACATTCATTCAGTCATTATTCTTTCACTCCATACACAGTGAGGATAAACTACTACTGTAGCCACAGCTGCCCTGGGGAACACTGTCAAAAGCGAGGCAACCAGTATGTGCCATCGGCCCCTCTGACCACCACCAACCATCCACACACACACATCAGACTCATTTAGGCAATGTGGGTGGGGTGTATTGCCTAAGGACACAATGACAGTTTGGCACTTTACAGCCGCCCCACTGTGACATCCATCACAGTACTAACCAGGCCCTGCCCTGCACAGCATCAGAGGTCTGACGGGATCTGGTTTTTACATGCAAGTATAAATGTGTTCTACTCTTGTGAAGAGGAGCAGAACATCTCCCGGACCTGTCTGGTTTTAAGCGCGTCTGTGATTTGTTTTTGTAAAACTCTGTCTCACATAAAACAAAATCTACTACTATCTGTATGTGTGTGTATGTGTGTAGCCATGTGTTTCTCAAAAAATCTGTATGTGTGCTCTCCTTCAGCTGGGTGGTGTTTGAGGAGGCCGGCTTCAGTGGAGAGAGCTTCCTGCTGGAAAGGGGTCAGTACGGAACCCCTGAGGACTGGGGCTCAGCACGGCCCGTAATTGCCTCAGCCATGCCCGTGGTGCTGGTGAGTTACCAAAACCTATACCTAAACCAGGAGTTTATTTATCAGTAGGGTAAAACTAACCTTTCTCACAACGGTCTAAACCTCGCTCACATTTCGGCAGGCGACATCACAAATTGGAAAATCAAAGACATTCATTCAGCATACACACACACCTTCTTTCCTTAAGTGCGGGATAATGTGGTGCATGTTCTCCATTTACATCATTCATCACAATCTACTAATACAATTTAGAATATATATAGATTGGTCTCGGGGTATGATTCTCGCTTGGGGTGCAAGAGGTTCAAATCCCGGACGAGCCCCGTACTTGTTACGGCTGGCTCAGAGCCATAACAAATAGGGAGGCGAAACGGGGGTAAAAAGTGCAAAAAGTATTTAATTATAACCAAAGACGAGTATAATATGAACAAAAACAAGGTATGAGGTGTGAGCATGTTGTAATCAGTGTGTGGTGCAGGTGTATGAGTGCAATGAAAGCCAGTGAGTGGTGTGCACATTTGAGTTTGTCTTTTGTTTTATGCACCACATTCATAAAACAAAAGACAAACTGAAATGTGCACTTTTTACCCCCGTTTCGCCTCCCTATTTGTTATGGCTCTGAGCCAGCTGTAACAGTATCCCCCTCTATGATGGCATTAATTACATTTGTACATAATCAATGTCCAGAGAGGAACGGTCAAATCACACGCTCCTCTCAACTGAGAGACAGGGGTCACAACATCAGTTTGCTTTTCCCACAAGTTCCCTCTGTGTGTCAGCAGCACTCGGGTCGGGCCTTAGTTTTTGAGCCCAGTTGCAGCTCTAGCTTGAAAGCCTTGTTTCCCATTTTCCACAGTATTTTTCATGTGAAAAGTGGAAAAGGTTTGTCATGAGCTAGTGGTGAGTCAGAGGCACATGCTCTAAGAGGAAACTCCAAAACAATTTACCCGCATGACTCATCTACATCTTTCTTTACTTGTGATGATTAGAATCAGCTCATAATGCTTCCATGGTTGTTTACATGAGTAATGTACGAATAATAACCCCTGTCTCTTAAAGATGGAATATCCCTTTAGCAAAAAACAGATTGGTATTTTAAATCAACCAAAAAGGAGGTTCTATAAGAATTGAACATTAGCAACGGGAAGAAAGAAGAAGTGATAACACAATGACCTGTGTTGACCTCAGGGTGAGGGCGAAATCCAGGTCTACCAATGTCTCTTGCAAAGTCCTTGGACTCAAAAGAGGAGGAGCAAATGTGGGCTTTTTGCCTTTAGGTAAAATTGCTGTTATTTTTGTCTTTCCTGGATTTAAGGCCGCATGATTTTAAGGCTGAAATACAGAGAAATGTGGGGTGAAGAGACAAATGGTAACGTTGGGGAAGCTAGAGGAATGCCTTCTGAGTAATGGAGGGAGCAGTGTTAAATTGAATTGAATTGTTGAATTTTATTTAGTACATAGTAAATCTCAATATTGATACCAAACTATGTAATAAAAGACAATTCTGTAATGTGATAACATCGCAAGGTCAGGTTTCTGAAGTTGCAGCAGAAATGTTCAGCCTTTGACAATGCACACAACCCACACACTCATCTCCGCTTTGCTTTCCTTTTTTTCAGGAGAATTTTGAGAACACTGCCAAGTTCAAGGTTGGTTTTGCTCATTCCCAAATATAAAAGTTTTAGTCTCCACATGTAACCATTTTGTACATGCTGTCTCAGATCCAGCTGTTCCCAGAGGCAGACTTCCAGGGCCCTGTTGTGGAGCTGGATGACAGTGAGGCCCACCTGCCCCCGGGCTGCTCCGTTGCCTCCTGCAAGGTTCTGGCTGGGAGGTGGGTACCACTAAGAATGGAATTTAGACTATTTTAATTACTAGGCAGGATTTATGTTCATTTAGGGCTTTCAAACAAGATCTCTCTCATTGAAAAGTGAAAATGAGAGGACTAAGTGAGGGCCCATCAGCTGAGCAGCACTTACACCTAGTGGTAGAAATGTGATGTTATATTCAGTTAGATTTAGATCTAACGTGGTGCTCATTCCTGCTCAAAGTTCCTGATATTAGCTTGTTTGTGTCTTTGTGTGTCTCAGCTGGCTAGCGTACGAGGGGCCCGACTACTCTGGGAGCATGTATGTTTTGGAAGAGGGCTCTTACTCTGACCTGAGGGCCATGGGTTGTGTGCACTCCAGCGCTACCATCCTGTCACTGCAGATCGCTGGCTTTGTAAGTCCACACTTACATTCTTTATACGTTTGGAAAAGGGTTTAGGGGTTTCCAGGGATAAAAACGTAGATTGTTCAAGCTTTTTTATAGACCTGCTTGCCTTAAAGTGATTGTCTGGAGTTAGTCAGAAAAAAGAGAGAAAAGTACATGATTTGAAAAAAACGACCCAAGCTCCCTCCTTCCGTAACAATCAATCAACACATTTAAATGTTAATCAGAGAACACATTAAACATATACATCATTAATGAACATGCACAGAGGTTTTCAGAATTATCTGTTCACGTTTTGATGACAAAAATAATGTTTTAATGCACGAAAAAAGTGATTGCTGTAAACCCGGAAGTAGCTATTATCATGAATTGAACATTTTAGGACACATCTGCAGAGGATCTGATTATGGATATAGGTTCAGTATAAATGGGTAACTCAGCGCGGATGTTCAGAATTCTTTGTTCAGTTTTCATGTAGCTCCAGAGTCTAATAGTGGCTTGATTTGGAGGCTCCGCGAAAACAAACAACTGAGCATGCTACGAGCATGAGCGCCGATGATTGACAGACCTTGGCATCACTTGATTGGTTATTTTGTATCAACATTTAAGGCCAGGAGGTCAATTTAATACAATTCTTAAAATTTTTAATTCATATAGAGTTCCAGACTATCACTTTAATTGTAACTAGATTCAGGCTGTTCTGAGCATTAACATACATTTCACATTTGACAGAGTTGAAATTGGGTGAATAGAACAATGTACAGATTTTTGTGCCACACTCACATGTATTCATATCTGATGTCTGCAAGCAAGAGGTTCTGAGCTTTATGAGGTATAGCTAAGTTGGCTGGATGACACTGTGAACTTGTGTTTACAACGTTGTTTGAGAAAGAGGGTTGCATTATGCCCACTGTGTTACTCTGCAGCAGTTTGTGACCTTGTAAATCAAGAAATCCTTGATAACCTCCAACGAATTACCTCTTACTTACAATACAGACCAAAAGTTTGGACATACTTTCTCATTCAATGAGCTTCCTTTCTTTTCATGACTACTGAATGTAGATTCACACCCAGGCTGTCTAAGGGCTATTTGACCAATAAGGAGAGTGATCGGGTGCTGGACCTGGCCTCCACAGTCACTGGACCTGAACCCAATCCAGATGATTTTTGGGGCTGGACAGCAGAGTGAAGGTGAAAGGGCCAACAAGTGCTAAGCATCTCTGGGAACTCCTTTAAGACTGTTGGAAGACCATTTGAGGTCACTACCTCTTGAAGCTCATCAGGAGAATGCTTCAATGAGTGTGTGAAGCAGTATTCACAGCAAATGGTAGCTATTTCGAAGAACCTAGAATTCAAGACTTATTTTCAGCTGTTTCAGTTTTTTTTAGTACATAAATAATTCCACATGAGTCAATTCATAGTTTGGATGCCTTCAGTGTGAATCTACAATTTTCATAATCATGAAAATAAAAGGGGCTGGTGCTATGAGACTTGGGTGGCAGCTCTGATTGCCACCCCCCTGACCCAGAAATGGATTAAAGGGAAGAAAATGGATGGATGGATGGATGGATGAAAATAAAAACTCTCTGAATTAGAAGGTGTGTCCGAACTTTTGGTCAGTACTGTACGTCTTCTGTCCCTGTTCTTGCTTGCTAAGAAATTGGTATGAGAGAAGTTGGCTCCAGATTCCCGATCTGGGAGCTTGATTGAGTTAGCTCTATTTGGCTTTCTGGAGTCTACATACAAACTCAAAACAAAAGAGTACTGTGAAAGAGTTCAAGAGTGGTTTTCAGTCATTTGAGAAAAAAATCATTAAACATGGAGTGAAATATTTCAAACTTTTTGGTATTATAATTTTTTCACTTTCTGAAATTACGTTAGGATTGTATGTGTTCAATGTGGTTTTACTGCAAATGGCACATAAATGAATCTGAATCTGCAGAGGTAACATGAGAAACTTTAAATCTAAAGATATCCATCTTGTGTGCCTCAGGAGTTCTCGCTGCCCTCCATCGTGCTGTTCGAGCGTGCAGAGCTCAAAGGGAAGCGTCTGGTGTTGTGTGAGGGCGAGGTGAACCTATTGATGAGCGGCGGAGGAGGCCGCGTGCAGTCTGTTCTGGTGGAAGGGGGCATGTGAGTATCATCATTAAGATTAAGACATCCTTTATTCATTTCAGTGTTGCATCACAGGTTACAGAACAGTAGGAATTAGGACAGTAGGAATGACATATAAAGTATAAACCTATATCTACGCACTGTACATACCCATGCGAAGAGTCAACCCAATGTAGTCAACTTTATGTGCATAGTAGTCGAATCGATGACTTCATGCAGTCTGCAGGACTCACTACAATATTTAAATATTGTCCCGGGTTATTTTTCATACAAATTTGCAATGAAGCTGTGGGATGTGAGCACGGCAGAAGCGCGACAGGTATTAAAAAGATGCAATCAGTGTGATCATGCAAATAATGCAAACATGCTCTCTGTGGGACAGCGCACCCAGGAACCACCTAAAAACTTGTTTTGATTTGTTGATACCAAATATGTTTTGCCATATTGCAAGATTATCCACATGAAAACACGTCCAGCCTTTTACAACATCTGAAATAACTGCTCACTGCTGTATAAGATTGTTGGTGCAACCAACATTGCCTCTTACTGGCTACAGGTGCCTCAGCACCCTGCAGTATTCGTCTAGCACAGTCTCTAGCCTGCATTAAGAAAGTCTTAATGAGGTCAATTTGTCTGTTCAGAAACACTTGTGCCTAAACTCGAGTTGCGCCGCTTGTCGAGGCTGAGCTGCCTCAGCTGTTTATGATGTAATGCAAACCTGCGCAGGTGCGTTTCACGGCAGCCGAAGCAATCCAAGATTGATGACATAAAGTCCGTGAAGTTTAAATACGAACAAATTAAACAACTTTTAATGCAATTTGAGGCGATATGTTGATGGTTCCATGTTGTAATATGTGGGTTTTAAGAGTCAAAGTTTTGTGTAAAGTTTGAAGTTTGGTTTAAGCAGTCAACTGCTCCTGTGAAACCACCCTGCTGCTATGTGATAACAACACCTTTCCTGTTGAGTTGAGCTGCCGCATACGTCATTTTACTAATGTAGGCTGATGACGTGTCCTGTGGCTAACTCATGGGCTAACTCGACAGCTAACAACAACCCGGCTGGTCTGTTAGGTTGATAATGGAAATAATGACCAAACTCTAAGTTGGAAGTAAAATGACGTATGCCGCTGCTCAACTCGACAGGAAAGGTACTGCTATCAGACAGCAGCAGTGTGGTTTCACAGGAGCAGTTGTTTATTTAAACTTTGTATGAATCTTTGACTCTTAAAACCCACATATAACAATATGAAACCATCAAAATCTAGCCTCAAATTACATTAAAAGTGACATCTGTGTCTTAATTCGTTTACTTTATGCCCCCATCTTGGATTGCTTCGGCTGCCGTGAAACGCGCATGATGCGCAGGTTTGCATTACATCATAAACAGCTGAGGCAGCTCAACTCGACAAGCGGCGCAACTCGACAGAACACCGGCACAACATCAAAATCACAAACTTTTCGTGAAATTCACAATAACTAAAGCAGAATATTTTTGTGTTGAGGGTTTTGTTTAGAGCTCGGAAGTTTCCTGAGCGTGAGACTCTTGGTGACAGACAGAAAGTTCCCAGTGATGTGTCAAATTCAGGGCAGATGTGTGAGAGGAGAATGGAGAGCAAGCAAGCAGTCATTGTGTCTGATGAAAAGTAGATTATGGTCACGATGTCAATCTAATAATCAAAGATTTTAAGTAGAATCTTTCTACTACATATTCTTTAAGTAGAATCTGTCCCCCCTCCCATGTGAATCACAGTGAGCTTGGCTTGAATCAGACTTTTAAAGAGACATATTTCTTGCGGTCGTGTGAACATTTGTGTGTGTGTGTGTGTGTGTGTGTGTGTGTGTGTGTGTGTGTGTGTGTGTCCAGGTGGGTGCTCTACGAGGAAATAAACTACAGAGGGGCTCAGATTCTGCTGCGGCCTGGAGAAGTGTGCGACTGGAGACATTTCAGCGGCTGGAGGAGGATGGGCTCTCTTCGCCCTCTGCTGCAGGTTAGTGCACCCTACAACTCATCACAGCCTGCCCAAAGCATTTACAAATGACTGATAATCTTCTCATTATGTCTATTATTATCATTCCCTTGCCCATATCTAATATAAATGCACACTTTGTTTAGTCATAAATACTATAGATCTTATTGTGCACTGCTTAGGCCGCCATTTTATCGACTGCTTTAGGAGTCGATCTCCAAGGAGTCGATCTCTAAGGAGTAGTTGAAAACATTATCTTTCCAGGGCTAAACACCTGCAGAGCTGGTGTTTAGCAACATGAAAGCCTAGCGCACAAATGCACCAGTCCTCAGGATGTTTTACATGTTTTAGTGCTTGAACGGTTTTCATCTTTGTCTGATTTGTGTAAGGTGTAGTGGTAGTAGGTGTAAAATAATGATACAAAAATAAGCATAATCAACTGAATTATTCCAAGCCTGCTTAAGCAGACAGTTTTTATGTAGCCCATAGGAGTTTTGATAAATCCAAATATGAACAGCTTGAAGGCACAATGGGCATCATGTATGAAAGTTGCGTAGAAAAGGGTGTATATTTTGGGTATATATTCCATTTACGCAAGATCCGACGTGGCATTTATGAACGTGTGAGATACGCACAGATCTGAGCGTACGCACCTGCGGCTGTTGATAAATGCCGCACTCGAAACTAGCGTATTTATGAAAGTCACGCCTAGAAATATTCAGAAACTGCCTGTTCCACGCCCTGTTTTTGCGACAGGTCAGCACGAAGTCGGCTCAGAAGACTGTTTGGAAGCCTCAAAAAGCACACACTTCTGAGATTATTCACGTTTAAAAAATATATAAATATACGCTCTATTATATATACGCGTTTTTCCCTAGTGTCTAGACCCACTGCAGCACTTATCTCTCCTGAAATTTAGAAGTAAATAAATAAATAATGAATGAATGAATGAATGAATGAATGAATGAATGAATGAATGAATGAATGAATGAATGAATGAATGAACCAGTTCCCACATGCGCGTTGCATCCTTTCTCTGCTATGCGGAGAACAGGGCAGTGGATGAGCAGTTTTGAGCAAGATCAATTGCGTTTATGGGGCTTTATGCACAAAACTAAGGAAAACCCACATTGCTTTGCCAGAGGTGAATGAGGCAAAACATATGCGTAATTACGTATACGGCGCAGGGTCTGGTTAGTGAGTAAACGGCTAAGGAAAAATAACTTCACGGAGCAGGAGATTGAGACCATTATGAACGAAGTGGGAAAAAGAATAAAGTCTTACTATTTGGAATTCTCAAAAGTGGCATCAAGGGCTCAAAAAACAATATATGGAAAGAAATGACAGCATCTGTAAACAGCGTGGGGCCTGCAACACGCACTCCTGAAGAGGTGAGTTTATTCATGTTCGAAGAAAAATACGCAATATTATATCAAACAGTTGATATATTGGGCCAATAGTTAGAATTTATTAATTTATGCTACAAGTGAAAAAAAACGGAGCGACCTTAAAATGGTAACAAAAAGGCATTTAGCAGCCCATAGAAGAAGTGCTCAGCAGCCCAGGGGGAGGACCGCCAGACCAAAGCATCCAAAAGAAAATATAAAGAAATAAAATTATCTTCAAATTATGTATGTGATAATTATTTTAAAATGGTTGAATGAGAGCCTGTCTGAGCTGTACAGGCCGAAGGCGCTGCTGGCCATGGTCTCTCATCCATGGGCTGCTCCACCAGTGGCACACTGTGGTCCTGTGCCTGTTGTGGAGAACCGAGCCAGGACCATGTGGCACACTTGTAACGGGAGGTACCAGAGGGTACCCCCTACATGTCCCTGAGCCTGATCAGACCCGCGCAGCGCTCCACGGTGGCGCGCGTCTTTGCTTGGACCCGCATGAACCAAATGGCATTACGCACTGATTGTAGGTGCATATAACAATCCACACATTTGTGGGAGACTTTAGACTTTGACATCTTGCACGTTAATTAATAACACAAACTAGCCCTAACATAACATCATAAAATTGCATATTTGTAATGTGAGAGGTGTGCCTATAATCTTGTCAGAGTGGGAATATGTTTATTTTTGTCCAAATCTTGCATTTCATGCGTGTCTTGGCGTGTTGTAATGAAGGTTGAAATGAGCGTACACATTTACACCACCTATTGACTTGGTGTAAATTCTGTGCGTATCGTACGCTCACGTCCAGATTAATAAATGCGGAAAAGTGTAAATATTTTGCGTACGCATCATTTACACCCTGATTTGGCCGTACGCAAGTTTCATACATGAGGCCCATTGTAACCAATTCTCTCCACAACCCAGCTGTTCATAACTTTTCTGTTTGTCAACTTTAAAAATAGAGATTTAAAGGAAAATGGGGACCTGATTTTGGTTTTTCTTCAAGAACAGGACAGCACTCCCATAATCCTACACACACTCACCCGCATGCGGGTACTCACCCGCAGATCAAGTACTGCTGTTCATTGGCTGCATGTGTAACTGGTGTGTGTGGTGTGTGCAGAAACAGGTGCACTTCCACATCTGCAGCAGACTCTCGGGACAGCTCCTAACGGTGACTGGAGACTTGGACGACATTAAACTGCTACGAGTGCAGGAGACAGAGGCCAGTGGGGGCTTCGAGCAGATCTGGTTCTTCCAACACGGACACCTGCGGTGCAAGGTATACAAAAAGTCTCGCCTGGTCCTGACTAGGAGTTTTTGTCTTGTGAGATTTTAAGTCGTGACAACAACAACAACAACTTATTCTTGTATAGCCCTAGGTCACAACAGAAGTCATCTCAGAGGACTTAACAAACCATTGAAATCACCAACACAGATCAGAGAATCAACAGTTAAGACACAAAATATACACATATGAATTGGTCCATAGGGAGAGACCAATGTCCATGACTGTTGATAAATGTCCACAAACGTTGTAGAACGTTAAAGTGTCCTGGATCATCACCACAGTCCTTCTAGTTGGAAACTAACTGCCCAACAGACCCTCCTGCATCGGCAAGGAGAAACTCACAAAAACCCAGTGGGAAAAAAGTGAGAAACCTTGGGGAGACCCACATTTGAGAAAGGGATCTGCTCCGACACGGACGGACGGGCTAATGATCCAGGACCTAAGCTTCAGAACGAGGACCAGTGCCATGCAGCGGCTCCCAGGCGGGTTGGCCAGGGCAGTCCGCAGGTGTAGATGGGTAGGGCCGGTTCAGAGGTCCCGTTGTCGCGCCAAGAAACAGACAATAGAACGGGTTGTCACGAACTGGCTCGAGGTTTGGACAAAACTGGAGTCCACACATGTTTCAAAAAGGTACAAATATAGAATCTTTAAAAGGCCGCTACTGCCAGGTGAGAGAGCCCCATCAACTTCCTGACAGCACTTTTGAATGTGGCCGGTCCCACCCATCTCAGGTGCTGCCAGTCCCAATCAGCTCTCCCATTGGCAGGATCCTGAAAGGAGGAGAAAGCCAGCAGCAACACACAAAGCAGACAAGACTGGGGTCGTCACACGGGTGAATAGCAATGAACACACTACAGTCAAAATCTTAATAATGCAGACAGGTGCAGGACTGAAGCGCTCCCAGGCCGGTCGTGCAGGGGAGTCCGCAGGTGAAGGTGGAAGAGGCCAGGTTCAGAGGTCCCGTTTCGCGCCATGAAACAGACAATGGGACACGGGTGAATAGCAATGAACACACTACAGTCAAAATCTTAATAATGCAGACAGATAAAGTAGGATGGAGGAGAGGATAGTGCTCAAGTTACCACACAAACTGACTCCCTACGCAGCTTGACTGGCAATCTAAGATTTTTAGCCTTCCCTGAGTCTTACCTTCCTAACCATGTGCTAAACTGAAGAGGCTTAGCCATTTTAAGCTTAGCCTTGAATATAGAGACCGTGTCCGAACAAAGGTGAGACAGCAGCAGCCACGGCTAGGCTAGCCCAGGCTACAACACCAAAGATTTGTGGATTACACATCAAGTGTGCAAAGCAAACCAGACAAACAACCTAACCATATTCTAAATTAAAGTAGCGTGTTTTAAAGACCTTATGACGGGTTTAAAAAAAAAAAAATAGTGGATATCAAAATTGCATGACTGCCCTCTACAGGTGACAATTGCTCACTACACATAAATTGCCGTTTTGAGAGTGAAAAAGTGTCCAAGGTGGGATTTGAACCCCAGTCTCTGGACTGGCAGTCCATCGACACAACCACTGGACTATCTCAGTGACAACAAAATGTTATATTCTAGTATTTATCTCATACTCGCTGTACACCGCCTTGTCATCTTGAATATCCGCGAAAAAAGAACGAATACCAAATTGTAAACAACTTACAGCGTTGAAACGTACCCGTTCTGACGTCACCAAGGGCTGTGAAGTTTTTTCGTTTCTAAGGGCGTTGCTATGGGGTTATTTCGATTTGGGGGGATCAGACAAAAAAAACAACAACTGATTTTGAAACCTTTAGTAGTTCTCTTCTAATATAAAATGGTATTAAAACTGTATTTCTAAATCAAACTCGTCATAAGGTCTTTAAGCCTGGCTTTGAATGTGGAGACCGTATCTGCTTCCTTAACATGAATGGGAAGCTGTCTCTGCCTCTGCCTCTAGCTACCAAGCTCCTTCCAAGTGAAGGAGTTTGGTAGCTAAATGCTCTGCCGCCGACCGTGCTTTTTGAGACCTTAGGAACCACCAGACGTCTGGCATTTTGCGAGCGCGATGTTTGGTTGATATGACACTAACGTGTCTTGAAGATAAGAAGGAGCCAAGCCATTTATGGCTTTGTACGTTTATTCTGAACTCCACAGGGAGCCAGTGGAGTGATTTTAACACCGGGGTTATGTGCTCCCTCCTTTTAGTACCCGTTAAGATCCTTGCTGCTGTATTTTGAACGAGCTGGAAGCTCTTTAAAGAGGTTTTAGGGCACGCTGCCAGTAAAGCGTTACTGTAGTCAAGCCTTGACACAGACTACAGACGTAAGAATAATCCGAAACAATTTTCTCATTGTCACAAAGTTCACAGTTTCTGTAAAGGACACGGCTGCCAAATTCAACAAACACATCTCACCTCTGTCCACTCTTTTCATTTAAAATGTGAATCATTTAGGAATCAATAACATTTATTCAGCATCCAATAACAACATGACTGAATGACTACTGTCCATGAATGTCCTTAAAGTGATAGTCTGTAACTGTAAATGAATTACAAATTATAAGAATTGTATAAAATTTTCCTCCTGGCCTTAAATCTTGATATAAATTACAGGTAAGTCCCGCCTTCCCTTCTCTTTAACACTATAGCTCAGAATCCACGATGCCGTCCATGTTAACCAATCGAGTCATGCCAAGGGCTGTCAATCATCGGTGCTGATGCTCGTAGCTGCGCGCATGCGCAGTTGTTTGTTTTCGCGGAGCCTCCGATTCAAGTCTCTATTAGACTCTGGAACTACATGAAAACTGAACAAAGAATTCTGAACATCCGCGCTGAGTTACCCATTTATACTGAACCTATATCCATGATCAGATCCTCTGCAGATGTGTCCTATAATGTGCAATTGATGTTAATAGCTACTTCCGGGTTTGCAGTGATCGCTTTCTTTGTGCATTCAAACTTTTTTTTTTCATGAAAACGTTAACAAATAATTCTGAAAACCTCCGTGCATGTGTATTAATAATGTATGAGTATGATGTGTTCTCAGTTTAACATTTAAATGTGTTACGGAAACGTAGGCACAGACCAATCAAAAAGGAAGGGGGAGGGAGCTTGCGTCGTTTTTTTTTCAAATCAAGAACCTCTCTCCCTTGTTTTCTGAAAAACTGCAATCACTTTAAACGTCCTGGATCATCACCATCATGGGACAAAGCCATTCTTGCTTTATTTTCTCATTCCAAGGGAGACATTTCTTTTATCTTTTTAGAATAAAAACGTTGTGCTTGATCTGTGCAAATCTTATTTTAAGGCAGTCACTATGTGCTCAAGTGAAGAAATTTTTTGCCAAATTTGAGATGAAAAATAAGTCAAAAATTTCTCAAACACTCAAATAGGACTCATAGTCCTGTTTCACACCTGCCATTTTATGACATTCCGATGTACAGAACCTGAATTAGTGGCAAACCAACGACTTAAACAGAGGGCTGTTAACTGAGATGTGTTATTGGTGCTGAGAACAATAATTGATAGTAAAGTTGGGCGGTACGGTGGCACAGGTCACACTATGTCTAGAACCAACAACTTGCTTCTCACGTAGAAGGTCCTGGGTCCGGTACACACACACTCTAAGAACCACAAGGCTGACCTCCCAAGACCTAAATGAAGTAAAAATAACAATTACTGTACCTTCATGTAAGGAAATTTGAACAATATAGAGTAGAAGCTTCAGAGTTGGTTCATATGCAGTGTCGTGTGGTGAGGTTGGTGATTGGTGAGGCACTGACTTCACCCCATATATATATATATATATATATATATCATATAAAACAACAGGACCTACAGAGCGGCTTATTCGCAATTTGTTTGGCTACAACATAATGTTTCATGCCCGCATTGTTTGCGCATACAAAAAGCAAAAGACATCGTGTTTTGAGCGTAGATATGTAATCCTTCATTTGGAAATAAGTCCAATGAGTTTAAGAAAGTAAAGTAATATTGGGTGGCTCCCGATATTGTTATGTCACAAATGTACTTTGGTCCGAGGCCATGAAGAGATTTACAAAAGTGGAGACCTGAGACCAGGATCAATGTGAGAGTACTTGAAAGTGTTTAGAATGACTCCTGTTATGGCCTACTGTAAATTAAAGACCAATAAAATGTATTGTTTATATTAGACAAAGCTCATAAACATTGCAAATATTTTACCTATCCGCTCACGAACAGCTGAGAGCCATTGTTTGAGTGTAACCTCCCTCATCTGTGTGTGTGTGTGTGGTTCAGCTGCTGGAGGAGTGCTGCCTGTGTCCCAGCAGTAGTGTGACAATCGCAGGTGCTCGGGTTGGACTGACCCCAGCTCTGGACAACACCACTCACATGTGGAGCATCACACCGGAGGGATTCATCAGCTACAGCGCCAACCCTGATCTGGTGTTGGACATCAAAGGTCTCACATATATACATTCCCTCGCAACACACACACACACAGGAATGCAGGTCTATAAAGCACATTTCATTGTAAACGAGCTATGTCTTATTGAACCTAATGGCTTGTTATATTTGCTTGCATGCTTAAGAAAATAAAAAGATGAATAAGTGATACTTTAATACTATATTATATGAAATAGTAGTAATGAACTATACATTTGATTAACCAAGAAAATAGCATTTACCCAAGCAAAATAAATACTAATCTGGTAAGAAATACATAGATAAAACCTGCCCTCTCTAATGCCTGTATGTCAGCGTCAGTATATTGTAAGTGTCAGAATTTGAGCTAAACTCTGGAATATGTCAGAAAAAATGTGAAAACTACAACAGGAGGAAAATCCTCCTGCAATATGGCCAAAGAGTTATATATCACTATATCAGAAGGATTAATGTAACATATTGATAATGTGAAAAGATTGAGGAAAAATCAACACTTTCAACACTGGTTTTGACACAAATATCTTAAAAAAAATAGGACCACTCTCATCAGAAAGTTTTCAAATGTCAAGATCAAATGTATTTTAATAGGATATAGGCATAATTGTCAAACCATTTTGCAAGGCAAACAAAATGTGAGTTACTCGAGCTTTAATGCATCTGTCTAGAGCAGGTCCACACGTGGACACAGAAATGTATAAAGAAACATGGCATTCAAACTCTTCCACCTTGCTTTTACAATCTTATTTAATGTGACTGTATAGAAGTCTATCATTATAAAAATCTATAGAAAATTAATAAATTAATTTAGATACACAATATATACATTATAAATGTCTGTGTCCTGAAAAGCACTATAACCGATGCATTAGTATTAGATATTACTCAATGACTGGTTTTTCACTTTACAATTTACACAATAAAATGTCCCCCACCACTGTGCCTGTCCAGCACAGTCATAATGTGTATCTTCTGTTGAGAATGGCTGTTATAATTTAAATACACAAAGTTACTGTTTTAAAACATAATTTTTATTTTATTTATCGTTTATTTGGTTGGGACAGTAAGTACATGTCCCAACAATGAACACATCACTCTGGATTGTAGCCAATGGGCTAATTTCCATTCGTTGTCCCACATTCACACTCACAAACACACACTCATTCACCCCATTAATTTAAACCTTAGATCATGGAATAAACAATAATTACAGAAAAGCGTCAAACATAACATATTACAAAAAAGTGTCAAATCGTTATCTTAGATCTGCGATTAAGATATTTCTTTTATCAATTCCCAGCTCTATAATAAAGACGAAAGTGCTATTAGATCAATCTTCCCCTTTTGTCTAAATGCTCTCATTCAGAACTCATCGCACTGACATTCATAGAGCTGTTTCTGTCTTGTAAGGTTTGCCTCAACATAAGTTGAGTGGATTTCCAAGCCATGCTCACTATGGAGCAGAGTGTATTCTTATCTCAAAGCATCATATTTTAACTCACATGGGCTTCAATAACAAACAGCAGCAGTTTAAAATCTTCACACCTCATAAATTGACTGTATGCTGTTGTTCTCTAGTTATTTGTTTTGCATACCTAATGTTGTGCATATTTCTTCCAGGAGGCCACAACTATGATAAGAGCCAGGTGGTCCTCAACACGCGGGACCCTAAGAGAGCCCAGCAGCAGTGGCTCATCCAGGTCCTGTAACGCAGGACTTGGGTCATAGGGGAAACCGCACCTTACCTTTGGACTGGATGGACTCAACAAGCTCACCTTAAAAGCCTGTCTCTAATTTATCATTCCATTTGATTTGTCAAAGCTGTTCAGATATGTTGATAACAGGATTGTAAGGATCAGTATTCCCCTTTGAGCCGTAGCACACCTTTGTCATTGAAAAATAATTACTAGCACACCCCCAGCTGAAACTGATGCAAAATTAAACTCAACAGCCTGTATGATCAATGCAAAGTCATTCCCATGTAAGTGTATTATGTAGAAAATCATAAGTGCAAAAAAGTCAAATCATCTTATTGTTTTGACCAATGAGGTCATATTGGATAATATCTAAAGGCACACTAACGTGCCACAGCACATTGATTGAAAAACACTGGTCCAGAGTATCCAGATGCACGCACGCACACACACACACACACAAACGAAACCATACTTACTTGAACAAGGTGGAAATGTGGAAAACTGAAAGTTTAAATACACCTTGTGAAATGCCAGTCATTTTACAAGGTGAATGGGATTATTATGATTATTAGTAAGTTAGGAGGTGCTTTATAAATATAGTGGCCCAGGAATACCACGGTTGGCTAAACCAAAACTGGTAAAAAAAATCAGTATGTTCAGACTTTGGTTGTTGTCGATGCACTGAGACCATCACATTCTCATCACCTGGATGGAAACGAGTCCAGACACACAGAGGGCCTGTTTTTTGTCACATTCAAGCAGGGCCCTTTAAGGACCAGACAGAGAACCTGTTTAACACACTAAATGTGCTTCGCTGAGCATTGTATGTAGCTAAATAAGATATCCTTTATTCATCCCAGTGTGGAAATGTTAATGTTGCAGGACAGGACAGTAGTTGGAGCACACAAAATAAAGCTGTAAATGCTTGAATATCCATCATTTATATAATATATAGATATATTTCTATATATTTTACAGTACAATTAGGGCAGGGTAGCAAAGTGACATTCAGTGGAGATTCTGAAGTCACAGTATTGCACAATTGCAGTATGTACTACAGATGAATGAATGAAATTTACAGGCTTTGTAGTTTGACAGCAGCAGGAAGACTGCATATTCTCTGGCAAATTGCATTTAATCCAAAACCAAGAGTATTTTATTTAATGTTAAAAGGTAAAGGTGCACTTTATTAATTCCCGTAGGGCAATTCATCCTCTGCATTTGACCCATCTTGATGCAGCAAAGGCTTACGTCAGGAGCAGAGGTCGCCGTAGTAACAGCACCCGGGAACCCATCTCCAGATGTTGAGCTCGGCTTGATCAGGACTACCGGTGCTGGAGGATTTAACCTAGTGTGCATGTTTTTAGTGGTAGGAGGAAACCTACACAAGCATGGGGAGAACATGCAAACTCCACTCAGAAAGACCCTTGGTAAAAACCACATTGGCAGAAAACCACATTGGTAGCGAATGTGGTTTTTGCTGCCATTTTAACTATTTTTTTTCCAGTTGGCAAAATTGGGTATGGCCCTTTGATAAATGCCACAATAGTCCTTAAGTGCTTTTAAGTGCTGTCTAAGTTCATAATGTATGTTCATAGTATAAGTATAAATTTGTCAAAAATATTGTTTTTTGGAAAATAATGTAATTAATTATAGCATATGGTTTTTAATATTGATTCATTTTATAACGTGTTAATACTGTTCATGTATTTTTTTTCCTCTTGCTGCTTGTATAGACAATGCATCACTCCTCATATTTTGTCAATAAAAGAAAACAGAATCCAACAAGATCCATATTTATTGGTAAAACCCAATCGTAAATACAAGTGCATTTCTTTAGCATGCTCTCCCTGTACCATAAACATGTGACCATTTAGTATAGAACAAAGCTAGAATATATTTCTAAACAATAAACACAACCCGTCAGATAGGGCACACACCCAATCCCTAGATCTACAAGCAGAAACACAAATGGCCGTTCAACACACAAGTGAATACGGTAACATGTTCAAGAGGTATGCATCATATGTACAGTAGAAATCGGACATTTACAGATAAAAATAGGTTCTCTCACCTGTTATTCAGGTACAGGTTGAATGCACCCAAATTTTATTTCAGACGTAATGTTGAGCATGTATATGGTGTGTGCTGTATATTCAATGCATACAGAATGCAGTTGATGCACTCATATAGACTTTTTCACCTTCACATACTTGTGAAGAGTTTTTGGATGGCAAAACTATTCGTGCAGGTCATTGCCCAATCAGACACACTGATGCCACAGCCCACGGTGAGGATTGAGAGTGCGGGCTCACGGACTGCAGGCCTGGTGCTGTGGAGCCTCCTGCTCCTGTTCGCCCGCCTCAGAGCTGTCTTCCTGGGTCACACACACCACAGTCTTGCCCCTAGCGTGACCCGCCTCCAGCTTCAGGAAGGCCTGTGGCACCTGGGTAAAAGGGAACTGCGCCTCCACCACTGGTAGGACCTGCCACGCACATGTACACAAACAAAAGTTATTTTATGCCATATCCTCAAATTTCTTATTAAATTGTATAGATTTTTTTTTTCAAATTCAGCTTGTCGTAGCAGACTGCCACCAGCTGAGGGCGCAGTATACGTAGTTATGGAGACTATGCCCAGTGAAACATCGTGCAGCATCAGGTGTGTATCATATGAACAGAAATCGAGTAACTGTTGTAATGTAAAGGATGCAATTTAAGTCAGTTTAACAGCTTACACTATGGTACAAGTAAACAAGAACTAATGCTAAATTCTAAATTTCAAATTTCCCCACTGAGGCATGAAGAAGTTTTATTCCTCCATCTGTGATATCATAAGTCGATGGAAGGTTCAACAAACGATTATCTTATTTTTCAATTAGTTCGATTACTTGCAATTACATCAATTATTACAGCACTAAAAGTGATTGATTGATTGACAGCATGAATTTATCATAACAAAAATCACAATCAATATATGCTGCTCTGACCCGTCCTGCTTCACCCAGAGGCTACTCCACCTATGCTGCTGTGACCTAAAGGGCTGTTGCTGATTATTACTATTATTATGTTTTTAGAATTACCTTTTATTTTATTTTTTTGCTGCTATTGAACACCTGAATTTATCCTACGGGGATCAATAAAGTATCTATCTATCTAAATGTTATGATAAAGTGAAAAGTAGGGCCAATCCATTCAATCCAGCATTTGAAAATGGAAAGAGTATTGCACCACTACGAACCCACCAAGACATGGCTGTCCACCTAAACTGACAAATGGAAATGAAGAGCACTGGTCCGAAAGGTAACCAAGTGGCCCAAGATGACTATGGAAGTGCTGCCGTTGACCTGGGGGAATTTGTACATGGGACAATTATCAGTCACACAAATGTGGCATTTAAGGACGTGTGGCAAGAAGAAAGCCATTATTGAAAAGGAGGAATTGCCGTTTTAAGTTTGCCAGAAGTCATATGGGGGACACAGCTCTCATGTGGAAGAAGGTGCTTTTGCGTTCGGGGCAAAAAGTCACATTTTTGTCCCATCTGACCAATTGTTAGTATGGTGCAAACCTAACACCATACCCAGTGTCATCTATAGGTGAGCATCATGCTATGGGGCTGCTTTTCTTCAGTGGGGACTGGGAAGATTGTAAGAATAGCTCGGAAGATGGAAGATGGATGCAAAGATTCACGTTCCAGCAGGACAATGACCATAAACACAAAGCTAAATCTACAATGGAATGGTTTAAAACAAAACATTATCATGTATTTGATGTAGGTCTGTTCTTTGACTACTAATAGAGAATCTGTGTAAAGATCTGAAAACTGCGGTTCATCAATGTTCCATCTAATTTGACAGAGCTGGAGTTGTTTTATAAAAGAGGAATGGCCTAAGCTTTCTGTCTCAAGATGTGCAAATCTGGTTGTCATACCCCAAAAGAAGACAAAGTATAAACAGAACAGAATTGTGTATCATTTTGCTTTCACTTCACAGCTGTCTGTTACTTGTGTAAACATGACAAAATGTTCAAGGTGCACTAATACTTTTTGCAAGGCACTGAGGCTGAGTTTACACGGAGACAATGTGGCAGTAAAATAGTATAGTTGGATGTCGGTTTCTACCAACCGTTAATACAAAGACTGTGTTTCAGGGGGGTGAAAACGTAAGTGTTCAGATCCAGCCTGCAAAGTGGGACAACTCAGAAACGCTGCACAGCGGGGAGCTCTTTCACACCCGCGAGAGGGAAAAAGGTGTGAAATCCTCCTCTGCTCTGACCCCCGCCTCCGCGCTGCTCCCCGCACGTAAATTTGGACATGCGCAGTAGCGGAGAACAAACGTAAACATCAATGGCGGCGGGCACACTAACTAGCTTCGTGGGCTTCGAGCACAGCACAGAGGATAATTCTACTCCTTCGTTCGTCCAAACGAGACCACGCGAAGCTCTAGGTTCAGTTTCCATTTTCACAGCTGCTGTTAAAATGCAGAATGATGTTGGTGCATTCTGAGGGTCTGGCACAGGAAGTGTGAGTACACTGCCGAGAGGGGGGCTGGGGGTCATGTGAGTGTTGTAAAGTTTCTCTGCCCACTACTGGCCGGGCGCTAGAAATACATCGTTTTTCAACCTCATGTGAACGCTGAGAAATTTGCATTAGGAGCCTGGTCGTTTCTGTTAATAGACTGGAAACGTCTGCGCAGCGTCTCAGTATAAACAGGGCCTGAATGTACTTTGGGCTTTTAAATATGAACAAATTAAGACACAAATGTCACTTTTAATGCAATTCGAGGCGAGATGTTGATGGTTCCGTGTTGTGATATGTGGGTTTTAAGAGTGAACGTTTTGTGTAAAGTTTGGTTTAAGTAGTCAACGGCTCCTGTGAAACCACACTGCTACTTAATTCGTTCGTATTTAAACTTTTAAAGGAATTCACAGACTTTATGTATGCCATCTTGGATCGCTTCGGCTGCTGTAAAACGCACATGTGCAGGTTTGCCTTACATCATAAACAGCTGAGGGAGCTCATCTCGACTGGCAGACCACTTCGACAGAACAGGGGCCTTAAGATTCCACCGTCCCTAAAATAACTAATAGCAAACCAACTCTCTCGTTTACTTACTATTGTCTTACTATTTCGCCAGAGTGCACAAAACTCGAACATTTTGGCCTAAAAAATTTGTTTTCTTTCACATCGTTTTATATTGAATTGATATGGGAATTGCAGGATTTTATTTTGTGCGTGGCAGTGTATGCTGTTTGTGTTGGGTGTGTGTGCGGTGCATGTGCTGCATTGTGTGGTGTGTGTGCCGCATGTGTGCACTGTATGTGTATGGTGCATGTGCTGTATGTGTGCTGCGTTGCACTGTATGTGTTGCTGTGTGTGTGCGCTCAACACACACACACACACGATTTCCCAGCAGTGCAGCCGGTTGCAGTAAGCCACACACAAAAGCAAGTTTGTCCTTTTGTGTGCTCAGCACACAATGTAATCCTGCGTTGGCCCTGGCGCACATGGAGGTTGACACATTCAGCACATGGAGGCTGACCACCAAGCCGCCACTGCGACAAACACGCACACAGGCACCACTCGACTTAGCTTACACTCACACTGATTCACTGGGACTTTAAAGGGAACAAAACATGATGAGTGTCCACAGCATCAGGCCATGTACACACTTAGGGGATTAAGAGATGACATAAGAGTCATGTTGTCCTTAACCCTCTATGCACATGGTTCATTTTGGGGAACTTTCCTCGCCTGGTTTTCTTTGTGTATAATTGTTCATAAAACAGTCATCTTTTGATGCAGAGTCAAGCAGTATACTTTGTTTTTTTCAGTACAACCTGGGGTTTTAGAATATTCATATTGTAAAGCTGTCATATGAATTATATAAAAATTATGGAATCATGAAGACAAAGAAAAAAATCAAACGGAAAATCAATTTAACAAAAATGTATTGAAAAAACACAATGAAATGCTATAAACAACTTTTTACACTGCATGGAAATGTTATTTATGGTCTTGGGGATAATGGGGGAAAAAATGGAATCTCTAACTATTATACTTTTTACAAAATTCCACTATAAAAGCAAAAAACTCTGTACTCCTGATGCCCTTCCTGAAGCAGTTTGTCTATAATGCTGGGGTTGCTTCTGTAGTACAGCTGTAAAAAACGTAAAACATAAGAAACTGAGCCAAAAAAAACCAAAAAAACAATTATTTATATAATACATATATTTATATACATCATATACACATAATGTAATTTTACTGTATTTATTATCGTCTTTATCAATAATGCGCACTCTTCAGCCGGTTATTGCAATCGCAGCTGTACAGTAGTTTCAACTGTGGGACAACAAGCACAGACAGAGGAGTGAGACATCTCACTCTCTGACGATCTTTGGCAGTCCCCGTGTGTTTGTATCTCACAGCTGTTTGTACCTCACGGGTCACGCTTTGGACACGGACTTTCAGACAAACGTAGTTTATCCTCCGTGCATCTCACAGACAAATCAAGTCAAATCACTAGTTTCGGAAAGCCCTGAATACGTACTTCACAGAGGAAAAAAAAGTAAGTTGCTACGTTTTACCGTTCGCGAGTAAATTGATCATTTGTAAAACATGTGCGCGTGCATTGGCGCCGATGCACGCGGGCATATAGGGTTAAGTCTGAGACCAAATCTACACAGTACTACAAGAACTGGAGCTCTCAAGTTCTGAAGTTCAAAGCATCTGGTGTGTGCATATGCGTGTGAATTCCTGGCGACTGTACTATACCTTCCCCGAATCAACCAGGGCCCTGACGTGGTCTAGCGCGGGGCCATCCGGAGCATAGAAGCCCCACCGGTAGAACACTCCCCTTGACAGCAGTCTCTGAGAAAGGGAACAGAGAAAAAAAAACTCAGTAGCCCTCAGTGCAGAGATGGTCCACTGTGATTGGCCCGTGTGTGATTAGTTTTTGGATGGAAGCATGGCGCGACTGTGGGGAAACATGGACGAAGCACTGAGCAGCAGATTGCTTTATGCTTTTAAGGAACCAAAGGAAAAGCAGTTTGGGCTAGAGCCTGATAGATGAGGCAGTTTTGTTGAATATCAAACATTTCAATACAGTAGTAGTTTTTTTTACACTGTTCCTGTGCCTGTCTTTGAATCTGCGCTTGTACAGTGTCATCTCGTCTGTTGCGTTCATCCTGCACTTTTGATCACGTATTGTTTTGCTGTTTGAGCACAAATTCACTTTAAAAATAACTACGTTTCCAACAAAAACTGTCTTTATTCACAGCATCACAGTTTAAATGAGTGATGAAACAATATGTCGATGGAACCTTCACTTAAACTTACGCCTAGAAAACACGCTTGGTTCATTGTTTTTGTTCTGAAGAGGAGAAAGTATCTTACTTAACTTTATAATGGGACCCTTTAGTGTCCTAGGCAAGCCCCCGCAATCCATGATGGCGCCGTATTCAAATGAATGGTATGTGCTCAGTGGCCCATGTGAGAATGAATAAAGTTTATTTCGGTCACTTCTACATTTTACACATTGTCAGGACAGTAGATTACAACAGAAACCAAGACCGAAAAGGAGTAGGCTGAAGCTAATGCTTATATTGCCTACCCTTTGTGGTGGCACGGTCGCTGACATATTAGCGGAACTCGCCATATCACTCGCTATATTTTGGCATGGTCTGGTCCTCCCTGTTCTGCACAATGGATGTTCTCCTATGATGCGTTGCGCCAAATACGCGTGTGTGGCTCTCATGCACGTGCACAGAGGGGCTCGACCGTGCCCTGACCAATCAAAGCTGCTGATCAGAGCGGAGCGAGAGCGAGAATTAGAGCGGGAGCCAGACGAGCAGAGTTTGTGGCACTTAAGTGTAGATTTAAAGAAAACTGAAGGATTTAAGAAGAAAAAATGTTCAGGATAAAATCCGACCTTTATGAAAGCTGTAGGTTCTCTGTCAGCTGAGGTCGAGCTGTTTTAGTTTAAATTGAGTTCTATGGGGAAAATTTCTGGGTAGCCCACGTGAATTTAGTCTGGTTTAGTCTGCAGTACCACGAGAATCCCCCGAGCACATGGGTCCTTCAGCTCCAAGCTAGTAATACCCTATCCAGTTATAAAAGATCCATGGTCCCAGGAAACTCCTGTGAGATCGCCATCATGTGGTTGTGATGTGGGATTACAACATTCTCTTCAAAAATACACAGGGGGGTACGCCCGAGTACGAGCAACTGTGGGTGAGTGCCAGTGACGGCAGAGTATACACAGGGCTTTACTGTAGCCACAGCTGCCAGACACGTCTAACCCTCCCTATGCAGTGGAGACACGCACCAACAGGACAGCTCTGGTGCGCACGATCTGTGTTTTGCTGTTTTTCGTCTGTGAGTCACTTGCTGCTGTGAGATCCAGAGCCAGCGCGAGGCCCGGGACTGCGCTGTGTTCTGCCTCAGCAAGACGTGGCTCCACTCGAACGTCCCGGACTCTGCTGTTCAGCCCCCGGGATTCACCGCTCACCACGCGGACAGAGTGAAGGAGACCACGGGCAAGGCCAGATGCGGAGGTGTGTGCTTTTTATTTAATCAGCGCTGGTGCACGGACACTCGAATCGTGAACCAAACATGTACTGCCAATCTGGAATGCCTGGTCTTGAGCTGCCGCCCTTTTTATCTTCCCCGTGAGTTTTCAGTGATATTTTTATGTGCTGTTTACATTCACCCACGTGCGGATTACAAAGTAGCCCTACAGGATCTGAGCGAGATCCTTCACAAACATGAGTCTGCTCATCCTAACGCAGTCATCATTGTTGCTGGGGATTTCAATAAATGTAATTTAAAGACTGTACTCCAAAACTTTTACCAACATGTGACTCGAGCTACAAGAGGAGCACATGTTCTGGATCACTGCTAAAGTAACGTGAAGGGAGCTTACAGGTCCAGTCTCAGACCTCCTTTTGGAAAGTCTGACCACTCCTCTGTTCTCCTTCTTCCTTGGTATACTCAGAGGAGCAGGGAACATAAACCAACCTCTCGCACTGTGCAGTGTTGGTCTGAGGAGGCTAGCATGAAGCTACAAGGTTGTAGACTGGTCTGTGTTTTAGTCAGAGGACGTCAATGAATTCTGCGACGCTGTGTCTGCATACATACGCTTCTGTATTGACTGCTGTGTCCCACAGAAGGTCATTAAAGAACATTTTAGTCAAAACCCTTGGATGAACGCGGAAGTGAAACTGAAACTTCATGAGCGTGCGTTGGCGTTTCAATCAAATGATACAGTTGCTTATAAGCTATCCTGTTACTCATTGAAACGTTCTATTAAATCTGCAAAGCGCAGTTACGGGGACAGGTTAAAGAGTTATTTTGAGGAAGATGACCCTCGGCGCATGTGGAACGGTATTAAAGCCATCACATCGTGGAAACCGTGGAGTGTTTCAATCAAGTTGCCTTCACCGTGACTCAGGAGGAAGTCAGGCGTGTCTTGTCCAGGACCATAGTCCAGAAAGCCCCAGGCCCGGACGGCATCCCTCCTCATGTCCTGAAATTGTGCTCTGAGCAACTTGCCCCTGTGCTAACAGACATTTTTAACCTGTCGCTAAGGAACTGTACTGTGCCGAACTGCTTTAAAAAGTCGACCATCATTCCAGTTCCTAAGAAAACTCCTGTGACATGCCTGAATGACTATCATCCTGTGGCCCTCACGTCTGTTCTTATGAAAACTTTTGAGCGGCTTGTGCTGGACTTCATTAAGAGCCAGATCCCTGTGAGTGTTGACCCGCTCCAGTTTGCTTACAGACAGAACAGGAGTGTGGAGGATGCCATCTCCTTTGCTCTGAACTCTGTCTACAGTCACTTGGACACTAGTAAATCTGTGGCAAGAATTCTTTTCATCGATTATAGCTCTGCTTTTAACTGCCTTGTCCCAGGTAAACTGATTGAAAAGCTCATGTCTCTCGGTTTAAGTGTTGCCATGTGTAAATGGATTTTTAGCTTTTTAACTGACAGATCTCAGAGTGAAAAAATCAATGACTGTTTTTCTGATGTTGTTTCTGTGAGCACTGGTTCTCCTCAGGGATGTATTTTGAGTCCTTTGCTTTATACTTTGTACACTCACGATTGTGTGTCCTCCTCTGACTCAAACTTGATCATCAAATATGCTGATGACACCACCATCATCGGTCTCATCAGTAACACTGATGAATCCTCCTATAGAGCAGAGATTCAAAATGTGGTTCAGTGGAGTAAAACTAACAACCTCCAGTTGAACGCATCCAAAACATGTGAACTGGTCTACGACTTCAGTCGCAATAGTTCTCATTTGCCTGTCGTAATCGACAACTCCCAGGTACAGAAGAGGAGTGCAAGTTTCTGGGTTTAACTCTGTCTAACGACCTGAAATGGGTTAAAAACACTGACCGAGTCGTTAAGAAAGCTCGTCAGCGTATCTACATTCTGCGTAAACTTAGAGAATTTACCACTAACTCTAAGATTCTGCTTAACTTTTATCGCTGCACCATTGAAAGTTTACTTGTTGGTTCTGTGTCTGTGTGGTTTGGAAACATCACAGATAAAGAAAAGAGAGCTTTAAACAAGGTGCGCCGCTCTGCAAAGAGGACTGTGTGCTGTGAGCTTCCTGTTCTGGAGGTTCTTTATAAATCCAGACTTTTAAACAAAGCTTTTAGGATTGTCAATGACTCTTCTGGCCACCCTGGGAAAGCCATGTTCCAGCTTCTTCCCTCTGGCAGAAGATATCGCTCTCTGAGATGCAGTTGCTCGTTACGCTAACAGTTTATATCCACAAGCTGTTATCAGTTTGAACAGAGCACTTTAATGATTTGCACTTGTTTTGAAACTGTTTTAGTCGATCGATGTTACAGTGACATTTGTTTACTGTTTTATTTGTTTTATTTCTGTCTTTTAATGTTGTTTTATGTCTGTATTTGACTGTGCACACTGGAGACTTTTTGCTAATGTATTCCAATGTGGTTTTACTGCAAATGGCAAATAAATAAACTGAAACTGACCCCGAAGTTCCTGGAAACGCAACTAATAGCTCAAGTTGATGTTTCAGGTCTCCTCAAGAGGCCTCATCCCGCAAAACTCCAGGCCCAGACGAAGTCTCACTTGCCACTCAGAGACAGTGTGCCAGTGAGCAGACTCACGTTCTCACTAACATATTACACCTCCCTGGAGAAGTGTCCCAAACTGGCCTGCTTTAAGTCCACTATCATTGTCCCTATTGCAAAGACCAGGATCACTACACTTCACGACTGCACATGTGAGCGCTACAGGTCTGCAGCCATTAAGCAATTTGAGCGACTGGTCTTCTCTCACCTCAGGTCCTAGACCCCCACCTCCTTGCAGTTAGCCTAAAAAGAGTAAAACAATTTGGACATTACCATCAACCTGGCCCTCCACTTCATCCTCATGCCTTGGCATGCGGAAGTACCACACAGCACACCAACTGTGCACGACCAGGCGGTTCAGAGATGGCCGTAATGAGTCACATCCTCTAATATTTTGGCCACCTTGGGTCGTTGAGGCTTGATTGGGCAAGACATGTGAAAGGGAAGCCAAGCTTTCGGTGGCTTCAGAGCATAATCTTTCCTTGCTAAATGAAGCTTTGCCACAAAAAAAATTGCTAGACGACAAATAATTGTTCACTCATTCATTGTCACGTAGCAATTATTGTCTGGTGATGTGAATGATGAGGTTTCAAATAAGGCTGTACATCGCTGTAGTCTGAACTAGCGTGCTGGAATAAAATGATGAATGATGAGGACACACAGGTGACTTTGTCAGAGATCTCCAATTAACAGGTGCAGAGAGTACACAGTGTTAAAAGCCACAGCTTTGCAGCAGTGCAGAGCCTGAATCTTTTTTTGTAGTTTTTGGATCTGGCCAAATCTGGCTGTGTACACATAGTCCAGCAGAAGGCAACTCCAGCATGACTGAGTATCCTGGGTGTGACACTGAGAGTGACCTCCTGGAAAATGTGCAGGGCAGACAAGGTGCACAGCTACCGAGAGGAGGCCCAACGCAAAGTTCGGACAAATATGCAATTGGGGTTTTTGATTTCCATTTTGATAGTGGTATAATGTTCATGTTTGACCAGCACAGACATTCACTGGAATAAAATATGATTAATTGTATTCATCTTGATTTGATAATTTTGTATTGTAACAATGAGAGTAATCTGGGGTTCCTAATAATTGTAATTTTCCATTTGATTTCAACTAATCTTATAGCCACTAGGCATATTTTGAATCCTGCATGTCTTTAGTGAAATAGAAAGCACATACAAAGAGAAGGGGCACAGTGTGTCTGTGCCACTATGTACCAGAAGTTCCTGATATTGTGAATGGAGGTACAGGAAACAATGGAGGTACAGGAAACAATGTTGTACCGGTACAGTGGTTAGCGCTTGTGCCTCACAGCAAGTAGGTCCACACTGCAGACGGGTGTGTGGGTCATCAGGGAGGCGCCTGGGCCCACACCCTCTGCCCTGACGCAACATTCAGAACATTCAATGTCAGATTCAGTTTTATTATGAAAGGCGGCGCACTGGGATACTGGAGCTGGGGATTTTCACTGTGTGCTGTAATCATCTGGGGAATTCTTCTGACAAAGCGTACACAACACCCCGGCTGGATCCAAGTCACGCAGATTAAAGTAATTATATTATTTTTTGTTTTGTAACAAATCGTAATGTACAGGTTTTTGGCGTTGGGTAAAACAATTTATTAACAAGCAAAACTGTGGAGCTAGGCTAATACAGCATGACAATATGGCGTTGCCTCTTGCCTCAAAAGAGAACATAAGCTGTATTCTTCAGTGTGTTATCTATATTTTATGCTTGTTGCCTGGAAAAGTTTTGAAACTTTTTCCAACATTAATGCTTTAGAACACTACAATGAAATTTTGCCATTTCCGGTCAAGTATTTGCAAATGTTTCAGGCTCTGGGCTTACCGTGTAAAGAGGCCCCTTGCTCCTTTCTACTATTAGTAGCTTGTAAGAGGCAGATTCTGGTGTCAGGGGCAACCCGTGTCCGCAGTTTTTCATGTTTACTACTGACCTATAATGTATGGCATTGGTTCCAGTGCCATGTCTGTTACTCATCTGGTTGAGTGATGGATGTGCCTTTTTGAGGTGATTTCAGTCTCCAAATAGATGGAACTGTAGTAGTATCAGGGTTGCTCGTGGCAGAGAATGAAGACCACGGCCATTGTGTTTCAGTGTCACTAGTGAGTGACTGCGCTCTACTGTATTTAATATTTAGTGAGTGGCTGTTGTGATGCTGGTGTCACTTTGAGTGACTGCCTTTTTAATATAGCAACATCATTTGCTAACATGCACCGGCCTCTGGCTGACATTCAGAGTTCATAGAACTGTAGTTCAATTTGTAACTTTTGTTCAAGCAGCAAGGTTCACATGTTTATTGTCCAAGTCACCTGGCTGTTTTATGTTTGACTCTATCTCTGAGATAACACTCAAGTTGCTTACATGAGTATTCATGATCACAGTGCATTCATTTCTGATGTGCAGTACAAACTACTTTTTTGTAGTTTGTACAGTACTGCTTTTATTTTCCCGTCGTATTGTGATCAGGACAACATTTGGTAACTGATTATTGACCACTACAGGATCTAAAAAACGGTTAAAGAAAATATGATAGATAATCTATGATATCAGCATGCATATCTATGATACATGTGTATCCATATTAAGAACATGGTAATACCTGCAATACCACAGCATGATCATACTGAAGGGCCAACAGAACACCATGATGATCTGTCCTGCGTCTGCCTGTGTGGGCTTTGTACCTGAAGGAGCTTGTTGCTGAGGGCCCAGCCGGATTGCATGCCTCCGGCCAGCAGCCCCAGGTGATCCGTGCTGGACAGAAGTGGAGTTACCAGGGACACATACTTGGATCCGGACCAGGGCCTGAGCAGAGGCAGGGCCCACTGCTCTGTCTCTCCACCTACACTGTCCAGAATCACATCAAACCTGTGCAGACAAACAGCATTGTCACAGCAGAAAAAAACACTTTAACTTAAAAGAAGAATTTACAGGTCCTTTAGAGCCAGAAATCTTGCTTGTTTGTAACTGTGACTGAATACTTATTTTCCACCATAATTTTCTAAGAAATTCTTAAAAAAAAAATTCAGACTGATTCTCTGCATTTTGTTTTTAATTGTGCCTCTCATAGTGTAAGTGAAAATTGCTATGATGAAAATCACAACTTACAATTACAATCTTTATAAGGGCTGCCCCTTATAAAGATTGTAATTGTAAGTTGTTGTTATGAGGGCCGTGGTAGTGCCAATTTCGGCCAGAAGTTCCAGATATTAGTTTATATGGAGCTATAACAATTCCAAGTCTATTTTTGATGAAAACCAACAATCTAACAAGGTAAATAAAAATCGGAATATTTTTATTACAAAGATCAGATCTATACCATGGCCATACTATTACTGGTATTTATCACTGCTAATGCCTCTATGTACTGTATAATGTTTTGGAGAAAGCCATAAGTAGCATTTTAGTCTCAATACTTGATTCTCATGTCTCGTACAAGCTCAAATTATTGGTCTTAAATCTAACCACAGCGCGTTATGGCTTCATGTTGACTTCGTGTAGCGGGGCAACCGGCTGTCGTGTGAATCAATAAATTAGGCTGGCATGTGCAGCAGTGGTGAGTAGCCTTAGGTAAGAGCTGTTTTAAAAGACCTAAATCTCCCCCAGCCAAAACACAGCCACATTATACTCCACATAATTTTTGTGTGTGTAGTGTATTAAAGAAGACCTCCAGTGATTCAGATTCAGATATTTGCCATTTTCAGTAAAACCACATTGGAAAAACGGTGCAAGACTACCCCAGTGTGCACCAGACAGAGAAGACGGCACACACCAGAGCTCCTGCCAGTGAGCAGTCATCACTGTACACATCTAGCAATCATTAGTATCGATTCTGAAATAGCTCAAATGAGAATCACAAAAACCAATTCAGGTCTCTTTTTGAAAATGGAAATGGTGAAAAACTACAAAAAGTTCATGTAGCACATGTGTTCTATAAGATATATGCATGTCTCGTACCTGTCCATGGCCTCGAGTGTGTGTACTGTGTCACCGGATGTGTAGTCCACCGCCTCGTCTGCTCCCAGGCCTCGCACCAGCCCCTCTGCGTTGTGAGAGCAGGTTACGGTCACATGAGCCCCCCATGCCTTCAGCATCTGCAGCCACACCACATCATATACAGTGCCTTGCGAAAGTATTCGGCCCCCTTGAACCTTTCGCCACATTTCAGGCTTCAAACATAAAGATATAACATTTTAATTTTTTGTCATGAATCAACAAAAAGTGGGACACAATCGTGAAGTGGAACAAAATGTATTGGATAATTTAAACTTTTTTAACAAATAAAAAACTGAAAAGTGGGGCGTGCAATATTATTCGGCCCCTTTACTTTCAGTTCAGTGAGGATCTTTGAATGATCCAATGTTGTCCTAAATGACTGATGATGATAAATAGAATGCACCTGTGTGTAATCAAGTCTCCGTATAAATGCACCTGCTCTTTGATAGTCTCAGGGTTCTGTTTAAAGCGCAGAGAGAACCATGAAGACAAAGGAACACACCAGGCAGGTCCGAGATACTATTGTGGAGAAGTTTAAAGCTGGATTTGGATACAAAAAGATTTCCCAAGCTTTAAACATCTCAAGGAGCAATTATATTGAAATGGAAGGAGTATCAGACCACTGCAAATCTACCAAGACCCGGCCGTCCCTCCAAACTTTCATCTCAAACAAGGAGAAGACTGATCAGAGATGCAGCCAAGAGGCCCATGATCACTCTGGATGAACTGCAGATAACTACAGCTGAGGTGGGAGAGTCTGTCCATAGGACAACAATCAGTCGTGCACTGCACAAATCTGGCCTTTATGGAAGAGTGGCAAGAAGAAAGCCATTTCTCAAAGATATCCATAAAAATTCTCTTTTAAAGTTTGCCACAAGCCACCTGGGAGACACACCAAACATGTGGAAGAAGGTGCTCTGGTCAGATGAAACCAAAATCGAACTTTTTGGCCACAATGCAAAACGATAGGTTTGGCGTAAAAGCAACACAGTTCATCACCCTGAACACACCATCCCCACCTCAGCTGTAGTTATCTGCAGTTCATCCAGAGCGATCATGGGCCTCTTGGCCGCATCTCTGATCAGTCTTCTCCTTGTTTGAGATGAAAGTTTGGAGGGACGGCCGGGTCTTGGTAGATTTGCAGTGGTCTGATACTCCTTCCATTTCAGTATAATTGCTTGCACAGTGCTCCTTGAGATGTTTAAAGCTTGGGAAATCTTTTTGTATCCAAATCCGGCTTTAAACTTCTCCACAACAGTATCTCGGACCTGCCTGGTGTGTTCCTTTGTCTTCATGGTTCTCTCTGCGCTTTAAACAGAACCCTGAGACTATCAAAGAGCAGGTGCATTTATACGGGGACTTGATTACACACAGGTGCATTCTATTTATCATCATCAGTCACTTAGGACAACATTGGATCATTCAAAGATCCTCACTGAACTTCTGGAGTGAGTTTGCTGCACTGAAAGTAAAGGGGCCGAATAATATTGCATGCCCCACTTTTCAGTTTTTTATTTGTTAAAAAAGTTTAAATATCCAATGAATTTCGTTCCACTTCACGATTGTGTCCCACTTGTTGTTGATTCATGACAAAAAAATAAAATTTTATATCTTTGTTTGAAGCCTCAAATGTGGCAAAATACTTTCGCAAGGCACTGTATGCTCACATTCATCATAGTTACAAAGACAAAATATAAAGAAAAATATGAAGTATGTCATTTCACTTTGACAAGGTGGATCTGAGCAATGCTTTAAGTTCTGTACTTATTGTTTGTGATCCGCTTCCAGCAATTCAAAGCAGCCGTCAACCATTTTAATTACTTTTTAATACCATTTCAAGAACAAGAATCTACACTACATTTCAATCCCAATCTTTAAGATTAGCCTAGACCTGACCTTGCCCTTTAACTCAAAAACCTGTCCACAAACATAGAAAATATTATAATATTTGTCCTTTAAGACAGTAAAAACTGTACAGGGCCTAGCTCACCTGTATAGAGAATGTGCCCACTCCTCCAGAGGCCCCGATGATCAGAACTCTGGAGGAAACACACACAGGGACCAGGTTTATGGTAGTAGCTGAGAGCCAGAGTTAAGGGACAATGTGTGGGCCTCAAGACTGCACTGAGGCTTTACCTGCTCCAGGGTTGGCATACAGGCAACATTGCTTTTTGTTTATTCTTTTATATTATATAGTTTATCAATCTACTTTTTTGGTAGGCCTCATGTAACTCAGTGTATTACACAGATGACATCAGTTCTTATATAGATAATGATAAATTGTGTAGAGAATGTTCCATACTCAACCAAAGTGGTCTGTATGTGTGTTGTTTGTGTACATCCATGAGTGAAGCAGCTACAAGAGTGTAATCTGTACTAAAAGCATAAATGTGCCAGTTAGAGGAAGACATACCTCTTGTGAGGAGTGGTCTCTGCACACAGACCTCCAGCATTGATTAGAGCTGACAGAGCAGTGCTGGCCACATATGGGATGGACGCAGCTTCGGTGTGGCTCAGAGAATGGGGCTTGTGGGAAACCTAATGGGAAAGTGCACAGATATGAGAAGTACTTCAGAGGAACATGAACTCTGCCCCGTTCTGTAACTTACAGAACATGTGTGTTTAATACAAAGGCTGATGTTCGTGAGGTCAGGAGTGGACAGTGTGTGCTTCTGAATACATCCTTGAGTGACTACAATGAAGCTACAAGCACAGGGAGGTGCACAATGAAGTGGAGGTCAACGATGAAGGGGAGGTCCAGAATGAAGCGCACGTGGAGGTCCGCAAGGATCAGTTCTGGACCTCCTTGTGCATGTGAATGCGCACACAGTGTAGTGCAAGCTATACTGAGGCTGTGCTGTGTCCATTCCATATGTGGCCAGTAGGGGTGTTGAAAAATATCGATACGGCGATATATCGCGATATTACGTCGCGCGATTCTCGTATCGATCCAAAATGCAAAATATCGATATTTATACATACATTTTTGGCCGAAATTGTCAATGCAAAGGCGTACTTTTGTCCTGCGCTTGCACTCCCGCTCACTAGTTGGCAGCGCACGGCCCAGCCCGCCAAAGAAGCAATAGTATCTCGCGAGAGTTGTCTTGGAATCAATACAGTCCGCTATAGTCTCGCGGTGTTTAGAGCACACAGTAAAACTCTCAACATGGCGGAGAGGGAACTGCGAGATGCTCCGAGGCACATTTACAAAGCTGAAATTTGGACTCACTTTGGTTTTTACATCAACGACGGACGCTCAGATTTGGATAAAAGCTACGCCATATGCAAAAGGTGCCATGCGAAAGTCAAGCACAGCGGGAACACCACGAACCTGCGTGTACATTTTCCAAGACATCACGAACAAGTGGAGGTAAACGGAAAACAAGCTACCTCATCACAACTAACTCTTGAACAAGCTAATTTAGTCAAGCTGCCTTCAAGCTCGCAGCGTGCCACTAAAATAACACACTCCGTGGCTTACTACATGTGCAAAGACATGCGTCCTCTGAGCTCCGTGGAATGCGAAGGCTTTCGTTATATGATGAACACTCTGGAGCCCCGTTACAGCATACCATCCCGCCAACACTTCACCGATGTTGCTTTGCCCCGTTTATACAAAGAAGTGCAAGACACTGTGCTAAATGACCTTCGTTTTGCCGAGCGAGTTGCATTAACATGTGATGCCTGGACATCCAGGTCCACAGAATCCTACGTAACAATAACAGCGCACTACATCGACGGAGACTGGAACATCCTCTGCATCCCAGGCACAAGCGTCTCTGCGGAGCGAGTCTTTTCCACTGCAGGAGACATTGTAACTGCACAAAGAAGTGCGCTGAAACCTGGGCATGTTGACCAGCTTGTGTTTCTTCAAAAAAATCTTAAAAGAAAGCAGTAATAACTTTATGCATTTATTTGTTCTTGGGATATACCTCTTTTAAGTTGCACTAAAGCCATGTTGCACTAAACCCATGTTGCACTAAAGCCATGTTGCACTAAAGCCATTTTGCACTAAAGCCATGTTGCACTAAAGTTGTTTAAAAAGCCACAGGCAGATTGTGTCATTTTATTTTGTTGTTGGCACATGGCATGTTAAAGCCAATGTTTGCAAAAGGAAGATATGCCAATAAAATATATTTTATACAAATTTACAGATTCGTCTTTTAAGTCATAAATCGCAATAATCGCCTTATACTGTAATATCGGGATATATCGTATCGTATCGTATCGTGACCTATGTATCGGGATACGTATCGTATCGCCAGATGCCAGGCAATACACACCCCTAGTGGCCAGGCACTGCTAGGTCTACTCTGGTCAACACTGATGGCCTATGTCCAGAGACAGACCACTCCTCACAAGTGAGGGTTAGTAGGTTAGTACTAACTGGCACATTTATGCTTTTAGTAGAAATTACACTCTTGTCTCACACGTGCGCACGCATACACATGTTTTTTGCTAAATGGTGGGGCTCTATGTCTGAGCCGTGCCATATGGGACCCACCCTTTTTAAAGGACCCAGATGGTTTGTAATATTTGTGACAACACGTTGTATATATATTTTGTGTTTCAGACCTGTACTACTTTTTAAGTTATGGAAAAAATGTTCAGACAAAAATTTTTAGACACGTGGAATATTTTTCCAAATTTCAGTGATTCTATTTTTTATATAGAATTTAATGCCACTCCATGTCCAATGTGTAAGGTCATCTGGAGAGGAAATAATGCAGGCCAGGCAGTGGGACTTCCCAGGGACATCATAGTCTTCACCGCCTTCACCTCAGATGCAGATCATGGCTTTCTTACTGCTGATTTACACAGGAGGCGTTACAGCAACTACGCGTTATACGCGCAGCAGACGTGTTAACCAATGGTGATATTTACACTACTAGTGTTACACACGCACATGACGGACGTATTGACGCGAGGCTGCGCCTAATTTAGGATGGATTTTTAATTTTGTGGGCGCAGCAACGCGTCTCCAATTGAAAACACATGTGATTTTTCTAGCGGCCCTTGGTTTTAGATCGCATCTACACACTAACGCTGAGGCCCTGTTTATACTGAGATGCTGCGCAGCCGTTTCCAGGCTATTAACAGAAACGACCAGGCTCCTAATGCAAATTTCTCAGCGTTCACATAAGGTTGAAAAACGATGTAGTTCTAGCGCCCGGCCAGTAGTGGGCAGAGAAACTTTACAACACTCACATGACCCCCAGCCCCCCTCTCGGCAGTGTACTCACTTCCTGTGCCAGACCCTCAGAATGCACCAACATGATTCTGCCTTTTAACAGCAGCTGTGAAAATGGAAACTGAACCTAGAGCTTCGCGTGGTCTCGTTTGGACGAACGAAGGAGTAGAATTATCCTCTGCGCAGCGCTGGAAGCCCACGAAGCTAGTTAGTGTGACCGCCGCCATTGTTGTTTATGTTTGTTTGTATGAACGGTTGGTAGAAACCGACATCCAACTGTACCCTTTTACTGCCACATAGTCTCCATGTAAACTCAGGCTGAGTTTACGCGGAGGCTCTCTTTCACACCCACGAGAGGGGAAAGGTGTGAAATCCCCCTCTTCTCTGATCCCCACCTCCGTGCTGCTCCCCGCACGTGAATTTGGACATGTGCAGTAGCGGAGAACAAACATAAACAACAATGGCGGTGGTCACACTAACTAGCTTCGTGGGCTTCCAGCGCTGCACAGAGGATAATTCTACTCCTTCGTTCGTCCAAACGAGACCACGTGAAGCTCTAGATTCAGTTTCCCTTTTCACAGATGCTGTTAAAATGCAGAATGATGTTGGTGCGTTCTGAGGGTCTGGTACAGGAAGTGAGTACACTGCCGAGAGGGGGGCCGGGCACGGGGCTGGGGGTCGTGTGAGTGTTGTAAAGTTTCTCTGCCCACTACTGGCCGGGCGCTAGAACTACATCGTTTTTCAACCTCATGTGAACGCTGAGAAATTTGCGCAGACGTTTCCAGGCTATTAACAGAAACGACCTGGCTCCTAATGCAGAGTCTCAGTATAAACAGGGCCTCAATCTAAACATTAGCAGGAGGACTGGCAGGTTTTACAGTGATTCTGAACATAGTTTTTTTTCCTTTCATAAAGTCTCGTGTCTGGCCTGCTTTGATAACCGCAAAGTTTGATTTAATCACTGTTCCTGATGGAACCAAACTGAAGTTTACGTGCTCTAGATTTCACAGCTAAAGCCAATGCTCTGGCTACGTCACTTTCATTCCCACGTTTTCTAGACAAATGACGGGACATTTCGCGGCAAGATATGGAGCAGTAGAGGCAAGAGTGCCTCTTACTATATGCACTAGCTCCATTTTGCTAAGATATACAGTGGGGCAAAAAAGTATTTAGTCAGCCACTAATTGTGCAAGTTCTCCCACTTAAAATAATAACAGAGGTCTGTAATTTTCATCATAGGTACACTTCAACTGTGAAGTGTACCTATGATGAAAATTACAGACCTCTGTCATTATTTTCCTGAATTCCTGTAAAAAAAAAATCCAGGAATTCACATTATAGAATTTTTTAAGAATTTATTTGGAAAATTATGGTGGAAAGTATTTGGTCACTTCAAACAAGGAAGATCTCTGGCTATCACAGACCTGTAACTTCTTCTTTAAGAAGCTCTTCTCTCCTCCACTTGTTACCTGTATTAATGGAACCTGTTATCTGTTTAAAAGACACCTGTCCACAGCCTCAAACTGTCAGACTCCAAACTCCACTATGGCCAAAACCAAAGAGCTATCGAAGGACACCAGGAAAAGAATTGTAGACCTTTACCAGACTGGAAAGAGTGAATCTACAATAGGCAAGCAGCTTGGTGTGAACAAATCAACTGTGGGAGCAATTATCAGAAAATGGAAGACATACAAGACCACTGATAATCTCCCTCGATCGCAAGATCTCAACCCGTGGGGTCAAAATGATCATGAGAACGGTGATCAAATATCCCAGAACCACACGGGGGACCTGGTGAGCGACCTGCAGAGAGCTGGGACCAAAGTAACAAAGGTTATCATCAGTAACACACTACGACGACAGGGAATCAAATCCTGCAGTGCCAGATGTGTCCCCTTGCCGAGGCCAGTGTATGTCCAGGCCCGTCTGAAGTTTGCCAGAGAGCACATGGATGATACAGCAGAGGATTGGGAGAATGTCATGTGGTCAGATGAAACCAAAGTAGAACTGTTTGGTACAAACTCAACTCGTCGTGTTTGGATACTGAGTTGCATCCCAATAACACCATACCTACTGTGAAGCATGGGGGTGGAAACGTCATGCTTTGGGGCTGTTTTTCTGCTAAGGGGACAGAACGACTGATCCGTGTTAAGGAAAGAATGAATGGGGCCATGTATTGTAAGATTTTGAGCCAAAACCTCCTTCCATCAGTGAGAGCTTTGAAGATGAAACGTGGCTGGGTCTTCCAGCATGACAATGATCCCAAACACACCGCCCGGGCAACGGAGGAGTGGCCTATGATGAAAATTACAGACCTCTGTCATTATTTTAAGTGGGAGAACTTGCACAATCGGTGGCTGACTAAATACTTTTTTGCCCCACTGTATAAAGATTGTTCTGGTTCGTCAATTTCTGAGTCTTGAAGAAAAGTCTTGCCGACTTTCTTTATCTGTACTGTACAGGTTTCTTCTTGACAGTTAAACCAATGCCCTCTGAAGATTTGCATCTCTTTGGCTGAGAATTGAATTGACTTTGACATTTCTATGAAGGGACTCTTGACTAAGCTGCACAGACAACAAAGAATTGTAATAATTCTAAATAAAAAACAATTATCGTAACTTGTAGTAACCACTTATCTTGGGTTTGTAAACGTGCTCTTCTGAGGTGTGCTCCTCCATGATTTTTTGCATCCTGATGGGCCTCACCTGCCACCTTTTCTAGCCTGACGATGTAACTTCCTTAGGGAGTGCTCCTCAATGATTGGCTGAAGCCTTGCCATGCCTGCACCAAGTCTGGCCTCCCGCATGCCACCAGAAGGAGTCCTTTCCCTTTTTTTGCAGATACTGCATTTGGACCGTTGAAAATGCATTACCCATTGAATTTTAGATTTGGACCAGTTGGCATGAGTGAAATCTCAGGTTATAGACCCCACCAGGATTTGAAAATAAATACGCACACACAATCACACACACACACATGCACCACTGCTGATCCTTCTTCATGCACTGACCACTTTCGTTGAATATGGAACTTTCTCTACACAAGGACGTTTCGCTCCGGCTATGTACTGTACTGACCATAAATATTACATTTACTGCAGGATCCATGCTCCTCCGTTCCTCACATGCACTATGGTCTTATAGAAAGAACAATGTCTGACTGTTGGTTTGAACAATTCAACATAGAAACTGTGGTTAGTGGCAGGAGAATAATGTTTGAGCTGTATGAAGCAACAGAAATAGATAATGGGAGTGTGTGTCTTTGTCGATTCATATTCAAACTCATGACAATCATTTGTTTACATGGGATATCTGACCTATAGAAGATGCTTCAGTCTGAAACAAACAAGACATTAACTGCAGTGTCATCTTTCATTTGATTCTCTTTTCATATTATTGTAGTAAAAGGACAGACTGTAGTTAAGAGAGAGTGACAGTCCTGGTGCTCACAGAGACATCAGAAGCAGAGATAAACTCACCTCGTACTCCGACAGCGTTACGAACTCTGCAAGACTGCCCTGCTTCCAAGGAGGAACAGCTGCCCACACCTGCAACAACAGCAGGTTGTAACTTTACTAAAGGGGCCTCTAATCATGATCAACACAAGTCATGATTTGATCACAGCATTTGACTTGAACTCACAGGCTGAACAAAGACATACTATTATAATCTCCTACAGCTTGGCAATAATAATAATGCATCGGTTTTATATAGCACTTTTTTGGACACTCAAAGACAATGTAAGAAAAGAAAATGTCATTCATTCACACCATACACGGTGGTGATAAACTACTACTGTAGCCACAGTTGCCCAGGGGCACACTGACAGAGGGGGGAGGGGCCATCGGCCCCCTCCACTGCGGCACCTTGTGTTCCCAGAGATTAAGTGTTTTGCCATGGACACAACGACAGCAGAGGGAGTTGACCCTTGAAAGTCTTGAGGTGGGCTCGAACCCTCGACCTTCTGGCTCAAAGGCCAATGCTCAACCAACTGAGCTACTGTCGCCCAATAAAATGGGCTATTCAATGGAGACCATTTCCAAATAAACTTTATACTTTATCCATGGAGATAAACAGGAGATAAACCACCTCAAGAAAGTTGCACGGTTCTCAAATGTTTTAAGTAAATCCTCAACATGTTCTGTTGATCGTTTGTCAGAAGCTAAGCAAGGCAGGGCGTGGTTAGCGCTGCAATGGGAGACTACTCTAACACCAGGTACCACTGTCCTTAGGCCCAGTTTATACGGAGACAATGCAGAAGTAAAACGCTATAGTTGGATGTCGGTTGCTACCCCCCGTTCATACGGAGACTGTGTTCCAGGGGGTGAAAACTAAAGAGTTAAGATCCAGCCTGCAGAGTGGGACAGCTCAGATACGCTGCTCAGCGGGAGCTCTTTCACACCCGCGTGAGGGAAAAAGGTGTGAATTATCTGCTGCTGCTCTGACTCCCACCTCCCCGCTGCTCCCCGCACGTAAATTTGGACATGCGCAGTAGTAGTAGCAGTCGTAACCTGTGCGTGAATGGTGCAGAAAATGAAAACGGCTCGAGAACACAGGCTCAATGGGGAAGTGCATGTGGCACGCTGTTCCCTGTGTGCACGTTAGTGGTGCACTGACTTCAGACTTTTCATACAAGTGCAATGAAACGGGCTTATATCATGCAAGCTACCCACCCTTCCTTTGTGGTTGACCGATGGGCTTTATGCACGCACCACTTCCACGTTTTAGTTAAAACGACACTTGACTTCCGGCGCGCGGGGATCGGCTTGAGTTTCACTGGAGTTCACCAGATGTTTACACAAGTTTCCTGAAAAATGCTCAAACAGGAATTAAACTGTGAGGATGCTAGGCATTTTAAAGGGGACATATCATGAAAAATCCACTTTTTGTGCCTTAAATGCCTTATGTTGTGAAGTTGGAGCCTCTAGAAGTGCAAAAAAGTTGAAATCAGTCTCTTCATGGGTTACAGAGAACACTTCATATTCTGTTTAGGTAAGATTTTTCAACCCGTTCCGATTTTGCCATTCTCTATTACGTGTTTAGAATTATTACGTCACAGTATTTGCAGCGAGACTGATATATAAGGGCATGGGCGTCTAACAAAACACTTCGGCCCAGCCCTCCTCTACTGTGCATCACTTCAAATTTGTAGTCCAAGCTCAAGGATGCCAGCGAACAGGGCTGGACTGGTCATCGGGCGTACCGGGCAATGCCCAAAGGGCCGATGCCCATATTTGGGCCGGTCTGTCTGCCTCATACAAAACACATGTTTATGAGAAGTGTAAATCCGTTGAGAATTGTTCGAGTGGAGCGCGCGTATCCGCGGGGCACCTGCTGTATGTACTCGAACAGGATTCCGCCACCTCAGCGGCCGCAGTGTTCCGGGGCATCTGCGGCCGCTTTGTGATGAGCAGCTTCCGCGTCCAGCGGCTGCGAGAGGCTGCGAGCGGCCGCTCGCAGCCGCTCCACCGTGTTGTGGCTGAGCGCACAGCCTCATCATGGCCATGTACCCAACCCCATAAACGCGCACTGGACCATGCGTGTCTTTGAGTATTTGTGCACCCAATAAATACACTGCTGCAGGAAACAGTCCGCGTCTCCCCCTCCTCTCGAAGCGCGATTAAACGCCCTAAATAAAGCTCTGATACCTAAATTTTGCATTGCATTAAAAGTTCATGTTTGAGCCCAAAAGTAATATGTTGTGAACAAATTAAACAGATTTATAGCCAGCAAATGGCTGACAACATGCATTTCAGTCTTTTTTGACCAATTCTCATCCCTGTAACAAACAATAGTAAGTAAGTAAGTAAGTAAGTAAGTAATGTTTATTTATATACCGCCTTTCACAGACAAGGGTCACAAAGCGGTTTACAATTGTTATTATTTTTTTGGGCAATAGTGGGCAATAGTTTAGTTATTACCCTCTTGTAATGTAGACTATTGCATTTTATTTTATTGTTGAAACTGCACATATCCTGATCCTCTACAGTTTTTCCTTCCACATACTGTATAAACTAGGAGTCGGCAACCTGCGGCTCCGGAGGCGCATGCGTCTTTTTCCTTCTGTAGAAGGAAAAACGTTGTTAACGTTTTTAAATGCTGTAAAATTGTGCATAAGTAATATTTAATTTAAACATTTCTGTCAACGTAGTGCGTCATATCCTGCGACGTAGGCCCGCGCCAGGCGGCCGCTGTTGTAAACAAACCGGCGTGTGAGCATCATAGACTGTGCGCATGGATCCCAAAGCTAAAAAGAGAAGAGTCGATAATAAGACTGGACTAAGAATGAAAATTAACATTTGCTTTCAGTCAATGAGGAAGGCCTGCTTCATGTTTGCGATGTAATGAGAAGTTTCTATGAGATAATTGTATCTGTGCTTAGAAACTACGAAAATGGCCGCTCGGGGTGGAGTTGAACCTGTGTCACCTGAATGGGGGCGTGGTCAAAAGCGCCTCATTTGCATTTAAAGAGACAGCACCAAAACAGGTTGCTCTCAGACGCACCTCAGAACAGGTGTAGAAGAAAGGCTCGTGGAGCTACAAATAATGAGACTCAGACCCAGGCATTGCAGTTACGCTTTATATAGGCCACAAATTAATGATTTAAATGTAAAAATCAATTATTTGAAAACACGATATGTCCACTTTAAGGACACAACAGTGCTCTTGATTGTGCTGTCATTGTGCTTTTATAAAGTTAACTAATCTCTCTGAGTGGCCACAGTCAAAGCTATTCCTCAGAGAGAAAGCACGTCGACACTTTTGGGTCAGTCTCACAGCTGAATGTATCAATCTAATTACTAAAAAATGATGCTACAACTCACCACAAAGCCAGACAGGAAGTAAACAAGCCGTTCTTTGTTTACAGGAAATTGCGTCACGCCTCCCCTTGAATATAGCCCATTGATCAATCATAATCAACATATTTGGCACCCCTGCTCTAAACTGATCCATGTGCATTCCTCTTACCTCATCCCCGGGCCTGAAGTGGGTGACCTCAGCTCCACACTCAAGCACCACACCAGATACATCACGACCCAGGACTAGGGGGAACTCATTCCTGCCCCCTAGGGCCAATGGCTCCCTCCTCAGCTGCAGTAGTTTGGCTCCATACCCTCCTGTGCAAAAACACAAATGGAAACAATTCATGTGATCTAGTCATGAGATCAAATTGTATATAGTAATTGTAATAATTATATTCTAAATTGTATTCCTTAGAAGTGTAGCTTATTTTTTAAATATTGTTTTTATTTATTTTGTTATGATGCCTTCTGGAGTTACCCAGAATGCCCTGCATTAGAGCCCACATCCTTCTCTCCAGCACAGCTCCCACAGAGTCCACACTTCTCCAGCCCCAACAGGTATGGTGTTCTTGGGATGCAACTCAGCATTCTTTCTCCTCCAAACACCTCGAGCCAGAAATCTTGCTTGTTTGTTATTGACCAAATACTTATTTTCCACCATAATATGCAAATAAATTCTTTAAAAATCAAACATATGATTTTCTGTATTTGTATTTCTCATTCAGTCACTCATAGGTGAGCCTGTAATGAAAATTGGTGGCTGACTAAATACTTTTCTGCCCCACTATGTGTATAAACAATATACCTTACCTAACCCTATAAAAGAAGAACTTATTTGTTCTGTTTACAAAAAGTTTACTGACACCAATTACTGTTATTTACAGTTACAAACAATGACAATACCAATTGATAAAATAAGGATGATTTCATAGATTGAATTAAAAAACAAAATAATGCCTCGGTTTTCCATTGAGCTTTTCTGGACATAGAGACACTTCACATGTCATTATACTTTCACTCCATAGACGGTGGTGATAAACTACTAATGTAGCCGCAGCTGCTCTGGGGCAGATACAGAAGCTAGGAAACCAGTATATTCCATCCCTCCCATCACAGTACTAACCTGCCTAGCTTTAGAAGTCTGACGGGATCTGGCTTTCATGTGCAAATATAGTAACAAGAAACTGTAATGGCGTTTAAATACTGCATATCAAAAATAGTCTGATAGACTGCTTAATATACTACGGATGACTTATTTTAGCATACAAACAACCAACTTGCAACCAAATACTAGGCCATGCAAAAGGTGGATTAACGTGTATTAGTAACCTTGGTAAATTTCAGATTTAAATTAATAAAAAAACACCGATGGAGGGGGGCCCAAACAAATACAGCCTGCCGAGGGTAGTCCACAACCCACATGGGCAAACCCTTCTCCTCCTCATGAACAGAACCTCCCACCTCCTCACCCCTCATTAACAGGTCCAGGGGGTTGAGGCTGCTCGCGTGCACTTTGAGCAGCAGGTGCGCGGGAGAGGGCAGCGCGGGTACTGGTACTTCTTCCGTGAATCTAAGCACCGCGTTGGACCCGTACTCGTCGATGACCCAGGCCGACATACAGCCGTGTAGCCCCCGGTGTGATGAGCGGGTGCTGAACGGGCTCCATGCATTTTTCCTGCGAGTCCTGCACAAGCGCTGAAAGACACCACACAGGACACCAGCCGCCATGTTTCGCATCCCCAAAACAGCAAGGTCGTGTTTACAACATGGACTTTATTCCCCAACACACTCCTTATGTCATGTTCGCATTACATTTGTGAAAACTTTCAACCAGCCATATATATGTATATAAATCAGCTTCGAGATTAATACGAGTTACTTTGGTACTTTGGTTAAGGTTAGGGTAAGGGAAGTGTGTGTTAATAACCTTCCTAGAATTGCGTTGGGGAAATTACCGTGCAGGATCGTTGGCTGATTTTTTTTTTCTTTTTCCCCCTTTCAATCGAGAGCCTTCTTGCTATATGCACTGGTGACTATTCAAGTACTTGGCATATTATAAAAAGGGATTTTATATTAAGAAATAAAAAATAAGGTACGGTTTGGAACTTGTTCATTTGGTTTGCTTGAATGTTTGTAGAAGTGCTTCGGGGGGAAAAATGGGAGCTTGGGTATGTTGTGGCCATGGATCATGCACATGGATCATGGATCTATTATAATCATGCCACAGATGTTTTACCGTACATTATGTTTGTATTATATGGTTATATTGTTAGGAGGATGTTGCTTGGGGGAATACATTTTAATAATATAATTTTGATGTTTACACAAATTGGCCTGTTTTCTGCCTGAGCCATCTCTCTTTACAAGAGAATCGATGAAAGCGTACGTACAAATATGTATTGAATGGTCATGTTCAAAAAATAATAGTAATAATAATAATAATAATAATGATGAATCTTTATTTGTATAGCACTTTTCAAAAACAATGTTTACAAAGCGCTGCACAGTCAGAATAATAAACAATAAATGATATTAATACAAAGTCAAAATAATTAGATAGAATAGAAGATACAGGAAGACACAGCAAACAGAGGAAACACAAAGACAAAACAAAGACAAATCAGACCGAACAATGCAACATGAGAAGTTTAAAGCTGACAATTAAATGCTGTTTGATAAAAGTGGGTTTTAAGAAGTGATTTAAAAGAGGATACTGATGGTACTAGCCTTATCTCCTCGGGCAGGTTGTTCCAAATCCGAGGAGCCCGGACAGAGAAGGCTCTATAACCCTTCGCGCGGAGCCTTGACCTTGGAACAGTCAACAGGGACCTTCCCGAGGATCTAAGGCTGCATGGGGGCTCGTAGGGGTTTAAAAGTTAATAAATATAGCTGGGTGCCTAAGCCTGGCCTTAGCCATCTGTACACTCCAGTCAATAACCATTTCCCTGCATGTAACGTCTGGGTCTGGTCCCTGTGTTTGCGAATGCAATGGGTTGAATTCGTCGGACGGAAAACTCAGTTCCAATCGTTTCAATCTGCAAAAGGAGTTAACCCCTCCCACCTGTTAACGAAGCTCAATGGAGCAAATCCAGACCTTCGTATGAAATGTAATTTGTACTATGGTGTGGTACAACCAGGCTACTGGGTGCCAGACCTAAAAGAGCTTTAAAAGTGATCAGTAAAATATTAAAATCAATTCTAAAACACACAGGGAGCCAGTGGGGGGACATTAAAACGACTTCTGCTGCTCAACAGAAGGGTTGATTTGGGAACAAAAAGCCTCCACAATGACCTGAGTGCAGGCACTAATCACCTTTGGGATAAAGGCTGCATTGGGACGCAGAGTCACCCTGAAATTATCAGCACTGAACCGCATACATGCAGGGTGCGTATAAAGCATGGATATCACTGATACGTTTTGCTGTGGCTAAAGCAACCAGCTATATAGTCTTCAATGACAACATTTCAAGTCAATGTCCCCCAAAGGTTCAAAAGGATGGACAGAAAGAGCCAGTAGAACAGTGGTCCCCAAATTACCCGGCCCGCCTCTACATTTGCTCCGGCCCCCTGAACAATACCAGAGAGTATTTGAGTGTGTTCAAAGTAAAGTGACAATTGAAGTATCTGGACTTTAAAAGGTTATAACTTAAAAACTAAAATTACTTAAATAGATTGGAAAAAAGATTTCAAACACAGAAAGATTGAAGAGATAGTGTGGAAAAAATCAAAAGGAAAGATTGACATAAAAATGTTTAGGAACATTTTAAACGACCAAATTAGCCTCTGATTGGACCATTCTACTGTGACGCCAGTTACATAGAAAATAAAATGTCCTCAGTCTGAAAAAGCAGAAGATGAAATCCCACAATATTTACATGGTTAATACAACATAAGTAAATCACTTGATATAAAAAGGAATCGTAAAAAAATACTAATTAATTAATTAAATGACCCCTGAAAAATGTATAACGTACGTGATGAGGACGGTCCTCTTTTCTCTAAAAATTAAACTTGAGAAAAACTTAAACTTGAGTTTTCACATTTAATTGTTTGACAATATAAAAGTGTCACTTTGCATCTACTTTGTGTAAAAAAATAGAATCTCTGAATCAAATGTGGACATCTGAAAATACCTATCAAACTTCCACAAAGCTCATTCCGTCAAATCATCACGTCCGTTACATAAAATAAACAGGGCCGCTATAGGAAACTTGTCTAATGTATAAAACAGTTATGTTCTAGCAACTTCTAATGAACAGAGGAGGGGTTTGGAAACATGAAAAACATAAAATATCTTCTGATTATTCAAATCTAATTTTTGGCCTTTTGTCACACTTTTGTGCCCTTTAGTGTGAACAAGCCCATTTTCATATGTGGCTTGTTCACACTAAAGGGCACAAAAGTGTGACAAAAGGCCAAATATTCAAATTAATGGAGCTCTCGCCAGCTGACACATGCGCAGATGCGTTTTTTCACAATTTTCTTGTGGGCTGGAAACCTCACGGCCATTTTGGGTTGCTCCGGTAGAGCACTTTTTTTGGCTCATTGGTAAGAACGGCGGAGATAGGCGTGACTCTGTCCGTTAATAGACAGTTCCTTGCGAAAGTATTCGGTCCCCTTGAACCTTTCAACATTTCGCCACATTTCAGGCTTCAAACATAAAGATATAAAAATTACATTTTTTGTCAAGAATCAACAACAAGTGGGACACAATCGTGAAGTGGAACGAAATGTATTGGATAATTTAAACTTTTTTAACAAATAACTGAAAAGTGGGGCGTGCAATATTATTCGGCCCCCTTGCGCTAATACTTTGTAGCGCCATCTTTTGCTGCAATTACAGCTGCAAGTCGCTTGGGGTATGTCTCTATCAGTTTTGCACATCGAGAGACTGGAATCTTTCCCATTCTTCCTTGCAAAACAGCTCGAGCTCAGTGAGGTTGGTTTGGACTTTGACTTGGCCATTCTAACACCTGGATACGTCTATTTGTGAACCATTCCATTGTAGATTTGGCTTTATGCTTTGGATCATTGTCCTGTTGGAAGATAAATTTCCGTCCCAGTCTCAGGTCTTTTGCAGACTCCAACAGGTTTTCTTCCAGAATGGTCCTGTATTTGGCTCCATCCATCTTCCCATCAATTTTAGCCATCTTCCCTGTCCCTGCTGAAGAAAAGCAGGCCCAAACCATGATGCCGCCACCACCATGTTTGACAGTGGGGATGGTGTGTTCAGGGTGATGAGCTGTGTTGCTTTTACGCCAAACATATCGTTTTGCATTGTGGCCAAAAAGTTCGATTTTGGTTTCATCTGACCAGAGCACCTTCTTCCACATGTTTGGTGTGTCTCCCAGGTGGCTCGTGGCAAACTTTAAACAAGACTTTTTATGGATATCTTTGAGAAATGGCTTTCTTCTTGCCACTCTTCCATAAAGGCCAGATTTGTGCAGTGCACGACTGATTGTTGTCCTATGGACAGACTCTCCCACCTCAGCTGTAGTTATCTGCAGTTCATCCAGAGTGATCATGGGCCTCTTGGCTGCATCTCTGATCAGTCTTCTCCTTGTTTGAGATGAAAATTTGGAGGGACGGCCGGGTCTTGGTAGATTTGCAGTGGTCTGATACTCCTTCCATTTCAATATAATTGCTTGCACAGTGCTCCTTGAGATGTTTAAAGCTTGGGAAATCTTTTTGTATCCAAATCCGGCTTTAAACTTCTCCACAACAGTATCTCGGACCTGCCTGGTGTGTTCCTTTGTCTTCATGGTTCTTTCTGCGCTTTAAACAGAACCCTGAGACTATCAAAGGCAGGTGCATTTATACGGAGACTTGATTACACACAGGTGCATTCTATTTATCATCATCAGTCATTTAGGACAACATTGGATCATTCAAAGATCCTCACTGAACTTCTTGAGTGAGTTTGCTGCACTGAAAGTAAAGGGGCCGAATATTATTGCACGCCCCACTTTTCAGTTTTTTATTTGTTAAAAAAGTTTAAAGAGCGACTAAACACCAAATCAACTTTTTTTAACTCATAAACTGCATAAGTATGTTTATTGTAGTGCTGTCTACATATCCTGGTCATTTTTTTGACATTTTAGTTCAAATTAGATAAAATATCACTTTTGAGCCAAAAAACGCTGTGTGGTGCCCTCTCAACCTTTTTGGTGGTACTACATTTGAATTTGGTTCTGGCCTCTCCATTGACTCTGAAGTTCTCTATGACATCAGTTGTTTTCTGTGACGTCAGTCTGTCAGAGCCAGTGATGTGAACCCATTCATCTCTCACACACGTCCCAGCTGCAGTTTGGAGTATTCTGGCGCCATCTAGTGGATTAAAATAAAATTACATGAGTCATTCTGAGATTATTGAGTGTGATTAGGTTCAGGTGTGTAGCTTTACAATTATCTTAGTGTGTAAACAAGGGTGGAATGAGACTTTCTGGTCTGTAAACTATTGCTTTAAGCAGCAATGACAACTGTCTGTTTTTTGTGTGTGTGACAAGTGAGCTGTCAATCACAGCCCAGACCACGCCCAACTCTAAGCCCCCCTTCTTGTCCCTTGGTCCTCCAGGCAACGCCCTTTTTAGAGAACATTTTCAAATCTTCATGTGGGTGGAGTAAGGCTGGGCACAGGTGTTTAGTCGCTCTTTAAATTATCCAATAAATTTCGTTCCACTTCACGATTGTGTCCCACTTGTTGATTCATGACAAAAAAATTTTATTTTTATATCTTTATGTTTGAAGCCTGAAATGTGGCGAAATGTTGAAAGGTTCAATGGGGGCCGAATACTTTCGCAAGGCACTGTATACAGTCTATGCAGTCATGCAGGTCAGCGCTGACTGTGCAGCCCTGCTATCATCCCTAGCCTGACCCGTAAGCGGAGAGGCGTGGTCTGGGGGAACGAAAGAGGAAGAGTCCTCCCCGTCGTCTGACACCAAAAACTGCTCACCGAAGGAACCATTTTCCTCATAATCCAAGAGGAGCGGTCCATCCTCGAGAGGGTTTGAAAGATCCAGCACAGAGCTCCAGCTTAACTGGGCCAGGGCAGCCTGGGCGGCTGCTCCAGGCCCGGTGTCAGACATAGCCTGGGTGCCCTCTCTGAGCCGGTGTGCTGCGGTAGCGGGCTCAGGCTCGGTCATGGCTGGGTCCCTGTCAGAGAGGCTAGCTTGGCTTGCTAGCCTCCGACAAAGACTATTGGCCATGAACCAGGAGCAGTGCATGCACGATCCGGGATTCTCAAGTGCCTCCCGGGCGTGTTCCAGCCCAAGGCACGTCGAGCAGCGTGGTAGCAGGCAAAGCCGAGAGTTAGCTTGGTGTAGCTAACAGATAAAAACTCCAAAGCTAGTCACACACTAACCATCCTGTGTTGTGACAGCTAACGTTTGGCAGCAGAGAGATTAGCTCTTGTCTGTGAACAGTTGAATTAGTCGTCAAATGTCCCCCCTGACGCTAATGCCAAACTAGCGCTAGCACAGTTAGACGGCATTCTCAACACCAGCCCGGTCACGCACCCTGACCACGTCTTTATAGCAGCGGGGGACTTTAATAATGCTGACCTAACTGTGTTTCACAAACTCCATCGTAAAGTTAACTGTGCAACCAGAGGAGATAACACACTAGACCAGGTGTACAAAAATGTGAAAAATGCTTATAAAATCAAAATACTCCCTCAGCTAGGCTTGAGTGACCACCTATTACTCTTGCTCTATCCACGCTATTCACCAATTATTAAGTCTTGTTGGCCCATTGTGAAGCCAACTAGGATGTGGACTATCAATGCTATCCCTGAGCTGCTTCCAATCCACAGACTGGAATGTGTTTTATAAGTGAAGGACAACCATCACATCAGTCCCTTGATGTGGGTTCCACTGTTATGGACTACATCAATTTCTGTGTGAACAATGTGACGTCTTGGAAGCAGATCTGTGTTTATCCCAATCAACAACCATGGATGACACGTGACGTACATCTACTGTTTGAAGCCAGGGATGCAGCAGCAAAGTCAGCAAAGTCAGTGTATAACTTGTCAGCAAAGTGTCAGCAAAGTCAGCGTGTCAGCAAAGTCAGTGTATACCTTTGCTGAGCCTGGAAGCTCATTTTGACACTGCAGGGGACTCCAGGCAGGTGTGGCAAGGCATTAGGGCTTTAACAGACTATAAAAATACATTGTCCACCCCAGTTGTCTGTACTAACACCTTAGCGGAGGAACTTAATTCGTTCCAATCCTTGCTTTGACAGAGACAACACGGCCTCTGTTATGCCCCCCCCCCCCCCCCGCCCTGCAGTGACAGCTCTGCACCAGTTCTGACCCTACATGAGGTAAGACTCTGCATGCGCAACATCGACCCAAGGAAGGCAGACGGTGTGCTGGGACAGGTACTCAAGCTCTGAGCGGACGAGCTGGCAGAAGTCTTAACCTCCATCTTCAATCTGTCCCTCTCCACTTCCTGGGTCCCGTCATGTTTTAAAGCGGCCATGATCATCCCTGTTCCAAAGCAGACCAAGGTCACATGCCTTAATGATTACAGTCCTGTGCGATACCTGCCAAATGTCTTGAGCGCCTGATGCTAACCCACATAAAGAGGGCTACGCTCGTCTGCTTTTCATCGATTTTAGTTCAGCTTTTAACACCATCTTGCCGAACACACTCCTGTTGAAACTGCGTAACCTCGGACTAAACAACACAATCTGCAACTGGATACTGGACTTTTTAACCAACCGCTCTCAGTTTGTCAAAGCCGGTGAGCAAATCTCATCCACCACCCACATTAACACCGGTGCTACCCTAGGGTGTGTGCTAAGCCCACTGCTCTACACACACAACTACTCCGCCCTCTTAACTACAAATCACATCACTAAATTTGCAGATGACACAACTGTGCTTGGTCTCATCAGCAACAATGATGAGTCTGCACACAGGGAGGAGGTTGGTCTGCTCTCGGGTTGGTGTAGGAGCCACAACCTGGTTTTAAACAGTGACTGTGGACTTCAGTAAATTCCCTCAACATTTTCCTCTGTCCTTAGACGGTGAGGTGGTGGAGCGAGGTCCCCGTTTTAAATTCCTGGGCTTGACCGTATCCGAGAACCTCTCCTGGGGACAATACATCTCCTCAGCTGTGGGGAAAGCACAACAGCGCCTCTTCTATCTGAGGAAGCTGAAGAGAGTCCATCTCCCTCAAAGGCTCATGAGAAGCAGGCAATCCAGAGGGTGGTGAAAACTGCTGGAAAGATCATTGAAGCTCCTCTCCCAGATATCTCCAGTGTGTTCACCTCCCGCTGCCTGCGCCAGTGTCACAACATCATCAAAGACCACGCTCATCCAGCACACCGACTGTTCCACCTGCTGCCCTCGGGCCGGAGGCACAGGTCACTCCCTGCCTGAACCAGCAGAATGCCCAACAGCCTCTACCCCCAGGCTGTCAGACTGGTCAATGAACACTGCCCCACTTCTCACCTCCCCGGACCCCCATTACCCTTTACTTTGCCATAACTATGAACTGGTTTACATCCTGCCATCTTCTGCACTTTATATGCTGATCACGGTGATGCTCTAAATGTAATTTAGTTGTTTTTTGACAATGACAATAAATTATTGAATTGAGATACACTGGAGTTGCGGTAACTTGGCTTAGTGAAGCGAGAAGAGGTGACTAAATGGCGGGTGACGTCGTACGAGTGGCATTTAACCACTCAGCACCAGTCACCACTGCCAGCCACTCAGGGCTGGCATAATGGTAGAGGGCTTCTGTGAACACCCGAGGGGGCATTTCCATCTTGAGACATCGAAACAAATACTACGAAAGAGAACAACAAACTACATCCCAGATAACACGTGAACATACGCTCCAAAATAAGTTAGCTACCACCACAATTATTTGTTGTAAACAACAAGACTTCAATTTGGGTAGCAAGTAAGGAAGGTAACGCTAGGGCCGATAGCGGTACATTGATTGCATTTGTAAAGTCTTCTGTGAGACAAAAACGGCCAAAATAATATAAAAGCCATTCCCGTAATACTTTAATTGAAAACATATATATAAACATATACACTATAGCTTGCAGTAAAGATGCTAGCAACTACAGCAAAAACTAACAATGTCATGACCAGGGAGTCTCACCATAGATCTAAAATAAGGTTTTTTGTGATTTTAGCTTACCGAAGAGCTGTACGTCCGTCGTCTCCGTAGATGGAAGGAACTGACTCCTCAATCAGACTAAGTCTTTCGGCAAATCCTTCCTGGTGCTGGCGGAGATTGCTGAAGCAGTCATCCTTGAAGTGCTTTGCACAAACAAATATGACTTTACCTACAGCCAGTGAAGAGGAAAAAAATCTTCAGCAGTTCAGAACTCGAAGTCCTACTGCAGGAGGTCACGAGGAGGAAGAAGACTCTATTCAGTAGCCTCAGTGCAGGTTGCACTAATACTAACAAGAAGGAGGCCCGGGAGGCAGTTTTGGCGTACAGTGGATGCGGTCTCAGGAGAGGGACGCACCATAGAGGAGGTCAGAAAGAAGTGGTTCGAGCTGAAATCCGAAACAAAAAGAAACATAGCCAAACGGACTGGAGGGGGGGCAGCAGACACTATGCCCATGTCTGATTTGGATCAGCTATGGGATCAATCAAGGTCACTGTATTTAATCATATTAATTAATATTCCCCATCTTACTTTTTAGGTGTACCATCAACTGAGTCACTGGACACAGACCTGGGCCCAGATGCAACGCGTTCACCCCCTCCCTGTGCCGCTGCCATTCCAGTTGAATCTGAAGGTAAATTGTTTTAATTTGTGCCTTATTTCTGTGTTTATTTCTATACTTAAAGCGTGTGCCCGGTAAGGGTGGAGTCTACCATAGTGTGTAACCCAAATACGGCCTTTGTTGGACTGGGGTTGCAACCTTGGCTTGAGTTGTAATTTATTTATTTCCTTTAATCACAGATGAAGTCCCGCAGAGAGACCCCAAACCAGAACTGACAGAGCCCTACTGTAGCAAATCCACACGAACCCGTGCCTCTCCACGTCCACGCTTGATCTCGGATGCAGTCCCTTGAGAAGATGGCGTCCACACTGGGAACCATATCTCAGACACTCAAAGATATGCATGAGCAGCTCAAAAATGAATGAAGGTATGCACTGGAACTGGTCTGTCTTAATATTTGAAGTGAATCACGGTAGACTTATATTCAACATATAATATTTACACTTTATTTACAAACGGGCAATTAACTGCTCTCTAACATGAACGGCGTGCCTGCAGTCTGGTCCCAGCATTGCATCAGGGCGCACATCCTGACGGTGTAGTGGCTGAGGGGGAAGTGGCACACCACGCTTCATTGCGATGTTGTGCAGGACACAGCAGGACATTATCCTACAGACCTGTAATGGTGAGGGAGAGCCATAAAATATGCTGCAAGGAATTTAAATAAATCTAAACTAGGTGATTCTCGTTATAGGTTAATAAAAGAATCAGTTGCTTTACCTTCTCTAGTTTATACAGCAATTTCCCGCCTGCTGTGTCCAAACCATAGACTGTATATATTACAGTGAGTGATAGTGATAAGTGATAAGTGATAGTCTGTAACTCTAAATGAATTACAAATTTTAGGAAATGTGTTAAATTGACCTCCTGGCCTTAAATGTTGATATAAAATAAGTCATTTTATTAGTTCTAATATTACGGCCAAGTCCCGCCTTCCCTGCTCTTAGCTATAGTTCAGAATCCACGGTGCCATCGAGGTTAACCAATCGAGTCATGCCAAGGGCTGTCAATCATCGGCGCTGATGCTCGCAGCTGCGCGCATGCGCAGTTGTTTGTTTTTGCGGAGCCTCCGAATCAAGCCTCTATTAGGCTCTGGAACTACATGAAAACTGAACAAAGAATTCTGAACATCCGCGCTGAGGTACTTATGTATATACTGAACCTATATCCATAATCAGATCCTCTGCAGATGTGTCCTATAATGTGCAATTCATGATAATAGCACTTCCTGGTTTGCCGCAATCGCTTTTTTGTGTGCATAAAAACATATTTTTTTTCATTAAAACGTTCACAAATAATTCTGAAAACCTCCGTGCATGTGTATTAATAATGTATATGTATAATATGTTCTCTGATTAACATTTCAAAGTGTTACAGAAACGTAGGTGTAGACCAATCAGAAAGGAAGGGGGAGGGAGCTTGCGTCGTTTTTTTTCAAATCAAGTACCTCTCTGTCTCTCTTTCTGACAAACTCCAGACAATCACTTTAACGGACAGAGTCACGCCTATCTCCACCGTTCATAGGAGTTGGCCATGAAAAGTGCTTTACTGGAGCAATCCAAGATGGCCGCGAGTGGTCCCGCCCACAAGAAAATTGTGAAAAAACGCATCTGCGCATGCGTCAGGTGACGCAGCTCCATTCATTTGAACGAGAGACTTCAAAAATTCACAGCAAGTAAAATAGAGTGGACCATAAAAAATCACCCCCCTCAGCATTGACACACATGTGGAACGGAGCTTTGGGCCAAGAGCCAACTTTTGGTCCATCCTGTAAAGACGTTTTTGAGAGGTCTGCCAACGCTATATGTTAGCATTGGCTAATTCTTCTTCTGGGTCCACCCCTAACGGCCCGGGGTGGTATTGCAAGCATGTCAGCGCACGTCATTTTGGCCACTTTTGAGCTGGGACCTTCCCCCACTGGTCCAAACACATCCAGCGTCCCTTCAATATGCCGATGGTACGTTCAATGATGGAGCGAGTGCGCGCATGCATGTCATTATATGACACCTCCTGAGGAGTCTGAGGGTTAGTCAGTGGTGTCATCAGCCAAGGGGCCAGGGCATATCCTCGATCGCCTAAAGGAAATGATGAGGATATTACACTCGTTGTAAATTGTAATTAAAATATGCTTACCAATGAGCCATGCGTCATCAACTGCTCCTTGTTCAAGGCGTGTTCCCACGGAGCTGTTTTGAAATATATAGGAGTTGTGTGCTCCTCCGGGGAACCGGGAAACTACATTCAAGAGGTGGTTTTTTGAGTCGCAGATAAGTTGTACATTTATGGAGTGGAACTGTTTGCGGTTGAGGTATGGGAAGGAGTCTGGAGAGGGTGCCTTGATGCGCACGTGTGTGCAGTCTATTGCGCCAATTGTTTTTGGGAGACCAGCAATCTGATGAAATCCCATTTTCACCGAGACTTGCTCCTCTGCTGAGTACGGGAATTTAGGGGCACGATCCACAACCTCCTGCAGCAGCAGTAAATATGCCATTGTTCTGTGGCCCCTGGATGGACAAATGCCCCACATAAATAGGGTGGGGTCACTAATTGACGGCATGATTTCTAATGTATTATAAAAAGCGTTGGCACATTTAATTTAAAAATGAATATAAAAAATAGGCTATATAACCAAAAAAAAAAAAGATTAAATACATACATCAATATGACGGATATTGCACTGGAATGTTGTATTTTATTAAACTTCACCAAAGAAGACAACACCAGTGTGCGAACGTGTCGGCACTGAATGCGTAAGAGTGCTCCTGAGGACTCATAGGATTTGTACGTACCCACGAGAAATTTTCATGAATGCCACATTCTTTGTAAAATCATTGTAAGTAGGATTTACGCACAAATTTGTTCAAAAAGAACAGTTTGTGAATGAGGCCCAATGACAGACATTTAAGAAGGACGGTGGCATGAACAAATGAAGCAGACAGAAGAAGGTAATTATACACAGACAGACAACAACGTGGCATTTAGGTCATACAAATGCATGACCTAAATGTGTATAACACATATAACACTTTTATAACACTACATTTAATTGCATGAATGATTAGAAGACAAATGTCAAATTAGACACTTACTGTAGTAGTAGACAGAGGATTAGTACAGCAGTATATTTGTGAAGGAGTTGTGAATGTGATGAGTTTTATATAGAATTGTGCAGAGGATTTTCCACATCTACAAAGTTCCAGAAGCTTAAGAGTGTAGAATTATTGGCTTGAACTAAGTGTATTTTCTACAACAGACATTTAGAGCAATGTTCCTCAACCTTTTGAGCCGTGGCACCTTTCTCCTTTAAAACAATTACATGGCACACCACCAGCTGAAACTGGTGCTAGATCTGCAGCCGTTAATGGTAATGCCTTTGGTGCAAAGTGGTTTATAAAGACAATCAAAGAAAGTTTGAGGAAATGAATTAAAGTCATGACTAAAAGTGATTTTGAACCATTTCTGTCGACACACTAACGTACCATGGCACACTGGTTGAAAAACACTGATCTAGAAACATTTTATGAAATATTTATCTTTCAAACGCAGGAATAATTAGGTCAATGATGTCTTTGATACAACTGTTGGCAGTTTATCATCATTAAAAGTATAATAACAGTCTTTTCTCCACATGAAACATGAAACAAAAGGTGATACAGTATATCAATGTTTGACATTAATCTACATCTTTGATGAATCCAAACTGGCTTTAATAAAAAAGGGGAAACATTTATAGCACGTGGTCGTTTCTGAAAGTAACAATAAGAGTTCTGATAGGAATCAGACTCAGGCAAAACGGGATCTTTGTACGACAAAGCCTCCTGGCTGGTTTATTCACAAAATGGTCGTTAATTTCAGGCAGAACAAAAGACACAGATACATTATATATGGAAATCTACGTCATCATAGAAAAGGCCAAACCTTCGGCACCAAATAGCCTAAACAACGAAAGTCTCTGTGGTCCTTGAGACCTCCACAAGGCCAGGTTATTAATACTATTTTGTCTTGCATTTGTCCACCTGTGCAGTACATAGGTCACTGTTTACCACACCCTCCCATTTTATCACATAAACACATGTGATAATAAAAATACAAAAACAACAAAAATAAATCAATCAATCAACAAAAACTTACAATCATGAAATCAAGTAAAGTGAATAACTGATTCTTAACTTGAAAAAAAATACACACAAAAAATAATGATAATAAAAAATAATCACTTTCACTATATAATCATGAATTTAGCTGATTTTATAATTCAAACAATAACAAAAATCTCTATTGGACACCAGAACCAAGCTGATATGAGTCATAGAGCAGGCGGGACTGAGCATTAAGAATCAAATATATAATTAATTACTCACTTCATCCTAATGTGAAGTCTTAATATTAATTGCTACATTAACCTAACGTTTTGATTTAACACTGTACACCTGTACAGCTATTATCTTATACTATTTTAAAACACTAATATGATTATTTTTGCAAAGCTATGTACAATTTCTGTTGAATTTGCATCTTAGTGGAACATATAGCTAATAAATCTCACTATCAGACTCCATCTCGTCCTCTTCTTCTAGACAGTAGTTTACACTCATCATTAGCGGCATCAACCCAACCCTCCTGCATCGACAAGGAAAAACTCTTAAAAAACCCAGTAGGGAAAAAGTGGGAAACCTTGGGAGGAAACTAGGGAAACCCACGGGAGGGAGACACTTTGAGAAAGGGATCCGCTCCACTCGGACGGACAGGCTAATGATCTAGGTACCTAATCTACAGAACGGTGGACCAGTGGCCGCTGAACGTGACAGGGTCCGGTGCAGGACTGAAGCACTCCCAGGCGGGTCGTCAGGGCAGTCCACAGATGTAGATGGAGGAGGCCAGGCTCAAGATCCCTTCATCGTACATGAACAGACAATGGGACTACGTGGGAATAGCAAAGACAAACTACTGTCCAAATCCAAATAAAATGCTAAATCTGGTAAAGTAGGAAGGAGTGAGAGAAAGTGCTCAAGTTTAACCATACTTCTCCCAGCACAAAACTGGAACTCCCTATTGCAGCTTGACTGACAGTCGAGGATTTAGGCCTTCTCTGAGTCCTACCTTCCTAGCCATATGCAAAACTAAAGAGCTAAACTATCCTTGAATAAAGAGAGCGTATCTGAAAGGAGTGAACAGCACAGCAGCCATGGGGGGGCTTAGGCTAGCCTAGGTTCCCGCACCAGTTCATGGATTGCACACCAGGTTGCAAACCGATCCAGACCACCTAATTGATATATCATATATATCACATGTCCATACATATTATATATATTAATATAGATACTCCCATAACATACACCATAAATATATAACGATCATAAACAACATAACACAATACACAACAAAATACAGCATATATAATATATATAATAATTCACCATATATTATACATTACCTAATAATGCTAAATTAAAGTAGAGTGCTACTAGCTAGCTTATTTAAGACTATGCTATGAGACTGGGTGGCCTCTCTGATTGCCACCCCCCTGACTCCAGAAATGGATTGAAGGGTAGAAAATGGATGGATGATGGATGCTTTAAGCCATGGCCTTGGAATTGGAGACCGAATCTGCTTCTTAACATAAGGAAGCTGATTCCACAGTAAAGGAAGCTTGGTAGCATAAACGCTCTGCCGCCAACAGTGATTTTTGAGACCTTAGGAACAACCAGACGTCTGCGTTTTGTGAGCGCAACGCCGACTTTGTTGACATGACACTAACCGTGTCCATGAGATAGGAAGGAGAAACCATTTGAAGGCTGTTTATTTAAGAGAATGAATTTTTAAATTTTATTCTGTACTTCTCGGCGGCACGGTGGCTGAGTGAAAGCACTCTCGCCGCTCACAAGAAGGTCCTGGGTACGAATCCCCGCCGGACCAGGCCTTTCAGAGTGGAGTTTGCATGTTCTCCCCGGTGTCAGCGTAGGTTTTCGTCCGGGTAAACTCCGGTTTCCCCTACCACAAAAAATAGTACTGTACAATAGATGGCATGGCGCCTCCTGTTTGGCGACACCCGCTCCCATCTCTTGTGTGGAGTGAGCGACAAGTGCCCAAAATATAACAATTGTAAACGCTTTGAGACTCAGATCTGCAGTGAAAAGGGGTATAGTAAATGAAAGATTACTTACTATACTACTACTACTCTACAGGGACCCAGTGGGGGAGTGATTTTAACACCGTAGTTATGTGCCCCCTTCTTTTGGTGGCCTGTTAAGATCCTAGCTGCTGTAATCTGAACGAGCTGGAAGCGCTCATAGAGTTTTAGGGCATGCTGCCAATAAAGCTATTACAGTAGTCCAAGTCTTGAGGTGACAAAAGCCGTGAATAGCTTTTTTCCGCGTCACTTTTAGGAAGGTAAATTCCCTAATTTAGCGATGTTCCGTAATGGAGAGTACGCCGTTTAGTTTTCTTGCTTATATAAGCCTTGAAGGAGAGTTCTTGGTCAAAAAGAGACACCAAGATTCCTCAACAGTGTTACTGGTATATACTGACATTATCGAGAGTGGAGTTATCTGGTTTAGTAGGAAGTCACGCAGGCGATACGGACCGAGTAGATCACTTCTGACCTTCTCCGGGTTGAGAAGTAGGAAGTTAAAAGTCATCCACGTGTTTAAGGCCCTTTATGCAGCACTAAGCTTTTCTAGCTGATCTGTCTGATTTGGCTTCATCGACAATAAGCTGGGTGCATCTGCATAGCAGTGGAAATTAATTCCATGGCTTTTTAAATAATGTTTCCTCTCAGGGTTTAACTTCAAACCTGCTTGTCTAAATCGAGTGAGAATGTCTGTGAGGTTGTGTAGGGATTTTCAAAGGTTTTACCCATAAATATGATTTTCAACTAAATGAAATGAACACAGGATGTCCAGCTGCAGTCCCTCTCCAAAACCAACTCCATTAGCCTCTGAAATGATTGTGGTGCGTTTTTGAGGCCCATAGTCAGGACCTTAAAATGATAAAGGCCATCTCCGTTTTGTGATGCAGTCTTACTTCAATCTGTGGGATGCCAGTACCCCTGGACATAACCATTGTCGAAAAGAACTGAGAGCCTGACAGTGCATCGAGACTGGTCATCTACCCTTGGTAACGGATGTGCGTCCAGTTATGTAACAGCGTCAACGTTCTAAGTCTTCACAAAAACCAATATGAGCCATCCTGTGACTTTCTCACCATAACTACAGGACAGGCCCAGGGACTTGTAATGTCTTCAATCCACGTCCTGTGCTTTTATGAAGCTTCAACTTGACGATGAATCTCCGAATTAATAGCAGGAGATGAACGAAAGGCCCTTTGTGAGATTGGCATGTCACAGTTTTGTGACTATTAAGAGTGATAAATCATCCTGCCAAAATCACGTGAGGGTTGGACTAAAAACATCCTCAAATGACGTGTATGGTCTCATTGAGTTGAAGGTTTCTGGATTTCCGTTAGGTCTGAGTGTTTTTAATGTCTGGCAGGTGACATGCATGGAACGGTTTGGTAACCCCCTGGAACATTAAATATTTAGATACACACTCTCCATAAATACTGAAGCACTGTTTTCCGCACTCCTGAAACTGCATGAAAAAGTCTAATTCTGAGTGCCCTCCGGTAACAACAATAATCCTCACTATTGTGCTAAATTAGCCACATTAACACAAATGGGAGCCAAGTACCCATTCTACTCAGGCTACAGTCAATGCAAACCCTGCAGTAGTCACAAACGAATAAATGTGGTTTTCAAAACACACCGGTATAGCTATAAGTCGAAGTCCATTGAGGGGTGCAATCCCAAAGAACAGAGATGACCCCTTTCAGACATTGCCGGGATCGTCACTGTGGAGGAAACTGACACACTAGTTAGAAAAGAAGCATATTGGCTGTAGAGAACTAGTGGTACAGTTTTGTCTTCAACATCAATGTCATCTCGCGTGTCCACAACAATTCCATTGGCAACCATGAAATCCCAAACCCAAGATGATTGGTTTTGTGCAGTTTCGAAACCACTTGAAAAGTGGAGTGCATAGGTTTTATGGGCGAGGTCCTACATTAACAGAGATGGAACCTACAGGAGGCAAGTGGTTCCCCTCGACTCCTTTGAGGGGAACAAACTCCTTCCACAATGGTTTCCTTGGAAGAGCAGGAGTCTTCATTCCAAAGTCCTTCGCTAATGACCGAAACACAGCCCAGTATTCCAACACAAGCTGTACGATTGTGTCTTCGATAACAACTGAAACATACCTCTTCTCCAATGCGTCTCTCACAAATGAAATGTCCATTTGTATTATTGTCATCTGGACCAGGATGGGCCTCGTACATACAATATGGTCCACCATTGGTCAACTACTTGGTAGTTTACTCTGGTTGCTTTGGACTGAAAGGGGACTCGAAAGTGTCCTTCCTGGGCTGGATAGCGATAACTGCGATCATAGCGATCCGGAGAGCGGCCGCGGTGTTTTGCTCTCTCTGAGAATGGCTCTGACGTGGAAGCCGTCGCGACGAACCAAGACACGGTATTTCCCCCCTCACGCGAAGAATGACTGAATGGCTGTCAAGGTCGTAGTCGTGACGTTGCGGTGAAGAACTGTAGGATCTGCTGGAGTTAGTCATAGCGTCCCTCACGAGGTCCCTTCAGGAGTATAACTCCATAACATCGTGTATTGTTTTTGTCTCTGTTGACGGTCCCCGCTGCCAACTGTAGGACCACTTTCTCTGATAATGTCGCAATAGTTTTTTAACATCTTCTTCATATCATCCTGCATTGCCGAGTTTATACTGTTTGGCAAAAATGATTTGACGACGTGTTCAGAATTTGGTAATGAAATAAGGCCAAGATTCAAGAGTTCCAATAGTACATTTAGTTCTCATTAACAATTAAATGGTTTGAATACAGAACTCCCGCGCTACTCCCTAAATCTCTATCCCTGTGCTCTATCTCCCAATGTGTCCTCCCAACGGTTTTATCAGAAACTCCGATGACGTCATATGGTCTCAGGCTGGTCCCATCTGGTTTTGTCTCAGCCGCTAGAGACACCTGTTCCTGAAAATGATACTTTTATCCAGAAGTCCTTTGTCCTTGTGCTTTGTCTGAATACCCATTAAATCCAGGCTTTAATATTGCACAAAGACATGTTTTGCAAACACCTACTGAAATCATGAGTATACAACATTATAATTCTACAACAATAACCTAGTGCAACCAGTTGCCGAAATGACTGTATGACACGGTGAAATAGCAGGAAGAAACCTGTTCATGGAAAATGATTGCATCGTACCAGGCGCTAACATTTTACTAGCTTGGTGGTGCAGATTCAAATCTAGCGGCAAATTTAAGGGCATCGTTCAAGTGTTTCAACCCCTTGATCGTGACATCTGAGCTGTGGATACGGGTCAAGTCCAGCAATAAAGCGCCTAGTTTCTCACCTTTCCTTGCATTGTCCACCAATATGTGGGAAAAGGCTTTCCTCCACCCAGGCCGACTGATTTCAGCAGCAAAAACAGGTAAAGCCCTCTCCTGGGTGGCGAAGCACGTGGCATTAATGTAGCTTTGAAATGTTGATAGATAAGCAGCCTTCCAAAAACGCCTTTTCGTTTCTCTTCTGTGGCATCAAGTCTGACGTTACAGATCAGGTAACAGTCCCAATAGCTAAAAGCACCACCCCCCAAGCATGTAGGAAGGAGTTTCCCAAACTGTCCTCCTCAACATCAGGATTAGCAATTTTACGTGACTGCAGTAAAACGACAGCACTCATCTTGAAAAATCTTCTTTTCCATCCTCAAGAAAAATTGGCGTACGTGGAAATGGCGCTGTTAGAGGCAGCAGAAAAAAGGCAGATTGTTCCAGAAGTTATTTGCCATTGTTGCATCACAAAACACTCCTCTACCCCAAATGTACAACAGCAAAAGTCTCTACTCAAAAAATGTGTCCAAATATCTGTTAAAAAAAAAAAAGTGTTTGCATATTCCGTTTACACATCCGTTGTTAAGCCGGAATTAACACACGGCCCTAGCAGATAGCAGTTTAGGCTTATGCACCGTCCTTATGTACAAACACAAAATGCAACCCAAAAAAATATCCACAGGGCCTATGCAAACGTAATCCACCTCAAAGTCTCGAACTAAATCGTAATAGTCAGTCCGTTATTCCTCGTAGCGTTGTGGGGGGAAAAGTCCAACGTTTTTGCCGCTAGCTTAAGTCCCGTGGTGCAACGTCCCGAGCGACGATTACAACCTCTCCAGATGCGAAAGAAATTATGTCCACAACCCGCTGCCACCCAGTGTAACAACAAGTTGCATTGAGGCGATTATCAACCCAGTGGTCCGTGGGTGTATAAGAATCACACAGAGGGACAGCGCCTCAGGAACTAGCTTTATCAGTCTACAGCCCCCCTCTGAACACTCCCTCAAACCCGAGGTTACAATTATCTAGCGCCTTGACCTCATCACACCGTCATATCAATGCGCACTCAAAGTAGGTCCTAGCCATTATTAACACAGGCATAACACAAAACAAACAATATAAATTCCCCTTACATATTAAGAAGCAATGTTCTCATATATTAATAAGATAATTAAAATATTGATATACCATTTTCCCCCAAAATGGCTGGACTGAGGCGGTTCCGTTTTGTGAGGATTTCTCTTTATGCAACAACAATTCATCTACATACAATGTTCTCCATTCCATCCATTTTCCTCCTGCTTAATCCGTTGCCAGGACACGGGGGCAGCGGTCAAGAGCAGAGACGTTCAGACTTCCCTATCCACACACAACTTCCAATAGCTCATCCAGGGGGACCCCCAAGGCGTTCCCAGGCCAGTGGGAGACCTCCAGCATGTCCTGGCTCTTCCCCGGGGTCGTCCTCTGGTGGGACTGCCCTGAGTCTTCCCCGGGGTCCCTCCTCCCGGTTGGGACGTGCCCATAACACGTCCCTAGGGAGGCGTCCAGGGTGCAAGCAGCAGCTCTACTCTCCAGCTCCTGCTTGCAAGTGGGCTGGGCCCGCCCTCACCTTATGGTCATTAACCCAAGCTCATGACCAAGTGTGTACAGAGCCCCTAGAAGGGGCCAATAGTAAGGAAAAAAAATCTCCAGATAAGTACTCGATATACCTCTCCCGAAACAGCACGTGGAAATAGCTAGCAGTGCTTGCCGGCTAAATGCTATGGGCAACAACAAACGTCGTGGGGAGGGTTTCTTTATAGTGTCTTGACATAGGGACATAGCAACGGCCACCCATAATTTTATTTCAAGACAAAAATTTATGAAGATATTTGAAGACGATTAGGATGAAAACTATGCCGAGCCCACGGCCGATGAATGCGCTGAACTCATGATAAAGGACAACTCACCCTCAAATCCACTTTTTTTTGCTGATAAACGGTATAAATGAGTGTCCAATAATGTTGTCTACATATCCCTGGTCATAATCTTGTCACTTTGGTGCAAATTAGTTGAAAGTTAACTTTCTGCCTAAAACCGTCTGTGAGGCCCCATCTGCTGGCGACCTGTATTACTACATTTGAATTTCGATCTGGCGCCAACACTGCACAGAAGTTGGAACCTGACGTCTGCAAGTTGACCTGACGTCCACATCCCCCGCCCAGAGCAATGTAAGCGGCCCCGTGCTCTTCACGCCCCCTTTTATTCCTATAAAATAAAAATAATTCAGCAGTCAATATGACTGTTTTAAAGCATCGACAATATAGCAGTCATTTTGACTTTTTAAAAGCTCCCCACATTTAGCAGTCATTTTGACTGTTTTAAAGCTGTAAACATTTAGCAGTCATTATGACTGTTTTGAAGCTGTGAACATTCAGCAGTCATTTTGACTGTTTTAAAGCTGTAAACATTTAGCAGTCATTATGACTGTTTTAAATCTGTAAACATTCAGCAGTTATTTTGAATGTTATATACATTTAGCAGTATATAACAGTCATTATGACTGTTTTAAAGCATTGACCATTTAGCAGTTATTTTGACTGTTTTAAAGCTCTCTACATTTAGCAGTCATTTTGACTGTTTTGAAGCTCTGACCATTTAGCAGTCATTTTGACTGTTTTAAAGCTTTCTACATTTAGCAGTCCTTTTGACTGTTTTAAAGCTGATAAAATTTAGCAGTCAATATGACTGTTTTAAAGCTGTTAAAATTCAGCAGTCATTATGACTGGTCTCTCTCCCTAGATTCTCTCCCTTGTCTCTATCTGGTCTCTCTCCCTGTTCTCTCCCTGGTCTCTCTCAGAGGTCTCTCCCTGGTCACTCACCCCTTGCCTCTCCCTGATCTCTCCCTAGTCTCTCCCTTGTCTCTCCCTGGTCTCCCTTTGGTCTCTTCCTGTTCTCTGCCTGGTCCCTCTCCCCTGGTCTCTCCCTGGTCTCTCTGGTCTCTCCTTGGTTTCTCTCTGGTCTCTTTGGTCTTTCTGGTGAAACCCTAACGCTAACCCTAACCCTAACCCTAGCCGTAACCCTAACCCTAATACAAACAGTGCAAAAAACAAAAAAAAAACACATACGTGGAGCAAAAACACACAACTGCACAAACACAGAAAAAACACAGACACAAACACTGCCAAAAACACACATTAAAAAAAACAAACAAACTGCACAACAGAAAAAACTGCAAAAAACACAAACGGCAAAAACACACTGCACAAACACAATAAAAACACACACATACAGTAGGTCCCATTTCGTTTTGTCGTCTTCATTCACGCTTTTCGGGAATCACGCAGCTGCGTGAAAAATATTACATCTTATCGCCACAAGGTGGCAGGCTAAGTCCGCTTTAGCTCTGCCAGCGACTTAGACGCTCAGGTATCATACCTGTCTAGCCCAGAGATGCTATGTTGGCCAAATGGTTCTCATTGAAGGCTGGGACCTGGAGAACCCAGGTTCGATTCTTGTCTGAGGCAATTTTGGTTGCACATCTTTTGGTTGCTTGTGGCAAAATTGTTTTTTCATTAAACAATTATTATATAACCCGAACAGAACCACAGACAGACATTTACATTTACATTTACATATACGCAGACAGAACCCAGACAGGCGGAGACACGCGAGACACGCGGATCATAGACACTTGGACAGAACCAGAGACACACGAAGCATAGACACTCGAGTCGGACAGGTCCATTTGTTTTATTTGTGTTTAAAGTTAGCTAAGTTTCTCCTTGCATTAAAAATGCTTGGTGGTTGTGGATATTTAGACTGCGTGATTTGATAGAATAATACTGGCAATGTCTAATACATATCTAATTTTCAGTAAATTATAAAGAGAAAGAAAAAGAAGAGGAGGTCAAAATTCAATCCATTGAATATTGAAAGAATCAATACATTCTTGATTTTCGACTAATTCATGAGTGTTGTGTGTTTAATTGGTGCCGAAGTAACATCTTTTTAATCTTCTACAACATAGTGACTAAGACAAGTGTGCCATAACAGAGTAATTCAAATTTTACATGTTATATGTGACTGTGATGATTATGTTTAGAATGTCGATCTTTAAACCTGTTTTTCTCAGAATTCTGTTTCATAAAACCATGTAAATACTCTGACTTCAGATTATGAGAACTTTTGTTACAGACATGCTATGGAGAAAAGGAAAACAGATTTGAAAAGATATTGAAAGCAGCTTTAAGATGTGCGAGGCGAGCCTGGCCTGGGACCTACGGGCCACCTAAAGAAGTTCACGCTGAACTTTCTTAAAAATAAAATGAAAAAGGATACTCTGTTGTGAATGTTTTGAGAGCATTGTCAGTCCTTAAGAGGAGGAATAGCTGTTGTTCTCGGGGAACGAGCTTCGCGCTGTGTGATATGATCATGCAGATTATTGGACAAAATTGTTTAGCCAATAAACGGAACTATATTTGAAGCAACGTAGGAACGTGATGACGCTCAGGGGGTTATATTTTCTAAAAAAAGATTAGAACGCAACATTTAGTTAATAATGTGTGTATAAAAATAAAAAATATTGAAATTATGACTTTAAACAAAAAAGTCTAATGACTTGAGAGGCGAAGAACAAAATTGGGAAGGCCAAGAAAAAAACTGGTACTGTATAGGCACCGGCCTACCCAGGCCTATCCCTGGCCGCGGCTGGGCCGTGCATGTGAATGTAAATGTGTTTCTATTGAATGCTATTTCTTTCTTTATAATCTTTATCTTTATAATTAAATTGCATTAACGTATATATTTAAAATAATTATGTATTGTCTATAGAATTCTATGCAAATTCGAAAATAAAGACATTCTGAAAGCGATCTGCCTCTCGTGATTTTTTAGTGAGGTCTTCTTCTGGTATTTACTGTTTGGCTGAGCAAAGTTTTAATAGTATTGGTTAAAATAAATCCCATTTTCAAACACGGCGTGATGTAAATAAGAGAGAGAGCGAGAGAGAGACGCTGACGCATTTTGGCTCAGTGCGCCGGTGTGCAATCAATGGAATACATCACAATACTCATCAAACAAGATCCATTCAGTTTTATCATTGGAGGAAATGTTTATTAAATTAGCAATTGGCACCTTGACAAAACACTGGATATAGAAATCCTAACAATAGTAGGCTAATATAGGCTAACGTGGACATCCCTTGGCCCGTGGGGATATCACATGCCAGTTGCCTCTCCCTTCAAGGCTATGACCTGGTCGATGACTTTGTCCAGGTGGTCTATATATTTATTGCAGACCTGGGTTGTGAGTTTGTTTAGCCAAAAAAACTCTATTGCGGAGATCAGTGCGTCCTTGCTCATCGGCTTGGCCTCACAGTGAATGTATCTTTTCATGGACGCCCACTAACTCAATGGGGTTCAGATCCGGCGACCTTAAACAAAAACACATGGACATGTTAGCACTGTTAGCCTATTTTCCGATACAGCATGTATTCATCCAGAATATATATATATATATATATATATATATATATATATAAAATAACTACGGTAACTCACTCTGCCGGTGTCGGTACCCAGTTGATCCCCTCCCTTTGAATGCAGGCTTTGACACTTTTTGCTGTGTGTTTTGGATCGTTGTCTTAAAAAATCAAACAGGACAAATTAGGAGGACAACTTAATCATTAAACAAACATTAGTAGCCTAATCATCACGACGTTACTTTTGTCATAATCATGCTGAAGATTTGGAATACAGATTGTTAGCCTACCTTGGAAGAATCTATGTGTAGACATACGGAAATGCTCCCTTAAGTATGGACCAGCAGCTTTTTTGATGATTTCTTCCGCGTAGAAGTGTTGATCCATTATACCTGCGGGTTTAAATAATATGTTAGCATATTGTAACAATTTATTTAGCATAGCCTACTTTGCATGCATTGCTTTCAAAACTTCATCACTCACCGTCAAAAATGACCAACGGACCAGGTCCCCATCGAGAAATTCCACCCCAAACATGCATTTTGACCGGGTGCTTCACTCTTGGTTTTGCAATGCCCCTGAAGTTGGTCTTTCTCCAGCACTTCAAGGCAAAACGTTCCAGTGCCACAGTTGACTCGTCAGTGAAGAGAACATCATCAAACTTTTCACCAGCAGACTTCCATTCTTGAGCTTGGATTACACGCAAATCTTTGTTTTTTCCTCTGGTCATTGGAACGAATCTGTAAGCAGAATTTATCAAAATGTTACTATAAGAATGACATGTTGAGTGCCCGGTTATCACGATAAGTAATTAACAAAGAGACGCGTGTTACCTGGGCTTTCCAAAGTTCCAGCCAAGAGTCCGGACTGCCTTTCGCACCGAGTGTAAGCCGATCGTTATGCTGTGCCTGCTTTGGAGAAGCTCTTTTACTTTTCTTGCTGGTAGTTCATCGTCTGCTCTCAGGATGGAGTCTATTATTTCCATCACCTGACTGAAAGAGACACATTGTTTCAGTACATAGTTTGGTAAAGCCTGTTGTTATTTTGTTCACATGTGAAACTTACAAACTTGAGTATATATTTAAATAATAAAAAGTACATTTACCTTGTCAATTTACGTGGCTTGCGTCCCTTCTTCTTCTCCACAACAGCACATCGGCAATGACGCTGGATAGTTTGCAAGGAAGCTCTTATTCCAGTTGTGGCCAAGTGTTTGGCGATAGCGCTAGTCGTCCAGCCTTTCTTACGCAGAGTCCTGATGAGCTCACTGACTTGTGCGTTGATCACAGCCATCACTGACATGTACTGTAAATATACCATCGGTTGAACTATTTATCTTGATTTTTACACACACCTCCCTCCCCCTACCGCCCACTCCCTGTGTTTTTTCCCCGGCCCCGTCCCAATCACGAGATAAGATGTTTTGCATATGTGAGGAAGAACTGGATTTTTGACATTCCTGTGGTCAATCTAGTTCAATACAGTTCAGCTTTAACATGTTGTTCATAAAAATGGCCAGAATCGCCTATATTTTGGGCAACGGAATAAAAATAATGGATTGCGCCAGATTAAAATGTGTGGCTACTGCCCATCACTGCATATTAGTAACTAAGATTTTAGCAGATGGGATTTGTTTCGTTTTTCAATTGACTGATCATAATGAACAAATTTGTAAAAACTCCAATTCCGCCTGTTTTTTTGGGTTCAAAGCTGAATAAATCAGGCTAGGACAAATCAAGCATCATGCGGGCAGTGATGGATGTAAAACATATTTCCTTTACAATCCACATGTCTACAGTTGAGAGGATGGCTCATAAATTGTGTTTTTGAAACAAATATGGGTCTTAGTCGCGCTCAACCACAGCTTCTATCACCGTGAGGCCAGCCTCAGAGGAGAGCATGTGAGTGCACAAGTCGGCTGCATACAATTCCATCAGAAAGCTCCTTTCTCTTCCTGGTTTATCTGCTAAGGGCTGCTACAGGTTTGGCTAACATACAAATAACACATTTTAAGATAATTTAAAATGCACTTACGGTAATTTTTCAATTACTATAGGAATGATAAGAAAGAGAGGTGAAGTGTAAGACGGTTGGTTTTAGAAATTGGATGCACCCGGCTGCACCTAGCAAAACAGAGTAGTTTACGGAGGACACACGCGTTTTGTTTTACTTTTTAAAACTCATTTCCAAATGGAGGATTACATATCTACGCTCAAACTACTATCTGGACTTAAACACAGAACTGGTCTGAACTGAAGTGGTCTGTGCAGGTCATTTATATGGTAAGACCCATAACTCATAGTTTTGCGTTTTGTATGAACAAACAATGCGGGCATGAAACATATTTTGCTGTAGCCAAACAAATTGTCCACTTGATTTATATGATAAATATGTCCATCTGATTGGTCTGAAGTCAGTGCTTCACCGGTGTTTCCACATTCACAGTGGCGGGTGTTTGTGTTTAGTGCTTACAGCACAGAGAGAGATGAAGAGTGAACAGGACTTCAGCAGCAAAACAGACTTTTCTAGATGGAAATATTGGCACTATTTCAGACTCACTGAGGTTAAAGGTTAAAGGTAAAAATGCGCACGTCGAGTGCACATTATGTTCCAGAACAAAACGAAAAAGTAACGCAATAGTTACTTTTACTGGTAACTAGTTACTTTTATAGTGGAGTAACTCCGTTAGTAACTCAGTTACTTTTTGGGAGAAGTAACTAGTAACTATAACTAATTACTTTTTCAAAGTAACGTGCCCAACACTGCATGCGGGAATAATCAATACTTTCACCTGACGTGTCTCGCATCAGATCAGATTCAGATTCATTTATTTGCCATTTGCAGTAAAACCACATTGGAAAAACTGTGCAAGACTACCCCGGTGTGCGCCAGACAGAGACGACACACACCAGAGCTCTTGCCACGGCGCCATTTTTCCGGCGCCATGCGACAAACAGTAGAATAAACAGCAGAGAGCAATAACATACAGGTTACAACAGACAGTTGGATAGAAAACATTGTGCTTTTTATAAACCACGGATTTTTTTCTCGGGATGAGCACCTCTGGCTGCCGGTCCAATGTGGCTGTCAGAGGGGGGCGGGGTCAGGGAGGGGGTGAGTCGGAAACACAATGAGGAGGGGAGGGGAGGGAGAGATCAGAGGGAGGCGAGGGGAGCGGGATCCAAACTGGAAGACTGAAAGAGTGTGAAATTTTTGTAGAGACCAGATTTATTATGATGGCCTTGGCCCGAGGAATGTGAGATAAGAGAGGAGCGAAGACACAGCAAGGAGAAAAACACATCTTCCTGTAACAAGGGACAATCTAGTATACATTCTAGCAGTCAAAAACAGGCAGATATTCTATTAAATCCAATTAAACCGAATTGCGGCGCCCTCAAACCCCGTACACAGGGGCCAATCCAAGCCGGGTCAGAGAGTTCAAGCGTGACAAACAATGTCATTCAATCTCAATTCCAGAGTTTTATGCCCATCAAGTGAACGAGCTGCGAGATCTCTGATCAACTGTTCCACCAAAACCACTCTTCTTTGTCCAGCCACAGCGCTCTCAACCACGACTCGGCTAAGCTCCTTGTACATCCCATCAATTTTGTCGGCCAGCAGGTCGTGAATCTTGCGAACTGCCATGCCTCCGAATTTATGGTAGAATAGAACCGCTCCAAACCCAAACAGGAGGATCCCCACCACCAAAATGCCAAAGATATATACGTCTTCCGAATCTTCAATGGACAGGGTCGACAGACAGAGGGGCTGCCACTTGTTCCAGCTGTCAAGAGTATACCCCGCTGGTGAAGTCCCGTCCGGGCACTCGGGCTCTCCAGACCCACGCTTACGTGTTGAAAAGATAGAATCAATTGCGTTGAGGGACCAATTTACCATTTCCATTCTTGCTAAAAGTTGTCTGTGGCAAAACTCCAGGAAAAAGACAAAAACAGGAGATAGCAAGCAGTCAGAAGCAGGAGCGTCTGAGACACGTCTTTGCTCGACGGAGGCGGAAGCGGAAGCGGAAGTCTCTCCGGTGTGCATTGCGCACACCGGAGAGAGCGAGAGAGTGTGTGTGTCTGTGGGGGGAGGGGAGAATATGGCCCATACTGTACCTGTGTATATATCACGTGGACTATAGACCACTGGCTGGGGGGGCACAAGCATCTTGGGGGACGGGCACGGCCCCCTATGGCCCGCCCATAGCGACGGTATGAGTATATATAGACATGTCCTTAACAGAGGTCCTACTACAGTATTTCGGGAGCATGGAAGCCAAAGGTTTTTACCACGAACGCGCTTCCAGAGTCGCCAAGACTCTCTTCCCACGGAACGAAAACTCACCTCAAGCCGAGGTGAAACAACGGGTACGTTGTTAAATGTAATGTTGAATGTGAATGTTATTAGGCCCTAGGAGTATGTAATATTGAACAATGCTACAGCCTCTAATGTCTTTGGCAATGTTTCTTACAGACTCTAGGCAAACGTTCGCCAGCATCATCTTTGCGGCAAGGCAAAACAGCTAAGCGTCTCGTCACAAAAAAAGCGGTAAGTGTAATCCTGTATTATGTGTAGTGTATAATGGCCAATAAGCCAGGCATCCTCGCTTAACTAAGCCACGACTCATTACTTTTCTCAATTTCAATACAGGCAGCGGTTTCCATGTCGCTGGTGCGTGACAATAAGGACCGCTGGATGGCAGACATTGAACAGCGTCTAGCCGTGAGGACATCGGAGCTTACTGCGGAACGAGCTCGAGTAGGTCAGCTGCTTGCTGAGAATGAAAAATTGCACGCTGACCTGTCAGCCAGCAGAGCGGAGACAGCAGCCAGCAGAGCGGAGACCGACAACCTCCAACAAGAGTTGCAGGGGCTGAGAGAGACCACTCAGAGCGGACTCCTCGTTCAAGATTTGAGAGCTGGCTTAGGGCAGCTGCAATCGGCGCTACTTTTGGCTCATTCGACACCAATCAGACCAAACACCACTCACTCTACACCAGTCAGACCAATCCCCAGAAGCGCCTCAACACCAGCACCAGAACCAGATATAGAGTGGTCAGAATTTCAGATGTCGCCATTGGCCCTACCCTGTTCTTTCAACGAGAGCCTCCAAATTCCCCGTCAACGCCCAGATGTGAGCTTGCGTCATTTTGGCCCAGAAGACCATAGTCGAATCCACCAACAAAGCTTCGGCCAAGTTGGCAGATATGGATGCCTGCTCTTCAGGCACATTATCTCGGAGGAGAACTACCAGACATGGACCAAAACTACAAATTGGGATGGATCCAGAGGCAAATTAGAACTGCCTCAAAATGTGAAGAGTTTTGTGCTTGGCACACTGAAGCAACATTTTCCTGGCATGGACAGGGCAGAACTGAAAGAATGTGTGGACAAAATCAACGAATTTCTGCGTACAACACGCAGGAATCCCAAAGCGTTGACTCTGTAAAACACTGTACAAACACTTGGAAGTACTGTAACAATACAGTTATTACTTTATTATTTTTACTTACTCCTTATTTTGTAATAAAAAAAACACTTCTCAAACTTCTTGTCAATTCAGTTCTCAAGATTCCTCACATTTTCAAAAGTACGCAACTGGTCATTGCACACACACTCAAAAAAATGATTCATTGGACAAACTCAATTTAATTGATGGTAGAAGTTACAACCAAAAAATATAGTTAATTCAAACTCAAATAATATAATTCTGTGTAAGTTTAAGTAATGTAGTTTGACCAACTATTTTTCAAATATTTCTAACTAACATAAAAGGCTTTGACAAAACATTATTAAAATTGGTTAGGTCAGGAAGTTAAAGGCTTGTACATGAACAAATATAAATGAGCTTCTTTGTCAGTGTTGGGCCAAAGTTATCCTATGAAATAGTGAAGCCAAACAATGTGAATGAATTTGATAAAAGAACTATAACAAATAATTAGGGCTATCATACTATAAAAAAATTGAATTGAGTTAATTACAGCTTAAACATTTATTAATCGTAATTAATTGCATTTCAAACTATCGGCAAAATTATGCCATATGTAGCGCGAGCGGTGGGCGAACTATAAAGTGGTAAATTTAAAACCAACAACGCCACCCAGGTCTAGGACCTGGGAAATATAATTAACTTAAATAGAGCACACAGGTAAGTTTTAAGGAGGAGGCAGAGACAGTCTCATTCAATGGTGCAAAAGTTTTATTTTGATTTCACAATCAAAAGCTGCGTCCTAGTCGATAAAAATCACACGCGCACGAGCAAACACACCACACGCACACCATCAAGTACCGTATGGGTGGGTTTCACACCTCTTTCTCTTT